CTATAGTTTATTTGAAAAGTCCCATATCTTATCATGACTTTTAAAAATATGAATAAAATAAGTATTTACTGGGTGGTGTTAATAACCCACCACCACTAAGGTATATTTAAGAGGACACACAGGGGCGCCTGGGTGGCTTAGTCGGTTAAGCGTCCGACTTTCGCTCAGGTCATGATCTCACGGTTCATGGGTTCGAGCCCCGCGTCGGGCTCTGTGCTGACTGCCAGCTCAGAGCCTGGAGCCTGTTTCAGTCTGTGACTCCCTCTCTCTCTGACCCTCCCCTGCTCACGCTGTCTCTCTCTCTCCTAGAAATAAATAAAACATTAAAAAAAAATTTAAGAGGACATACAATGATAAGGGTAGAATCATCATATAGCAGAGTGGATTATAGACTAATATATGAATAAATACATTCTCAGTGTAAAAGAAATAAGCCATTGGTGTATATATAGAATACATCAGGAACATCTCCCAACTTACCTCCTAAACAGTTTGGAGGGTAACTTTCTAGTCCATTTCTATGTATTCTATAAATACAGAATATATATATATATGCTCTCTCTCATACAAGCTCTCCCTTAAGCAGAAATGATATCAACCCGATAGTCATTATTCTATAACTCATGTTTTTATGTTACACAGTCTATTTAAGGAGTCACATTCTTAATCCTTTATGTCTTCTGGGTTTTGCCTCTTATTTTAGAAGTTCTTCCTGTACCCCACTGGGTATTCCCATTTATTTTTAAAGTGGGGGCGTGAGTGTTCATCTATGATTGGACAGAAGAGGCAGGCACTTAGAGAGTGACAGCCGGCTGGCCCAGAGGTGGGGCAAAGACAGGGACTGTCTTGGCCAGGGCTCTGTGCCGATACCTCTTTGGTTTCTCATAGGTGCTCCTTAGAGCTTCACCTCTTCTTGGCCCCTCCCACTCCCTGCCCAGCCTTGTCTTCATTCCTGGTCCTCACTCTCTTTGCTTTCCAGGGGACAGCAGTGGTTTCCAGGTAAGTGGAGGGGGCCCATGGAGGGTGAAGGGCAGCAGGTGCTTACTAAAAATGCTTTTCCTTTTAGTATGTGACGGTAGAGGGTCTGGGTCTGTATCTAGATGTGAGGGTACAAGCAACTGAAATGAGAAGTAACCTCCAATTTTATGCTAATTCAGTTCAGAGAAGTCGGGGGGCGGGGGAGGTGGAACTGTTTCCGGTGCTTTGGAAACTTAATCAAGCACCAGCATTTTGAGAAGAAACTGGTCAATGATCTAAATCTCCTTTATCTTCAAGACCAAAAGAAAAAGAATGACAAAAGCCGGTGAGAAGGTGTGGTTAAATTTTGAACATTTAGTCACCAGTTTATATCAGCCAAACTGTTTTTTCTTCCTTCTACTTTCTATTGCCTTTCCCCCCAACTCTTACTGCTTTTTAGTCCTTTCTAGCACCTTAAGATGGACAGGGGAGAGAAAAAGAGATGGGATTCCATGTAATCAATTTTTCTACTGTGGTGGAGTCATATCTTATGTGAAGGGGTTAGTTTCTAAAGGGGGAGCCTAATGTCAAAATTATGTGCAGTCAAAATTATCTTTCTAGGGCCTTTGATGGGCCGTAAGACCTGGGATATACCCAGTTTTGTTTTGTTCTGTTTGCCTGTGGCATTGAAACATATTCTTCAACTGAGCACTAATTCAACTGATTCCTCAACTGAGCAGAGGAAATAATTGCTCTGCATTTGGAAACAGATGAATGGCTTTGAAAGTTATGTATTTGAGCTTTAAAATAAATGCCATGTCTATCGGAAACAAGTACCTTTCAACTCTAGACTGATGTTCCATGTGGTGAGATCAGACCAGCTATATAATTTGCAAAGTCCAGTGCAAAATGAAAATGTGGGCTCTTTATTGAAAAATTATGAAGAATTTCAAGACGGTGGCAGCATTAAACTGAGTATAGGGCTCTTCTAAGTGTAGGGGTTTCTGCATCGCCACAGTTTGAGACACCCAGGAAGCCAGCCCTGTGTCAGAAGCTTGGAACCTAATGAGAAGCTTGGAAACTGAGATCAACTCAGGAAGAGAAGCCTAAAAACTCCATGGAGAGAACAAATGGCAAGATCACTGCCAGTGTTTAAATTATTCTGTCTTGCCCTCTGCACCCTATCCTATCTGAGCACATATAGTTGAATTTACGTTATGCTCAGTCAGCACAAGATGCAGCCCACCGTACAAGTTAAATGGTTGAGACGTTGCAAGTCCATATTAAAATTGCATTTGGAGATTTTCTGATTTTTTAAGGACTCATTATAATCTAAACCTCAGATGTAAGATGTGTAAAAAGAAAATGAGTATTTCTATGTCTTCATCCAGCAATAATTTTGATCAGCCCTTAGTCATGTGCCAAAGGCAACAGAACAGATTTAGACTGTTGTGTAATTTGTAGGTGGTAAACCAACTGCATTACTATGAATTTTCTAAGTGGTTCAAAAATGAATGTTAGAAAACTCAGGTGTGAAAATAAAAATCTTACTAAAGAGGTTGCCTTTTAGACCTTTCTTCCCAGAAGGTCATGAACATAATCTAAGCAAAGAGGATTTTATTCCATGACTGTCTGAGCTCTCTGAGCAAGAATGTGATATAAGGCTCATTTTTTTAAGGGAACTGCCTAATATTTTGTAGTACTATATTTTTTTCAAAGTGTCTTTTGAAAAAGACAAGCCAGACGGAGGGCAGTTGGCGAGGTATAGGTTTCCAGATAGCAACTTATTTAACGTCAAAGTAACAGTGGATTGTGTTTCCAGGATATTTCCTCTCTGAGCTTGGGTCTCTGAGGTTACCCCTCCCTCTCCCCCTTAAGGTTCTCACTCCGGCGCATGCTGAAACTTGACTCATCTGCTTGGACAAAAAATTGCTTCCTTGTGGCTTTGAGAGTTATGTATTTGAGCTTTAAAAGAAGTGCCAAGCCTAGAGTCAGGCAGCTGGTCACCCAGGTAGACTGGACAACTTTCCTGACTCATGCTCACCTGCTCCAAGTTATGTAAAAACACAAAAACAACACTCAACAAGTGCCTGTAAAGCTAACAAAAGAAGCAAAACTGCAATGTGTCATTGTCACAGAGTCCAAAAGTTCAGGAGATGTTTTTAGTTAATCTATTGTGGAATTTTTAGGGTGGTGATTGCTATTTGGCAAGAATTGAAATTAGAGGCTTCTGTTAATCCTGACTGCTGATTCCAACAAACAATACAAACAAGAGCATGTTCACAAGAATGAATCTATGGGTGGCAATAGCATTTTCGCCTTAATCTCTTGGTTTGTATCAAGCTGTATATTTTAGAAGAAGGGAGGAGAGAGTGGCATAAGGAGACACAAATACAAAGATCAGCCAAGTTTGTTCAGAGTGATTTGCCTAATAGTTTCAGTAACTAACACTGACTAGAGCTTACCGTGTACCGCTCTAAGCACTTCACATGCTATATCTCATTCCATCCTCACCATAACCCAATGAGATAGTTATCATTGTTATCCGTTGACCAAGATCTCATGAGTAGTTAAGTCAGAGCCAGGGTTGAACCCAAAACTAGATCATGTTGTAACACTGAATAATTCCATCTAGGATAACTGGCTTTTTTTTTTTTTTTAAACATTTATCTGTTTATTTTTGGCAAAGAGGGGGAAGGGCAGAGAGCAAGGGAGAGAGAATCGAAGCAGTTTGTTTATTTGGGGGGCAGGAGGAGAAGAGAGAGAATCCCAAACAGGCTCCTTGCTGTCAGCACAGAGCTGGTCTCTGGGCTCAATCTGCTGAGATCACGACCTGAGCCAAAATCAAGAGTCAGAGCTTAGCCGCTTAGCCTTAGCCTGACTTAGCCAGGAGCCCCAAGGATAACTGGCTTTCTATCCTCCTTTAAAACATTGCCTGTCTGGTTCAGTTTTGCCTCCACAATTCGGACATGATTTCAGTACGAAATTGAAATACTTCAGCCTATGCAAAATTCACTGCATGATACTATCTCTCAAGTGTTGCCAATTTACAGAAGACACAGTGGTTTTTATGCCTCTGGTTGGGAGAAGGTTGTTTCTTTACATCCTGAAGCACACCCGGAAGTATTGAACAGCGCCCACCCTGGGACTGCTTATTTACATTAAGCGGTGTGAAACAGAGAGGTGCGGCCAAGAACTCTAGAGGAAGTGAGATGCTTTATCTTTTGCATGCACACGAAGTTTACACGTCTTCAGAGAGCCTGGATGGGGTGTGACTCCCAGAAGCTAATCTTTCTGTCCAACCATATGCAAATCTGCGCCGGTGTTTATGTGGAGGTCCAGACACAAACGTAGGTGACACGGTTGGTTGCTGACGCGCGTGGGAACGCGTTTGCCCTGTTGTCTATTGGGTTGTGTGTGCGCTGAAGGCGTGATGGCGGGCACCCAATTTAGATCGCCCAGTCCAGATGAGGGGTGTTCGAGTACAAGTTCCACCCGTGAGGGGTAGCTTGTACCATTATCCAGGCGCCCAGGACCCCAAAACAGTCCTGAGCTTCAGGGGAGGAGCCACGAGTAGAGCAGCGCGCAGCCTCGCCCCGCCCCCAATGCCCCGCCCCGCCCCGCCCCGGGCCCCCCGTCTCCGCCCCGCCCCCAGCTCCCGACAGCCCCGCCCCCAACGCCGGGAGCTCCCAGTGGCTCGGCTGCCCCAGTTCCGTAAACACTTTTCTCCCCGCCCCTAGCAGGTCTCCGGACTGCACCACTCGAAGCCCGCGGCGGGGGGGAGCCGTTTCCTTTGGCATACAAAGCACTGTCAATCCAAGCTCTCCTCGGCTCTTTCATCCGAACATGAGGAAAAATATACCGTAGTAAGTCATATGTGTCAGAACTCTGCTATCAGAGCCTGAGGTGACCTGGATTTCTCCTCTCCCGTGGTCCGTCGTCCCCCTCTCGTCAGTTACACTGCTACTCCGAGGCTGCCTCTTCAAAGTCCCTCCCGGCCCTTTAAATACTGCGTGGGGGGGCGGGGAGGTAGAGCCGGGACAGGGAGGTTGGGGGTTGTTGGACTGGTGAGCGAGTTTTTGAGGTGTTTGAGCAGTGTTCGTGAGGGGACACCCAGAGACCGCTGACACAGGCTCACTCAGCCGCCTTTCTCCTCCGCCTGTCTCCGCGCCAGACCTGGTGCGTATCTATCCCGGGGAAGGGGTAGCGGTTTCTGAGGTCCCGAGCCTGGGTGGGCAGACGGGGACATCTCGCCCCAGGGCAGCCGAGGGCCTCCCCCAACCCACCTCGGAGCTCTGTCCTGGGACTCGGGTCCCAGGGGGCGTTAAAGCCCTGCTTCTTCCTCCCCCCATCTTCTTGTTTGACCTCGAACCGCCGTCCCGCGTGGGAGCGGGGCGCGGGCACTGAGTGGCCGCGGCGGGTGTCAGGGTGGCAGCGGGCTTCGGGTCCCGGAGGCGGCGGGGTCGCGGTCGCTTGGCCGTTGTTTACATCCTGCTGGACCGGTGCCAGCGACTGCTCTGCGAACGGCTTCCCACCATCCGGGCCCCGGGAGGGGATCCCCCTTGCTTGGGACCCCGCAGCCCGTCTAGGGTGGGCGAGCCAGGTCGCGGTGGGGGCAGGGCGCGGCCCGAAGCGTGTGTTTGGGGTTTGTTGCCGGGGTTTCCCAGGCACTCTGCTCAGCCTCCGCCGTCCCCTCCCCCAAGGGTTTGTTTTGACAGGAAACGTGCTGCTGGAGGGGAGGGGTGGCTGGAAGACTCGGCTTGGGGGCTCTGCAGACTCCTGGGGCGTCCCTCTACCGTCGGTTAGGGGGAAGAGGCGGGAGATGCCAGTCAGGTCCGGGCTCGAACCGCTGGCCTCTCGGGGATGGCTTGTGCTTCCCAAAACTGCTCCTCTGGGTGGCACCCGTTGGGGGAACAGCGCGGATTGGAGGTGGCACGTGGACGAACATGGTTACGTGTTTTCGTTAGTATTAGGAAAAGCTGTTCCATTAAAGGAGCGATTTCGCAACGATCTAAAGTTTCCTTTTAAAATAAAGGTATTTAAATGCAAAAATCTAGTCGAGAGAGGTGATTGACAAATTAGGGTAGAGATGTGGAAACAGGTGTCAACAGTGGTACCCAAATGACTGAAGTTTGGGAAATAATTGTCTTAGGTGGTTGCCCTGTGACTTTAACCTTGAGAAACCAGACAAGTTGTCCTTGTCCCCAGTGGGGCCCTCAGCCCCCAAGATCCCTGCGGGTCCCATGGTCTCCAGCCCAGCCAGTGACCTTGCTCTTTGCTACCTGCAAACCGTAATCAGGTTATCTCCGTGGTTCACCCTTTAGGAGGCTCCCTGCCTGCCTTTCCCTCTTGCCTCCAGGGATTTCATACATCACTCTGGCAGCGGGTGGAGGTTTCCTCACATGCAGTGGCCCAGGGCTGAAGATACCCAGTCACGTATGGAAGCAGCTTCAATGCCATTTTGTGAGGGGTTGAGGCCCCCAGAGGAGGAATCACAGGTACTAAAACAGGCCAGCCAGGGGTGTGAGAAGTGTTTCCAAGTGTGAAAAGTGCCTAGAAATCCTTCTCTCTGATGCTGTAATGTTATGTGTTGCGTGAACATCTGTTTTCTTAGACAATGACTGGCTTGTTGGCTTTTATCTAGCTCTTTGTTGGCTCTGGTTTTTGAAGACCAGTATTCTCTAGCTGAATGGAGCAGGAACCTATCTCTCTGCTCTGTGGTTTATGCCTTGCTGCATATGAATAACTTTTCAGCGCTGCTGTCTGGGCCTGGTTCTAAAGCAGCATTTTGTAGGAGATGGAGATGTTCCACACCATCTATGATCTTTTTCCATCTGCAGAGCCCAGTCTTATTCCTCTGACTCCTTTCCCTTTACTACACATATGTGAATGCTTGTCTTGTGCATCTGATCTTGATCTGGCCTTCAAGGATGACATTCGTTAGCTATTTCGTGAAATTTCTCATTTCCACCAACCACCTTAACTGGATGGATTCTATTCCTCATTTAGGGCACTGCTGGAAAACCTGAACAGTTCACCTAAAAATGTTTTTGATACTAGTTGTAAGCAGTTAAGACTTGTGATGATACTTGGGTTTTAACTAGGGATTTTGCAGCACTTAAAGAATGGCTCCCTGATAGCAGATTTTCCTTTAGTGGAGTATTTGAGAATTATTTTGGACAATTGACGCCCTTCACGGTATAGCACTTTGAGCAGCCACCCCGGGATAAGGTCACCTCATTACCACATATGTCAGTATCCACATGGTGTTGGGTAGATCGATTTGGCAGACTGAGAGCGGAAAGAATGAAAAGCACACTAAATTTTCTCCAGCTATCCTAGGGTGGTAGAAAGTATAGGCTTTAGGTATCCATGGCCTCGATTTGAGTTGTGCCTCTGCCACTGCTATGAACCTTAGAGCAAGTAATTTAACTTCTCTGAGCCTCAGGTTCTCATATACAAAATGGGAATAATAGCAATACCTTAGCTAGCAAGGTTATAATGAAGACTCAAGGAGCTAAAACACTTAAAATGCTTATGGGGACTGGGACATAATAAGCACCCAATAACTATTAGCTCTGATTGTTATTATTTGCTATCAGTGAGCATTCAGAGAATGGAAAGGCACAATGTAAATGTTTCTTTAAGCTCTGGCCCTGTAAGTCTTTGCTAGTTTGAATTACTGGTACCTGGGAAATATGTTGAGTTAGGCACTGGGAATTGGAAAGGGAAGGCATAGCCCTTCCTATAAGCAGCTTAAAATTTAGTGGGGAGCCAGTTATGTAAACAGCAACTATAGTACTTTAAGTGACTGCATAATCGTATCATGAGCAGTGTGAGTGAGGCAGAAGGGAAGAAAAACCGAAATTGTAATATGAATAGCGGTGTGGCCTAATTTGTTCTTAAGCGGTATTTTTTGAGCTCCCCCACTATCCCAGGCAGTGTTCCTGGCTCTAGTTGGCTGATTTAGATGGAGTGGGGATATCAGGGAAAGTCACTTTGAAGTTGTAGCATTCAATTTCAAATCTGAATGACAACAAGGAGCCAATCATGTGGAGCTCAGGGAGAAGAACGTGCTGGAGGGGTTGGGGAGAGAATAGCAGGTGCAAGTGTTCCAGAATGGGGAGTTTGGCAGGTCTGAGGAACCTGAAGAAAGCCATTGTGTCTGTGGCAGGACGGGTTAGGGGGAGAGTGATACGGAAGGAGGGGGCGGGGGAGGCAGAAGCCCGATCACAGAGGAGTATAAACCATTGCCAAGAAACTTCTTAAGAAAAGAGAAACCACCTGGAGATGAGCACTTAAAAGGGATGATTTGCCTCTTCTGAAGGGCTCTGGCCTATTTCCTGTTTTATCCTCTAGGCACTGTTCAAGAAGGACATTGGGACAAGTCTGACTATCTAGAAGAGGTTTTGTGATAGAGTGGTATCTAAGTTATCCCAGCAGTGGAACAATCAAAATCTAAAAACTCCAGGAGCCCGGACTGTCCCAAATTAGACTTGAAGTTTTGGTTTAGTGCTTCTCTTTTCATCTTCTGCTTGGAAATAATTTCAAACTTACAGAAAAAGTTGTAAAAGCCATACAAAGAACTCCCTATCGTCTATCTTTTACTCATATTCACCTTTAACATTTTGTTCCATGTGCTTTATTGTTTTCTCTTTTTCCCTCTCGTTAAATTAGTTGAAAGTTGCATACATCATGGCCCTTAATTCCTACATATATAATCACAGTACATTTATCGACTTTAGTAAATTTAACATTGTCACACAGACAGTAGTTTCAAGTATTGTTACCATGCTGTCATTTGACCCAGTAATAGCATTTTTCCCCCCTCTGTACAGGAGCCAGCGTGGGATCATCTGTTATACTCAGTTGTCAAGTCTCTTTTCATCTGTAACATGTCCTCAGCCTTTCTTTGTTTTTATAATATTGACATGTTTGGAAATCATAATCTCTTTTAGTAACAATGAAATAACAGTTGGCTGTCAAGAACTTACTAGGAGCTCAAGTACTTGACATACACTATTTCAGTTAATCTTCACAGCAATTCTACGAGATAGATCTATTATTATCCCCATTTTGCAAATGGCAAACTGAAGTTCCCTCTCTCCAGTCAGTAGTCTAGGTCAAGAGTCAGGGTCAAGAACCCAGTCCACCTGACTCCAGAGCCAGTGTTCTTAACTGCTTGGACATGGACATGTGTGTTGTCACTGGTGGGTCTTCATAATCCTGGACCCGTGCAGGACCATTTGCAGATGAGTTTGCCACAAAAAGGAAATAAAGAAGTAATGTTGGTAGCATGGGACAGACTAAGGAATCAACCCCTTTCACCTCCCTCTGTGGTGGGACATAGGACTAATTTCTTCAGGTACTTGTTCCCATTCCCTCCTCTGTAAAATGTCAGTGGTCATATTGCCATTAATTCATCAATAAATATTTAAGTATCTGCTGCAACCCAGTCATTGGTCTTGGGAGGAATTCTATAATATTGAATTTATTATTATTAAATGAAGAACAATGCAATGAAAAATGTGATTATTCTCCTTGATGGTGACCCACTGTAGTGTTGGAGGCCTTGCTTGGAGTTATATGCTGTTTTCACCTGTGACTTTACCTTTGGCCCGTTGAGTAAGTCCTCCAGAGGATGAGATGTGGTGTTTCTGAAAAGTTGTGTGGTTTGATTGTAATTGCCAGTGGTGAAGTTTAAGTAGATCTGTCTGTCGGTATGAGAGGCATTACCTCTCTTAAAGAAATAGACTGGTTTTATTATCACTGTCCTGAGAATCCAAAACAGTTTTTAAAGCAGTCTAATTACCCTCAAGGCCTTTTGAGTCAAGCAGCTTTGTCCCCAGATGACTTATATGGAAACCAGAGACCAAGAAAAGTAAGAACAGATGTGAAGGAACTTGAAGAAGACCATTTACAGTGGGATGGGCCGTTTGCTTTTAGCTTTTATATTTCAGACAAGTGCAAGAGGTCTGTCCTAGGTTAAGCAGCAGTCTTATTTATGGGTAGGGGAATCTGCTTTTATCATCATGGGATAAAACAGTTCTCCCCTCTAGAGTAGTTTTTAATTCCTGAAATGATGATGACAGTAACAAGAAAAAAATGCAAATGATGCTAATAATAGCCATCATCTGTATCCAGTTTTCTTCGTGTCAGACTCTGTTCCAAGCACTCTACATATGCTGACTAAATGAAGTCTCACACCAGCCCTATGCATTTGGTGTTATTAGTATGCCTCGAGCAAACAGTAGTTTCCTTATAGAATAATAATGGACATTTGGGCTTCAAAGAAAAGTTTCTCCTTGGATGCACTAAAGCCCATTTGTGCTGTGGAGGCCGCTACCAGCCAAACAAGAGTTTCTAAACATTTTGAAGCCTTTATGTTTTCTGGTGCATCCCCCATGCCAGAAACTCCAGTGAATTGTTGGACGGAAGCACAGTTGCACATTAAGTATGTCTGCCGTAAGCACACTTAATTTCTCAGAACTTCTAGTGAAGCCTCATGGAACTCTGGGTTTATAGCATTTTAGCAATTCCTAGTCGAAAGGGGCCATATAGCCAGCCCAACCTGCTCAGAAAAATTAGGGGAAGAGAGCCGATGTGATGTGCATGAAGCCACACAGCAAATTACTGACAGGCTCAAGCCTCAGACTCTAGACTTCTAACTCCTAACCTACATCTTTTTAATTTTAACTCTTTTACTTTGCTGCCTCGTTAAACACCATTAAGGAACTTACAAAGTGTGCCGTTCGGCTGGAGTAGAAAACTGAAATGGACAGTTATAACTATTAACCTAGTTCATAAATTCCAATGGATGAAAGCTTTTATTCACCTTTACTTGGAAAAACAGCCAAAGTGAAGAAAAATTAAGAGCAGAGCATACAGAATGCAGTTGTTATGGTGGGATAACTGAAAAAATAATAAAATGGAAACCAAAATAAATAAGAGTGTGACCAGTACCAGGGAATATTGAGTCTGAAACCTACTAAAGTAGGTTTAGGTGGTAGGTTCCCTGCCCCCGTGCTTGAACTTTGGCAGTACCAGGCCTGCAAGGGTGTAGTGATATCAGTTTGCAAATGTTCTGGTTGAAGCTGTACCAGATGGGATTCAATGATTCCGATTCAGCTGACACCAAATGAATACTTGTCACACACTTGCCACTGGCGATGGACGAGACACAGTCCCTGCCTTAGTAAGGAGAGTCAGAAGTAGCCATGGGAGGAAAATAACTGTACAAGGGACCCAGCTCTGTGGTGGAGATACAGGACATGTGCTGCAGACGTACAAAGAGGAGTGTCTGTCATTCACTCTGGCCAGAGGTTAAAGGCTTCCTGAGGAAGGTAGCGTTTTCAAGAAAGGCCATCAATGAGACATAAAATATTGGCAGAGACAGGGAGAAATGTAGACAGAAGGGAAAGAATCCCATTTAGGATTGGGGTGTGGTGCAAGTGAAAGAGTTAGGGGAGACCCTTTGCTGCTGTGCTCTATTCCCTTCCCCCCAGCAGATGGGAATTAAAGCTCAAGTAGAAATGGGGCGCCTGGGTAGCTCAGTTGGTTAAGCATCCGACTTCTGCTCAGGTCATGATCTCACAGTCTGTGAGCTTGAGCCCTGCATTGGGCTCTCTGCTCTCAGCACAGAGCCTACTTTGATCCTGTCTCCCTCTCCCTGTGTCTCTTTTTCTCTCTCCCTCTCTCTGTCAAAAATAAACATTAAAAAAAAAACAGCTCAAGTAGAATCTAGTTTGCATCTGGTAAAGGAGGTTATCTCCCCACTGGAGATGCAAAGGTCCAGGCTGTCTTACAGCCTATGTTTATGGTAGTTGGCATTGGGACCGTAGGATAAGGCAACTGTCTCTACATGGTAGCTTCCTGGCGGCTTCACTCAACTCCTTGCACAGGCAGCCTCCGATGAGCGCTCTTCTGCTTGTGAAAGTGGTGGGTCAAACAAGGGCGCACTTTTACAACTGGCAGGACTGAAGAAGGTTGTTTAGGTGAGGCCAGGGGCAAGTGCCCTTGGACGTTTGACCTTTAGTAAGTCCCTCTCAGGTTCATCCCTGTCTCTGTTACCACCTAAGGGATAAAAAAAAAAAAAAAAAAAAATGGCACCATGTTTTTCAACGAAGGCTAGATTCCCCCACAGTCCCATGCAGCCTCTCCTCATGCTTCTTCAGCAGTGTCTTGTTTCCCCTTTTCTTGTGTTCGAGCCTCCAGCACACACAGTTGTAGGTGACTGGACTTGAGAGCCGGGAGAGTAGGACCCTGTCTCTTTCATTCACTGTTACCTTTCCCGGTGCTGCTGCACAGTAGACACTCAATAAATACATAAGGAATCACTGAGGAAACTGCTCAGGATGTCCACACATATTATGTGTAGCCATGGTCCCAAGTTCTTGCAGCTTTCAGAGCTCTGTATCCCTCATTGCACGGGCTGGTTCAGGTTTAAAGAAACTCCGTGAACCCTTACTATCGTCATTGTCTATTCAGGATTTGAGGTGCCTTCCTCCTCGGGCCCAGGTTTCTTCTCTGTGTCAGCTAACACCACACATACCAGAGCCAGCTCCCTCCTGGGCCTTAGCTGAGGCTGCTGGGCTAAGGCCGGGTCATCCCATGTGCCCAGGATCTTCTTTCTAGAGGGTGACTGGGCCCAAGTACCCTGCCCTTACCTGGGAAGCAATCTGATGTCCCAGAACAGCACTGGATGTAGACAGAGTCAAGGGACTGGTTTTATCATAAGTCCCCTTGTCCCTCAGTCTGTTCCCCTGACCTGTGAACCAGAATCTTTGATGGTAGTGGATCCTTAGTCAGCAGTCAAATGTAGACCCAGGGTCAGGCTTTAGTCTTTATACGATGGCAGTCTGTGGAAAAATGGAGAACATGCAGACTTGCCAACCAGAGACTTTAGTCTTCTCCTTTCCCCAAGGGGCTCACAAGGAACCAAAGAGGCTGATTTCAGAAATATTTTATTTAAAACAAAGCCATAGGAACGATAATAATAGCTAAAATTTGAGTGCCATGCTAAGTACTTTAGAGACTCTTCAATGTTGAGAACAAACTGAGGACTGATGGGTATGGGGGGAGGAGGAGGGGGGTGATGGGCATGGAGGAGGGCACTTGTGGGGATGAGCATTGGGTGTTATATGGAAACCAACTTGACAATAAACTATTAAAAAAAAGATTAACCCTATTTAATATTCAGAACTGAACCCTGTAAGTTCAGTCTTTCAGCCCAGTTTTAGTCACTAGGTAGGTGGGTAAGTGACTTCCCCAAGGTCACATGGCAAAAGACAGCACCAGCCTCTAACTTAGGTGGTCTGGCCCCAGTGCCCCATCCTCTTATACTCTTGACTTTTCATGTTTTAGCAGCCCAGGAAGAGAGAGACCGTGTGTCTTCTGTACACTTCTAAAGGATCTGTTCTTGCTGAGAGCTGCTCCACGTTCACACTGCATACGTCTTGAGTAAGTTCCCACTCTGGGCCATGGGGTCCCTTTTCCGGAAGGCGGGCTTGGTGTCCTGGCCGGGCTGCTATGGGAAAGGTGAGGTTATCTTCTGGGGCTTTCCAGAGCTGTGACACGTGTGGGCAAAGCCGTCTACGCTGGAAGAAGCATCTGTGATGCCAGTGGAAATACCACAGAGCATTGACACAGGGTCTGTTTGTCTACGCAGGTGCTGTCTTTGTACCCACACTCGAGTGACACAAGATGCCCTTCAATGGTGAGAAGCAATGTGTGGGTGAGGACCAGCCAAGCGATTCAGACTCTTCCCGGTTTTCCGAAAGCATGGCTTCACTCAGTGACTCTGAGTGCTCCAGGCAGAGTTTCACAAGCGACTCTTCCAGCAAATCCAGCTCTCCTGCTTGTAAGCTGAGGGAGGCTGGGGGGGCAGGGCCTAGGGGTGGAGAGGCGGTGGTTCTAGACATGTGTGTTAGATTTTAAAACTCATAATGAGAGCAGAGTACAGACACCCCCCCCCCTTTCTAGACATACCGTAATAGCACTGCAAAGGCAGGAGAAAGGAGCCACTGAAGTTTACAACCTGACCATTTTTATTTTCATTACCATCCCTGATCTGCTTTGGTTTGTCTATAAATCAGGTCCATAAACCCCACCTGTCTTTTCTCTTAAGCAGTAGAAAGCCACTCCCTCTTGAGATCACTTCTTGGGCCACATTCAAGGATAAATTCAAATTGGTCTTCTCTGATCATTGCCCATTTAAATGAAAGGAAACATGCCCCAATTCAAGGGTCAGGCAGGAAGTGAAATAATCTAAAAGGTTTCCTGCTGATTTCAAAAACTGTTGTGCAAATCGCCCCAGAAAAGTGCTCGCGAGGAGAATTACTACACTAGGGGCAGAAGAAAGAGTTTAGAAAGTGGCCATAGTGAGAGAGACGTCTTTTTCCTTTATTGTGTGTGAAACCTAAAGGTTGTCAAGCAAGTGTTTTTTTCTTTTTTAGCTTTTTATTAAAAAAATTTTTTTATAGTTTATTTATTTTTGAGACAGAGAGACGCAGAGTGCAAGTTGGGGAGGGGTAGAGAGAGAGAGGGAGACACAGAATCTGATACAGGCTCCAGGCTCTGAGCTGTCAGCAAAGAGCCCAACGCAGGGCTTGAACCCATGAACTGCGAGATCATGACCTGAGCCGAAGTCGGACACCTAACTGACTGAGCCACCCAGGCACCCCTTTTTTTAGTTTTTTAATTGACATTTTGTATAGGAAATGTAGCACCTTAAACAAAGGAAATGCAGAAAGAAACAACTGGTGTTTAATATAATCAAATCCCCACTTCAAAAAGTTTGTTCATTTAAGTATTTAAATTTGTGCAATCTCATTTTTATTTTTATTTATTTTTACTTTTTTACTTTTTTTTTTTTTTTTTACAAATAGTTTATTGTCAAGTTGGTTTTCATATAACACCCAGTGCTCATCCCCACAAGTGCCCTCCTCCATGCCCATCTCCCCTCTCCCCCCCACACCCATCAGTCTTCAGTTTGTTCTCAGCATTCAAGAGTCTCTCATGGTTTGCCTCTCTCCCTTTCCCCCACCATTTCCGCCCTTCTTCTCCCCCATGGTCGTCCGTTAAGTTTCTCCTAATCCTCCTATACGTGCAAACATGATATTTGTCCTTCTCTGCCTGACTTATTTCGCTCAGCATAACACCCTCAAGTTCCATCCATGTTGCCACACATGGCCAGATTTCATTCTTTCTCATTGCCGTGTAGTATTCCATCGTATAGATAAACCACATCTTCTTGATCCATTCGTCCGTTGATGGACACTTAGGCTCTTTCCATGTTTTGGCTATTGTTGAGAGTGCTGCTATGAACATTGGGGTACATGTGCTCCTATGCCTCAGCATTTCTGTATCCCTTGGGTAAATTCCTAGCAGTGCTATTGCTGGGTCATAGGGGAGTTCTATTGTTAGTTTCCTGAGGAACCTCCACACTGTTTTCCAGAGGGGCTGTACCAGTTTACATTCCCACCAACAGTGTAGGAGGGTGCCCGTTTCTCCACATCCTCGCCAGCATCTAGAGTTCTCTGATTTGCTCATTTTAGCCACTCTGACTGGCGTGAGGTGGTATCTCAGTGTGGTTTTGATTTGTATTTCCCTGATGAGGAGGGATGCTGAGCATCGTTTCATGTGTCTGTAGACCATCTGGATGTCCTCTTTTGAGAAGTGTCTGTTCATATCTTCTGCCCATTTCTTCACTGGTTTGTTTGTTTTTCGGGTGTGGAGTTTGGTGAGTTCCTTATAGATTTTGGATATTAACCCTTTATCTGATATGTCATTGGCAACTATCTTTTCCCATTTCGTTGGTTGCCTATTAGTTTTATGGATTGTTTCCTTTGCCATGCAGAAGCTTTTAATCTTGATGAGGTCCCAATAGTTTATTTTTGCTTTTGATTCTTTTGCTTTTGGGGATGTGTCAAGTAAGAAATTGCTGCAGTAGAGGTCAAGGAGGTTGTTTCCTGCTTTCTCCTCTAGGGTTTTGATGGTTTCCTGTCTCACGTTCAGGTCCTTTATCCATTTTGAGTTTATTTTTGTGTATGGTATGAGAAAGTGATCTAGTTTCATTCTTCTGCATGTTGCTGTCTAGTTCTCCCAGCACCATCTGTTAAAGAGGCTGTCTTTTTTCCATTGAATACTCTTTCCTGCTTTGTCAAAGATTAGTTGGCTGTATACTTTTGGGTCCACTTCTGAGTTCTCAATTCTGTTGCATTGGTCTATGTGTCTGTTTTTGTGCCAATACCATACTGTCTTGATGATGACAGCTTTGTAGTAGAGGCTAAAGTCTGGGATGGTGATGCCTCCCGTTTTGGTTTTCTTCTTCAATATTACTTTGGCTATTCAGGGTCTTTTGTGGTCCCATACAAATTTTAGGATAGTCTGTTCTAGTTTTGAGAAGTATGCTGGTGCAGTTTTGATTGGGATTGCATTGAATGTGTTGTGCAATCTCATTTTTAAAACATGAGGAAAATACATGAGTACAGAGAAAAGATTTTGCGTATAGTGTCACCCAAAGGTGACAGCTGGCGGCACTTTGTCACATTCATTTTTCACTTTGACATGTGTATATGTAGGTGTAGACTGTTTTCACTTAGAATTATAATGAAAATGTTTACCCACGAGGATATACTTTTAAAACATTAAGGGCGCCTGGGTGGCTCAGTCAGTTAAGCGTCTGACTCTTAATCTCAGCTCCGGTCATGATCTCACAGTTCATGGGATTGAGCCCCACGTCGGGCTCAGCATTGAGCATGGAGACTGCTTAAATTCTGTCTCCCTCTGCCCCTCTCCTCTGCTTACTGTCTCTAAAATTAAAAAAAAATAGTTAAAAAACCTTTAAAACTACTTCATCAAATGAATATACCACTAATTTATTTAACCATTGATTTGTCATTGGACATTTAGTTAATTTCCTCTCTCTTTTTTTGGGGGGGGGGCTCTGTTACAAATAGTGCTTTATGCTGTATAAAGCCTTTCCAGGAATTCCTTTGGATATAATTGGATTATTGGACCTCAGAGTACAGATATTTTTTAAAAGTTTCTTAATAAGCCAGAGAATTGAGAAAAGAACTCGATAGCAGTCACCCACCTTTCTGCACTTTTTCCATTTTTTTTATATTATATATATAGGGTTGATGCCTCTAACAGGGAACCTAGGCATCTGGACAAGGGACTGTAATAATTCCCTATATCACCATTTTTCCCTCTTCTTCGCCCTCTCTTCCATATGGTCTTCTTCTTTCTCCTCCTCTCCTTTTAAAAATTATTTTAGGTAGCAAAATTTTGCCAGTCAGTACTGTTGTTTGAGGTAATGATTTTTTATTAATTGAAGAGTCCCAATTGTGATTTTTAAAAGACATTTATTAGAACAATTTTCTAGAATAATCTTTAGAAATAATCAGAATAATTATTTACTACTTCTGACTGAAAAATAGATTATCAAGTTTACCCAATTAATTTTAATTATCTGCATTTATTGAGTTCTTGCTATGTTCTTCTTTACTTAAATTATCTTATTTAATCACTTCAAGGCAGCCCTATGAAGTAGTATGTTATACCTTAGTAAAGTCAAATGATAACTACCAAATGGCAAAAATTGGAACCAAACCCAAACATTATGCTATACTGCCTATCCTTTTAGAAGTTATAGTTCTAAGAAATCAGTTGTGTTATTCTGAGTGTGCTTAAATTAATGAGCTATGAATTACAGGGGCGCCTGGGTGGCTCAGTCGGTTAAGCGTCCGACTTCAGCTCAGGTCATGATCTCACGGCTCGTGGGTTCGAGCCCCGTGTTGGGCTCTGTGCGGACAGCTCAGAGCCTAGAGACTGCTTCTGTTAATAAGATAGTCTCTCAAACATATGAGAATTTTTCATCATTAGAGTAACTGAAACTATCAAAGGAGATCTTCTATTGTTGAAGTCTTAAGTAGTAAGTAAGCAGAGGAATCTGCCCAGTTTGGTATGTCTTCTTACTTGTAAGGCCCTGCATGTGTATGTTGCATCTGGAGCCTTCATTGGATGACAGCTTTTCCTCCGTGACATGAACTGGATTTTTTTGTTTTTCTTTCAGCAACAAGCCCTCCCAGGGTAGTAACATTTGATGAAGTGATGGCTGCCACAAGGAACTTATCAAACATGACGCTTGCTCATGAAATTGCTGTAAATGAGAACTTTCAATTAAAACAAGATGGCCTCCCTGAGAACAGGTAACCCAGAGACACTTACGTGTGAACCGAGCTGCAGATTCTCACACACTCGCTCACACACACACACACACACACACACACACACACACGTACACACGTTCACACTGATTCCTAGAAGTCTTGTAAATATCCACTGGGAGTAAACATTGGTTAGTTCTCTAACAAGGTCTTATACTTGTTTTTAAAACCATTCCTCTAGGGTACGTGTTACCCATAATCTTTAGAGCTCACTGTGTGTGTCACTTCCTGTGGAAAGCTTTTCCTGACACTCCTGAACATACTAGACCACATTAGATCCCCTTCCTAAAGACTCCTGTTGCCCCCGCTGTCTCCCTTTGTTAAGAAGACTTTATGTTCAGTGTCTTTCTCTCCCATGTGACCAAAACGCCATCAATGGAGGAACTATGTCTATATAGTTTGCTGCTCTATTCCTATTTCCTAGCAGAATGCGTGACATATAGTACATGCTCAAGAAATGTTTGCAGACTGACTTTAAAAAAACCTGATATTCAGGTTGTGAAAGATAAATGTAGCTGAGTTGCCAAAGTGCAAAGAACAGGTGATCCAGAAGCATCTGGATGTAGGAATCACAACCTCATGGGCACCCCTGGTTAACCTCAGCCCCTGCTCCCTCCTCAAAACCCAGGGACCCCTACTTAGAGCCACACCCTATATTCTACCTCAGCCTCTCTGACTTAGTTGGCTCCTAAAACCCCTGGGACAAAGAAGAGAAAGGGCTTGAGGCCATAACTACAGGTAAATCATCTTTAGATGCAAAGTTAGTTCATGAATAATGGCAGTAAATCTTCAACCTCACAGTATCATTTATAAATTCAGAGACATTCCTTCAATCGATTACGACAGCATATATTTGATTCTGTTTAGAGCTTTTATGCTTATTTGTTTTAAAGCAAGAAAATAGCAAACATCATAATTTTCCTTCTCTAAAATGTAGATTGTAGCCCTCCTGCTCCTGGGGATATTATTCATAATCATCACTAATATTTTTTAAGATTACTGGCCAAAATAGGTAACAGGTATATCTGTTTGGTTTTCTATGGTAACTACATTTCACCACGATCCTTCATACCAGCTCTCCTGCTACACCCCTAGGCCAGGCCACTGTCATTCTCTAACTCTTTCAGTCCTAATGAGTTGCCCTGTCTCCATTCTTGGCGCCCCCTAGTCCGTCCTCTCCATTCATGCGCTAGCTGGAGTGATCATTCTAAAAGTTACTCAGAGAAGGTCATTTCTTAGCCTAAAATCCTTCAGTGGCTTTCTATTACACTTAGAATAAGAAACCCAAACTACTACAAACCCTGTCGTATGGCAGTGAGGCCCATACGTGTCTTTTACTCCTGTCCCTCCTGCTTGCTGTACATCCGCCAAACTGGCTTCCTTGCTGACCTCGAGTACACCAGCTCAATCCCGTCCCAGGGACTCTGTCCTTCTTCTTCCTTCTTTCTCAGTGTGGTCCCCTAGATTTTCACCAGCTGCTTTTTTTTTCTCCTGATTCAAGTCTCAACTCAAAGGTCACTGTACCAGAGAAGCATTCTTCAACGTCCCAGTGAAGTCAGCACCTTCTCCATCACTATGTACCACACTGTCTTATTCTGTCCTCCTCACGGTTCTAAAATTGCCTTATTCATTTTTAATGTGTTTTGTTTTTATCTTTCTGTCCCTGCTAACAATAAGCTTTTTGAGAGCAGACAGCTTTCTTTTTTACTACACTAACCACAGCACCTAAAACAGGGCCAGGTACATGTTGGATGCTGTATAAACATTTATTGACTGACTAATAAAAATGAGTGTTTGAAGTTAACAATGTGGGAGTATTTGTGCTTTAAATTCAAAAGTTATGAATACAGACCAGAGCAAATGCAGTTTAGGATCAGACAGACTCTGGATTTGAATCCTGGCTCTGCTGAGACCATTTCTGAGTTTCACATTCCCCAAGGATGTGATGGGGACTAAAACACAAATGCGTGCTCCTGGGCATTCGAGCGCCTGGAATATAAGCATTATGATACTATGAGAAATAGGAATGCTCTTTTCTTCCTTTCCTGCCTTAGCTGGAAAATGCAAGCAAGGAAAGCGAAATGCAAATTTAGGACAGTTAGTTTTATTTAAAAATGAAATAGCATATTATGAGCTGTTGATTTTTCAGATGACTTTCCACAAGTGGCCCGGTTGTTACTTTTTAGAATATGGCTGACTCAAATTTTACCAAATATTGTCTTTGGGGGGAAAGACTTGGCAAAATATGTCTAATTTCTGATGCCTAGTAAGAATGCTTGTAAATGATGTGATTGATCTCATCCCCCCCACCCCCTGCCCATCCTCCAGAAAATTAAAACGCTAAAAAGTATCTTTCAGCCTTTAGGAAACCTTTCATTTAAACTCCGATGTCCCTGCAGGAGCCATGAAGTTATAGCTCATTCTTGGTCGATCCATTCAAGCCACATACATAAGGCTTGTAAAGTCACGAGTGAAAGCCCATCCCAGCAGTGTTTGCCTTTCTTATTGTTCTGTAGTTGCTCAGGGGGGTCAACATGGGAAATAGCATTTATGTTGAGTAAACCTAGTCAGGCAAGAGAATAAGTGTTAACATTTAAAGTTGCTGAGTAGACCATAGCATCTGCAGTTATGGAAGCAGTTTTAACTTACACTGCTCAGAAAGCTAATTTCAATTTCTCATAGCATTATTGTATGTTTAGCTATTTATACTCCAAAAAGAAAAATTAGGAGATGCATGTAACTATCAAATTATTAATTCGTTTACCATGCATTCATCAAACGCTCACTGTATGCCAGGTACTGTGCTAGGTACAGTGGCAGGTACTTAGAAGGAGAAGTTACGGCCTCTGCCTGGGAGAGATGTGTGCCCCCTATAGCGAAAGGAGACACATAAGTACAGAGCAGGGAAATATGTGCTTTTCTTAAACCTGTTGCCAAATGGTGTAGGAGTTCAGGAGGGATGCGTACTTAAATGTATATCTGTTGTAGGGCACTGCCATTAGGGGGGAGACCAAGTGGCCATCTCTTCTCCCATGAGCTCTTCCTAGGAAGGTTCTATTTCAGCAGCTTGGTCTGGCTAGCTGTGAATGGGACATCTAGGCTGCGGGTGGCAGCCTTTCCCATGCGTACTTCCTTGGGGCCAATCTGTTCTATTCCGTGCAAGGAAACTCCAGCTATTGAGGAAAGAGCCACGTTGCCATCTCAAACCAAACATGTAGAACACGTCTAAACATCTAAAGAGGAGCTGCGTAAATTATGGCCTCTCCCAAAGATAGAATTTTAAGAACTTCTTGAAAGCTATAGCAAGAAGGCATTTTTAGAGTCTAGGGGAAACTCTTAGAACAGAATATTAAATGGGGCGCCTGGGTGGCTTAGTCGGTTAAGCGTCCAACTTTCGCTTAGGTCATGATCTCGCGGTTCATGGGTTCGGGCCCCGCGTCGGGCTCTGTGCTGACGGCCAGCTCAGAGCCTGGAGCCTATTTCAGAGTCTGTATCTCCCTCTCTCTCTGACCCTCCCCTGCTCACACTCTCTCTCTCTCTCTCTCCTAGAAGTAAATAAAAATATTAAAAAAAAAGAACAGAATATTAAATGACACAAGTATATAATGTACCTATTGATGATTCTCAATTGTGTAAAAACATGCATCGGACACAGGAAATATGTTAAAAGATTGAAATGAGATTATGGGCGATTTTCATTCTCTGGGGGTTTTCTTTCTGCATTTTATAAGATTTCTACAATGAGCACATTTATAATCAGGAAAAATAATGCTTATTTTTTAAAACACTTGTTTCCTTCCTGCAGCTTGGCGAGTCGAGTGAAGCACATTGTCCACCAGGCCTTCTGGGATGTCTTGCAGTCAGAACTGAATGCGGAGCCTCCCGAGTATGAACATGCCATCAAACTGTTTGAAGAAATCAGAGAGGTAAGTTGATGCTGTCTGTATTAATGAGTAGTTTTTTCCCCTAAAGACTATTTTCATGTCCTCCAAAGAGTGTTGGAGATTTTCTTTCTCCCTTTCTTTCTTTCTTTCTTTCTCCCTCTCCCTCTCCCTCTCCCTCTCCCTCTCCCTCTCTTTCTTTCTTTCTTTCTTTTTGCGCGAGAGAGACAGCGTGAGCAGCGGAGGGTCAGAGAGAGATGGAGACACAGAATCTGAAGTAGGCTCCAGGCTCTGAGCTGGCTGTCAGCACAGAGCCTGATGCGGGGCTCAAACCCACGAACCATGAGATCGTGACCTGAGCCAAAGTCGTAAGCTCAACCAACTGAGCTACCCAGGTACCCCGAGTGTTGGAGATTCTTTTTGGAAACTGGAGTAAGTCCGGTCACTGGAAGGGTGTTTTCCAAATTACACTTCCTGGGGTGGGGTGGAGGCAAGGGAGCTCAGGCAGTGGAGGGAGCACAGGGCAATGCTTAGCACGCAGAGTGGTGGTCAGAGCAGTTAAGAGCACAGACCAGGACCTAGAAACTGGGTTTAGCGATGGCTTTTCCCTCCTTAAGTCTTAGTGTCCCAAGATATGATATGATATGACATATGATATGATATGACATGATAGTTTTCATGAACATTCACAAAGCCCTTGCTCTATACCATACACTGGATTATTCATTTATCGTTACCATAATGCTGTGAGGTAGTTACCACTGTTACTGAATAAAAAGGAACCGAGCTTCCTCACTTTCCCACGGTTTCCCAACTTTGAGGGGTGGAGAGGGATTTGAACTGAAACACTCTGGCTCAGAGCCTGAGCTCCTGACCGTGTGCTGTGTGTACAATCACAGTGTCTGCTGTGTGGTGAATACTCAGGATAGGTTGCTTATAGGATATATAATAAATATTTTATGTGTAAAATATACTAATGTAGTCCCTGGGGTGTTTCCATTTGCTCTTCTTTAATTTTTTTTTTTTAATGTTTATTTATTTTTGAGAGAGAGAGAGAGAGCGAGTGGGAGAGGCGCAGAGAGAGGGAGACACAGAATCCAAGGCAGGTTCCAGGCTCTGAGCTGTCAGCACAGAGCCTGATGCAGGGCTCAAACTGTGAGATCATGACCTGAGCTGAAGTTAGTTGGACGCTTAACAGACTGAGCCACCCAGATGCCCTCCATTTGGTCTTCTTTTGGAGCCATGATCTGCAACTTATTCTTTCTTTACATGGTTTATTTGTAAACTTTTTGAAGTTATCCCAGTAATACTGCTTCCTTGCCAATTGCTCTTATTCTGAAAGTTTCAGTAACTTCCCATGAGTAGTGGTAGGTACCTTCTTTAATACAGAAGGTAGAGTTGAAACACTGGAATGCTCCTCTGACCCACCACCAGTCAGTGTAAACTTCGGTGGCATTCAGGGCATTAAAATATGGACAAAGAGCTTGGTCATCTAGACATTGAAATAAAAAATGACAACCCTTATTCATGTAAGAATGCCAGTGACTTTTCTTTCCTTTTCCTGTGTAGATTCTCCTCTCTTTTCTGACTCCTGGCAGCAACCGGCTTCGCAACCAGATCTGTGAAGTTTTAGACACAGACCTAATTAGACAGCAGGCTGAGCACAGTGCTGTTGACATTCAGGGTCTGGCCAACTACGTCATCAGTACAATGGGAAAGCTCTGTGCTCCCGTGCGAGATGATGACATCAGAGAGCTGAAGGTTACCAACGACATCGTGGAGGTGTTGAGGTTAGCACTTTTGCTGCTTGCATTTCCTTTCTTTTTTTGTTCATCTATTTATTTATTTTTGAGAGAGAGAGAGAGAGAGAGCACAAGCTGGGGAGAAGGAGGGGAAAACAGAGAATCTGAAGCAGGCTCCAGGCTCACGAGTTATCAGCATGGAGCCCAACCTGGGGCTCGAACTCACGAACTGTGAGATCATGACTTGAGCCAAAGGCGGATGCTCAACCGATTGAGCCACCCAGGCACTCACTGCTTGCATTTTCTGAGAGTACCTTTGAGTTCATTCAAAAGGGATGGGGATTGAGGAACACAGAATAATAACTGGTCTCCCAAAGGAATCCTTGACCCTAGAAGAAAATCAGAGAAGCAAGGAGCAAGTCAGTCATTTACTGCGTACATAGAGTTTTCAGACAGGACGACCTAACGAAGTTGTTAGTTGGTGTGTGGTGGGCCCTGGGGATGGAGTGAGGAAAAAAATATAGCCTCTGACCCCAGGGAGCTCACAGTCTAATGAGAAGACAGACCTTGAACAAGGAATTGCAGTCGTGGTATGTGCTATGGGAGGGGATGTACTGGGGATTAATAGAGCTTCTAGCAGAAGGACCTAATCCAGTCAAGGATCCAGGAAGACGTCTTTATGAGTTAGGGTAATGGTAGCTACTATGACACATACACCCTCAGTTCTGGGTGATTTAACCAGTATAAGTTTCTCACTCATGTCACAGTCTGAATCAGGGGTTCTTGGTCAGGCAGCCTTCCCCATGTTATTTGGGGACCCAGGCTCCCTCCTTCCTTGGCCCCACCATTGCCCAAGGCCCTTGGAGTCCTGTACATTCAGCTAGTGAAAGGGAGAGAGATCCTGGGGAAGACATCTCCAGTGTTTAACCACCTCAGCCCAGAAGAGACACATTCCACTGACTGTAACCAGTCTCAGGGTCGCACCTAGTTGGTTGCTGTCTGGAAATACATTTCCCTAGCCTCAAATATACACTGTGGAAAAAGAGCACAGACCCTTGGTGGGTCAGCTAACCATCTCAGCCCCTGCTTCCCTGAGGAAATGAGGTACACTTTAAAATTGTAAGGATCTAATTCTGGCTGTGTAAACAATAACTTATTTGTGATCCCAGAGGAAAGGGGAGTCTGTAATAGTTTTCACATATGAGAGAAACTTTTCTCCCCAACCCCTCCTTTTTTGTGAATACAGCCACAGTGAAAATTAAGTTTTAGTGTTGGAAAGGTGGGAGAAAGAAATTGGTCTGTATATAGCAGGTAACTTGCTTTACTCACTTGGGCAAGTTGATAACCTCTCAAAGTCACACTTTTCCCCATCTGTAAAATGGGCTGCACGTGTCCATAGAGTTGTCTTCGGCTCTGGCATACAGTGACTCTTCAGTTGCAGAATCCATGTTTTGAATCATCTTCTTACCCATGTGTGGTGTCAGATCTGTGTTCTTCATCTTGGCCATATATTGAGCACCCCCTGGGTACCACTGTTCCCTCCATTGTGCCTTCACTCTCTCATTGACCCTCTACAACTTCCCTCCAAGACTGGTCTTGCCTCTTCTTGCACAGGTGAGGAAACTTGCACAGAGAGATTGAGTAACCTGTGCCTGGCCACAGAGCTGGTCAGCTGCAAGGCTGCATTTGAGCCCAGGTGTGCCCAATTCGAAACTGAAGTATTTTTTTCCCCGTTCCTTGCTTCCCTGTTCTTTTTCTTCTTTTCCCTCCCCCCCCCCCCCCCCCCCCCCCCCCCCCCTTAGGAGTAGAAACCAAGTACACTATGTACAGACTCCTTAAAATTTTAGGGCTTTCCAATGCAAATTCCTTCTTGAATCTTTGTCTCATTGTTTATGCTTCTTAGTGACTACCAGTTTCCTGCTGGGTGTAATGGATCAGGTGGAGATATTGTATTTGCTAAAGCAAATACTCTTGAGGTCTATGAAGAATACATTTAGAATGCATGTGTACCTTGCCAGTGGCAGTTGGAATTTGAAAACCATTTGGGGGCTGTTTATATTTTCCAACCTGTAAAATAAATCACAGTTAATGAATTTCAGCTTAATTTCTTTCTTTTTATTTTTAATGTTTTTTTAATTTATTTCTGAGAGAGAGAGAGACGGCACAAGCAGGGGAGGGTCAGAGAGAGAGGGAGACACAGAACCCGAAACAGGCCTCAGGCTCTGAGCTTGCTGTCAGCACAGAGCCTGATGCGGAGCTTGAACCCACAAATCATGAGATCATGACCTGAGCTGAAGTCGGACGCTTAACCGACTGAGCCACCCAGGTGCCCCTCAGCTTAATTTCTTAATCACCTCTCTAACTATTTTAACTCTACAACTTTTAGACAAATATTTCATGTTCTGGACCTCATGAAAATGGACATGGTCAATTTTACAATTAGGAGTCTTAGACCACATCTTCAACGCCAGTTGGTGGATTATGAGAGAACCAAGTTCCAAGAAATTTTGGAAGAAACTCCGAGTAAGTACAATATAATGTGTACATATTGAAACTAAGCGGAAATAAGATGTTATATTTTGGTACCTTAAGGAGTGTCACTAAAGAATTTTGACTTTTTTTTTAACTTCTAAACTCGATCACAAAGTTATGGCTGTTTGCTGTGTCCCAAGAACTGGGCCAAGCACTATTCATTTCTTCATACATTAAAAAATATATATATTTATTGAGCACTTGCTGTGCCCCCGACAGACACTGCTTAGTTGCCGTGGATACTGACGTGAGGAAAACAGTGCTGTGACCCCTGCAGAGCTGACATTCTAAGAGGCATGACAGGCAAACAAACATGTATTGTCAGATGTGTTAAGTGCTGTGAAGAAAAGCAATAGGAAAAGGGCAGACGGCAATGGGGCAGGCGTGGGGGGAGTGGTGTTTTTTAGGACAAGGTGAACTGGAAAGATCTCTTTAAGAAGGAAGAAAGCAGAGTTTGCAAAGGGAAGAGGAAGGGGCATATGAAGGTGTGAGAGAAGAACATTCCAGCCACAGGGAGCTGCAAGGACAAAGGCGCTGAAGCAGAAGCGTGTGCATGAGGTTGGACAGACACACCCCAGACAGTGTGGCCGGAGTAGAGCAGGCAGGGAGAGAGTGGGAGGAGACGAGGCCGAGAGGTAGACAAAGGCAGGTCATACAGAGCCTTGCTAGGAAATGAGAGTTTTGACATTTATAGTAGCTACAGCTGTTTTAAATTTGGAATGGGCCTCTCTATTACTAACAGTACTCAGTGCCACCTATCATTTTGTTGAGCACTTACTATATGCTGAGTCCTTACTGTGTGCTTTCATTTTGTTGAGCACTTATTATATGCTGAGTCCTTACTGTGTGCCCAACACTCTGATTAGCCCACTCAAGCCTCACAATAGCTCTATGAAACTGGTACTATTATCACTCACTGTTTATAAATGAAGAAATTGAGGTTAAGGTTCTTGCCCGAGGTTGCTGCTGAAGCCTGGATGACCCAGACATGTCCCTGCCCCAAAGCTTATACGCTCAACTGCCTCATAACACTGTCTCTCTTCAAATAAGATACTGACCGTCTGTGGGGGGGTCTCTAGCAGGGGGTGCTGGCATTGGGTGGTGGATATGACTCTTGTTGTGGAAGGACCCTTGGAAGTCACCTTGGAATCACATGAAATGAAGTTCTATGAGACTATTTGATCAGATATAAGATATTATCTAAATAAATAAAAACCTTTTCTTGCTGAGTATCTTAGAAATTACCTGTGGCCTGGCCCCATATGATTTCAGGTGACTTCCAAGGGTCCTTCCACAACAAAAATTCTGTGACTTCAGGGCTGTATTGTTTTAGCTCTAAAGGGAGAGAGATTAGTGGAAACAGAACCCTGCAGAGAACCCGAATCTGAAACCTGAACTACAGTAACTATGTTCATAGCAGGGTTTTCCTTTCCAGCGTTTTATTGGTTGGTTTCATTTGTGTGCCTTTGTACACGTGTGTGTACACACGTGTGCAAATGTCTCCATGTCCTGACTCAAGCTAGCTTGTCATTTGGAGCGAATTCCTTAATATTGGGTTGAATGACCATTTTGCTCGTCTTAAATGATTTGTTTCTGTCCTTAAAACTCAAGCTTCGTGACCTGCATTTATACTTTTCACATTGACTTGGATATTTCCAGAGATTTAAGAATAGAATATCTCCAGTTGTGCATATAGGTCATTATTTCCCAACTCTAAATATGTTCCCAGAGAAATCAAGAGTCCAGGAAGCGGCATGTATGTCAGCTGTTAATTATATCCTCAAGTCACTCTGCCAAAAGTCGGCCACTGTGCCCTAATATCAAAATAAGAGCCTCACAGGAACATGCAGAAGGACAAAAGAGTTGGGTTTTTGTGTGTACGTGATTTTTATAAAATAAGTATTGGAAAATTAATACAGAGGAGTACTCTAGATTTCTGAATTGATTCCAGAAAAGATTTTACTTTGCCAACAGGGAGAATTTATGTAATTGCCTGATGTAACGTACACCCAAGAAAGCCTTAGGCACTGATTGGGCACATGTAACATCAACAAGATCACCACCTCAGGTCCAACAACTCAATTACCTGTGGAAAGAGTAACAGACTACCCCGAGGGGGCCAGGCCACAGGTAATTCTAAGACACTCAGCAAGAAAAGATTTTTATTTATTTAGATAATATCTTATATCTGATCAAATATTCTCATAGAACTTCATTTCATGTGATTCTTTCAAAACTCCTGTGGGACATAACTATTTTTCAAAAACCCATGAAACTGCATTGTAACTGTCTTTGCCTGGCACACGAGGCATTCCGGAACTACTAACGGAACATTCCAAAGATGAGCAAACTGATGTTCGGCAGTGGCTGCCCAAACGCAAGAACTCCTAACGAGTAGTGCAGCCAGGACTGGGAGCCAGGCCTCCCACATCCAAGCCAAGATTCAACCAAGCTGCTGCTTTGGCTGCTTGCTTTGGATTTTTCACTTTTGTGTTATATCAATGGGGTTGTATGGCAAGCAACAAACACTAACTCTGGCTGATTCAGCAAAAAAAGGAAGTGAATGGAAGGATGGAGTCAGTTCACAAAAAGCTAAAATACCTGAGCCTGAGCAAGGCCAGAAACCCAGAGAGCATCAGGAATCTGGGCAGAAAAAAGTAAGGGAAAGTTCCCAGCTCCATCATCAGAACTGTTCATTTGTGCTTTAAAATGGGCCGTCCTTGGGGCGCCTGGGTGGCTCAGTTGGTTGGGTGTCCGGTTTCAGCTCACATCATGATCTGATGGTTTGTGGGTTTGAGCCCCCAAGTCAGCCTCTGTGCTGAGCCTGAAGGCTGCTTCAGATTTTGTGTCTCCCTCTCTCTCTGCCTCTCCCCTGTTCACACTCTGTGTCTCACTCTCTCTCAAAAAAAAACATTAAAAAAATAAATAAATAAAATGACCCATCCTTGAATGCTATAGTCACCCTTCAGGTACCAGGAAGGTCTGATGGGCATGTGATTCAACCAGGCCAACCCAAGGGGTTGGGGGCTTTCCTGGTCAGGGGCCTGTTAACTGATATTCACAAAAGAAAGCATGGAAAGAGGAAAAATGATTTCTCAAAGAAATCAGTACCAAGGGACACCTGGTTGTCTCAGTCTGTAGAGCATGTGACTCTTGATCTGGAGGTTGTGAGTTCGAGCCACATGTTGGGTGTGGAACCTACTTAGAAAGAAATCAGTACCAAAAGAAAGGAGATGAGGTGTTGCTAGGCATAAGAGAGCAGGTGTCCTGGATAAGGGAACTATATTCCTCTAACTGAAAATTGGGGTAGTATGTCTGAATATTTTCCAGAATATTGAAAAGGGGAGCCATCTTTGCATAATACCGGGGGCTCCCATTCACATAATCCACACCATTGTCTTAGTTTATGTGAATACTGCCTGCTCAGAATTATACCAGCTGTCCCCCAGATCCAGGATGTAGAGTTGCTGCCTTTTTAGGGGTCACTCAGAGTTCAAGCTTAGGTACCAGATTTCATGCTTAGCTACCATATTAGAAGGCAGCAGAGATGGGAATTGTATTCCTTGAAGAATCTATATATGATTACCCTTGATACATTCATCTTGGAGGCTCAAATACTAAACTCATTCATACTAAATGGGGAAATTTTACCGGGCATTCCCTTGACTGCTATTTGTAATATTAAATAACACAATCAGTGGCTCTTACATAATATAAATATTTGTGTGTGTGTTTAGTGTTGATGAAGTATTATGCGACTTCAGCCTTCACTTGCCCGGGTTAGATTCAGTGACTTAGTTGGCAAACCCATAACCTATATCTCCCTCTTTTAAACGTCATTGGTGTATGCTATTCATGCAATAAAAGTGCCCACTTTAAGCGAGTAGTTCTGAGTTTTGACCAAAGAATATGCCCCTGTAACTACAGCTACAAGCAAGATATAAAGCATTTCTGTCACCCCAAAAAGAACCCTCTTGAGCCTTGTGGTCAGCCTCCCCCATCAAGGTAAACACTGATCAAATTTTTGTTATTGTAGATTAGCTTTGCCTCTTTTAGAACTTCATATTAAATGGAACAACACTCTGTGTTCGCTTTTTTGTCCAACTTCTTTTACTAAATGTAAGATGTTTGGGATTCGTCCATGTTGTGTATGTATCAATAGTTTGTATTACTGAGAAGTATCCTATTATATGATTGTCGCATACTTTGTCCATTTACCTGTTAATGGACATTTACCTTGTTTCTGGCCCTAGGTTGCTATGAATAAAGCTGCTGTGAACATTTGTGTACCAGTCTATGTATGTGCACATGTTTCTAGTTCTCTTGTATAAACACTTAGGAGTGGAATGGCTGGGTCATTATGTTAAATATATGGTTAACTTTATAAGAAACTAGTAGTTGTTTTCCAAAGTAGTTGTACTGTTTTATACTCACCATCAATGTATGAGAGTTCCAACTGCTTTACATTCTCACCAACACTAGTTATTACCAGTCTCTTAAAGTTTACCCTTTATAGAGGGTGTGAAAGTAGTATCTCCCTGTGGTTCTAACATACATTTCACTGATGATGAATGATGTTGAGCATCTTTTCATATGCAAAGTAGCCATTTATCTTCTTATGTGAAGTGTCCATTCAGAGCTTTTGCCCTGTTTTTAAATTGGGTTGTCTTCTTACTGAATTGAAGAGCTCTCAATATATTCTGGAAACAAATCCTTTATCAGATTTATGTATTGTGAAAATTTCCCCCCATCTGTGTCTTGCCTTTTTCATTTTCTTAACACTAACCTTTGCAAAAGAGAAGTTTTTAATTTTGATGAACTCCAAATTATAAATTTTTATTTTATTTCTGAATTTAACAGTGTGTCTACAAAATCTTTATATATCCCAAGGTCATGAAGATTTTCTTAAATGTTTTATTCTAGAAGTTCTATAGTTTTAGGCCTAGGAACCATATGCTTATACAACCATCATCAGTATTTAATTCCAAAAGATTTTCACCACCTTATGAAGAAACCCCATACTTATAACCAGCTTCCCATTCCTGCCTCCCTTTGCCTTTGACAACCACTGATCTATTTTCTGTTTCTACTCTTTATGGATTTGCCAATTACGGGCATTTCATATAAATCGAATCATGCAATGTGTGGCTTTTCTGTGTCTGACTTCTCTCAGTATAATATATTCAAGATTTACCCATGTAGGGGTGCCTGGGTGGCTCAATCGGTTAAGTGTCCAACTTCGACTCAGGTCATGATCTCACGGTTCGTGGGTTCGAGCCCTGCATCAGGCTCTGTGCTGACAGCTTGCTCAGAGACTGGACCCTGCTTTAAATTCTGTATCTCCCTCTCTCTCTGACCCTCCCCTGCTCCCGCTGTCTCTGTCTCTCTCTCTCTCAGAAATAAATAAAACATTAAAAACAATTTTTTAAAAGACTTACCCATGTTGTAACTGCCTGCAAATAAAGACAGTTTTACTTCTTTTTAAAAATCTGTGTGTCTTTTATTCCTTTTCCTTGCCTTATTGCACTGACTAGGACGTCCAATCAGATGATCAATAGTAGTCATGAGAGAGGGCATTCTTGCTGTTCTAGGGGAAGAATGTTCATTGTTTGACTCTTAAGTATGATATTAGCTGCAGCTTCTCACAGATGTTCTTTTCTGTATTGAGAAAGCTCTATTTCTAGTTTGCCGAGAATTTTTAAATAGGTCACGTGTTAAATTTGGTCACATGCTTTTCTGGTATACTGAAGTGATCATTTTTTTCTCCTTTATTCTGTTAATGTGCTGAATTACAGTGATTTATGTTTTTCTTTTTTTTTTTTTAAGCTTATTTATTTATTTTGAGAGAGACCAAGACAGTGTGAGTTGGGGAGGGGCAGAGAGAGAATCCCAAGCAGGCTCAATGCAGAGCCTGATGCAGGGCTTGAACTCACAAAACTGTGATATCATGACCTAAGCCAAAACCAAGACACTCAACCAACTGAGCCACCTAGATGCCCCAATATTTTTCTAATGGTAAACCAACCTTACAATCCTGAGATGTTTATCCCACCCCTTATTCATGGTATATTACTTTGCTAATACTTTACCTAATTAATGCCTTAAGGATTTTTTGCATCTATATTTTTAGAAAGAGATCATTCTGTAATTTTCTTGTAATGCCTTTGCCTGGTTTTGGTATCAGGACAAAGCTGGCCTCATAAAATGAATTGAGAAGTGTTCCCTTTTCTGCTTTCTGAGTTTACAAGAAACACCTTGCACTGTTGACATCCAGTAAACATTTTACTGGATGACGGTGGGGAAGGAAAGATAGCTTCAGGCCTATAGGACCAATCAATTTGTCAGTCAGAAGGAGACTATTTGGGCCATATCCTAAGCCCATGGTTCCTTCCAGAGATGGTGAAATAAATTGGAAACCTACCAGGTCTCTCATGCCAGCTACAGAGAGGAGAGGTTTTTGAGCACCCACTATGTGACAAGTACCACCGGGAAGATATCTGAGTAGTTTCCACAGCAACGGGTCTCCCAAAACAGAGCCACATTCCACACACCTATCAAGTTGTGGTATGAATTAAGGGAAAGAGAAATAAAAAATACAGATCATAGGTTGGACTCAGTGATCTCACTAGTAAGATGAAATTGAGATGAAGGCACATGAAACATTTAATGACAATTAAAAAAAAAACAAGCTGGTTTTCAGTTCAGCTGTTTAAGAGAAATGACAGCCAGATGAAAAATTCAAAGATGGGTGCTCCAAGAAGGGAGAGAGAAGAATGAGTCCATGCGACCAAGAAAGGCTTCCCACAGGAAGAGATCTGGGCTAGACCAGTAAGGACTGGCAGGATTTAGATTTAGAGAACCAAGGATAGTTTCAGGGAGGGGAGGGTTAGGCCAAGCCTCTCTGGCAGGAAACCAGGAGCATGTATTGATGGGGAGGAAAGTCAGGTGCTGTGTCTCCAGATACTGGGAAATTCTTGGGTAAATGTGCCTGTAAAGCCATTGCTTGTTCTTGTGTTTCTCCTTCCTAGTAGACCAAGAACTTCTTCCATGCAGGGAACATGTTTACCCTTAGCACTTAGTATGGTACCTAGTGTATGCTCAGTTATCATTGAATAAATGAGTGAATGGAGAGAATTACTGCCCACGTGAAAACCAAGTGTCTCATGGGGTTGACCTTCTTTGGAGCTACATAGTGTTCAGTGTACTGGCTTGTGGGAGTGCTAACTCAGCAGATCCCTCCGAGGAAAACTGATGTTTCACTCTAAACCTGTGCTTTTTCTGTTTTACCAGTCCTACTCAATTCTGGCTGTGGACTAGGATCACCTGGAGTGTTTAAACACAGATGCCTGAACCCCGTCTCAGGCTGATTAAGTCATAATCTCCAGGAGCTCTGCCCAAGATCTTTTTTTCTTTTTAAAGCTCCCCAGGTGATTCTAAAATCAGCCACTATTGAGAACCGCTATGGTACACTGTTGCTTTTGTTTGAGATAACTAAATGGGCTTTTAAATGTGTCAGCTGTAAATGATTAAGAGTGCAGTATAAATGCTTATTAGTGCTGCATTATAATTATATCCATGAAGATTTCCTCTACCCCCTCCCTCCCCCATTGGATATCTTTTAAATAAAAGACTACAAGTCTTTTACATCCTTATGAAAAGAATTTGAAAAACCAAGAACAATATTTGCCCACTGAGGAGAAACAAAGTTGTGAAATTCTGGCGTGGTGTTACTCCAGTGTAGCAAACAGAGCTGTTCATAAATTACCCCCGTTCAGGCTCTGGGTCTGAGGAAGAATTTCAGGGTCATTATTCTTTATTTCATTCTCTGATGCTTTTAAATAAAAATCTGCACCTGTGTTCATACTGCATTTTTTTTTTTAGCAGTTTCCACCTTATAAATTCTACTAAATATACAGTGTTAAAAGGAATGTGGTATAAAAAGCCAATCTTTTCTACTGGGAAACCTTAGAACTGAGTTGAAAGTAAAGTGCATGCATGTGCATTTTGGGAAAGGCATAGCTCTGAATCAGACACTCAGGGGGTCCAGGACCCAAACATGTTTAATAATCAATGCCTTTAGTCTAACTACCTTCTCTGCACAAAATTCAAAGTTGAGTGTGAGCTGGCTCCTGCCTACCCATCCAATGCCACCTGCTACCACTCTCTTCCCCCTGGTTTTCTATGGATCAGTGATACAGATTTGCCTGTAGCATCCAGAAGGTGCTATATCTTGTCTCTTTTCTGGGATTTTGTATGGGCCACTCGCCTATCCTGGAGTGACAGCTCTGTCCTCTGTCCGTCATGTACCTTGAGGCATCAGTCACAGAGCTCTTCCTTAGAGTCTGTCCTGGACAACCTCTGCTCTTCACTTCCATGTGCCTTCTAGCATTTATTAGATCTGCTGTAATTGTCTGTTCACGGTTCTGTCTCCCCATCTGGGCTCGAAGCTCCTTAAAGGGTGTGCCTGTCTTCTCATTCATGCCCAGCTCCTGTCATGACATCTGTCATGTAGAATGCACACACGGAGGATCTATCAGCCGTGGGACAAACATGTGGCCTTTTCACTTTCAGATGCTCTTGATCAAACTACAGAATGGATAAAAGAATCTGTAAATGAAGAAATACTTTCTCTTTCTGAGACGGCTTTAACACCTGGGGCTGAAAATAGCTCTAAGCCAAGCCTGAGCCCTACTCTGGTGCTAAATAACAGTTATTTAAAACTGTTGCAGTGGGATTATCAGAAGAAAGAATTACCGGAGGTGAGTGATTTTTTTCTTCCCTCAAGTTTTCCAGTATTTCAATTCTTCAGTTCTATCAGTGTATCAGCTAGTCTGTCTAGTGTTGCGTGTGGTTTAATGACTTTCCTGAAAGCAGATGAAATGGGAATTTGGATGTAACATTGTTTGTTTTATATTTTCATGGTATTGAGCTTCCCTTTCTATTTTTACATTTAAAATAAACATGCTAGACACTCATGACAGATGGAGCACGTCTTCAGGAACTGACAGAAAAGCTGAATCAGTTGAAAATTATTGCCTGCCTGTCCCTAATTACCAACAATATGGTGGGTGCTCTTACAGAAGGCCTTCCCGAGCTTGCAAACAGGTTAAAAAGGATTTCAGCTGTTCTACTTGAAGGCATGAACAAAGAGTAAGTTCCAAGTGTTTTTATCTGCTCATCCTCGTATTAAGGCCCTGCATGTATTTCAGAGATCGTGAATAACCCTGGATGTCTGCGTGTGGTATTCAGGACTGCACTTTAGAGAAGCTTATCTTCCAACTTCTTTTTCTAGAATTTCTTTTAATATCTCTGAAGGTGTAGATGTCCTTTCATAGGGAAGGGAGAAGTCTTTTCCGTGACAAGTGCCAGGGTGAGTGTCCTGTTTCCACTTGGGATGGGCATGGACAAGAGCTCTTCTTTGCCAGTCCTGTGGAACCCAAGGCCTCTAAGGAAAAGAAACCTCTGGGCTTGCAGCTGGTCTTACCTTAACATTTCCCCACACTGGGTAACTTACCCTCCAGAAATTTGTTTTTTATTAGAGAACCCACAATGCTGCCGAGGTATTAATATAAAGCAAATAGCAAATAGCAAAGTGGTTACAGAGAAGACAGGCTTCAGGTCAGACAGACCAGGGTTTAAGTCCCAGCTCTGCTGTTGACTTGTTAGGTACCCTCGAACAAGTTCCCAAATGGCTCTGAGCCTCATTTTCTCATTTGCAAAAAGAGATAGTTGTGCCTACTTACAAATGTGGGACATTAAGATGGTTCCTTGTGAAGCACTTAATGCAGGTATGGAGTGCTCGGTCCGTGTTCACTTTTAATGACTTGTTAATTATCTCCTGTGTACATTCATGCTCTGCCTCTCTGATCACTTTGTTTTGTTAAATCCCTCACCTCCACCCCCGTTCTCTCACCCTTTAATTCCAAGTTTGCACATGGTTATCTTGAAGACCATTTCTAGGGGCACCTCAGTGGCTCAGTTGTTTGAGCATCCAACTCTTGATTTCAGCTCAGGTCATGATCTCATGGTTGTGAGGGGATTCTCTCTCCCCTTCTCCCTCTGCCCTTGCCCTGCTGGTATTCTCTCATGCGCGTGCTCTCTCTCTCTCTCTCTTAAAAATATTTTTAAAATGACCATTTCTGGACAGCAAGAGACCATTTTCAATCATCATTCCCCAATAGTGTGGACCCAATGCATGCCCTTTCTCATTACCTCTTTTTTCTTACCTTTTAAGTAACCCCCTTCCAATTACTTTTCACGATTTTCTGGACCCTATGTATTTGGGATTTTTGATTGGTTACTTGAAAGTAAAAATAGGAAGGAGCTTCTTATCTTTGACCATGAAAGGTCAAGAATTTTAGGTAATTTGTCATTATGATGTTAACCTCTGAATATTTTCATTTCTTGTTTTTGATTGGCTTTATAGATTCACTGTTCAGGCATGGACAAAGGAATTGATTTTACCTCATTGCATAAACATAGATTTAACAACAACACATCTATAAATAAATCCATGCAGACCAAAGGGTTTAGTCTAAAGAGTAAATAGGTATTTTCTTTTCCTTTCCAATGGTCCTGCATGAAAATAAGGATGCAGACTTTCTTTCCAGGACCACACTTTTTGACTGCTTTCCTAACTAAACACTACCTACAGAATTGGGTGCTTTAACCATTTAAAAAATCTGCTACATATGAAATTTGGTGTTTAGAAGAGTTGCTATATTCTAAGTTCATGCTAATGGAGGTACTTATTTGTGTAAATGAAAAGTGATAGACATTTGAAACAAGTTAGTATGTTAAAAAAATAAATAAAAACTGATGAACAGAAAAGCTGTTACTGATGCAATTTTGTTTTGTTTTTTAGGACCTTTAACTTGAAGGAAGTCCTGAATTCTATCGGTGTTCAGACTTGTGTTGAGGTTAACAAGGCCCTGGTGGAGAGAGGTTTATCCATTTTAAATGCTGAGGTCCAAGCTAATCTTATAGGTCAATTTTCAAGCGTTGAAGAGGAGAATAATCCTATCTGGTCCTTGATTGGTGGGTCCTCGTGTTTTTATTGGTTTCTGCTTCGATTCCAATTTACTTTATGGTTTTGACTAGTGTCAAGTATCCATTACATTTTAGGCTCAAACAGATTACCTGTTCCTTTGGAAGAATAAATATTAAAAATATAAAGAAAGAATCTGTACTTTGAAAGGTTTGGGACTCATCACTTCTTCTCTGTGTATATGTAATGGGTGGGGCAGGGGCGGGGGGTTATAGAATGTTCCTGGGCCTTCTATCTTACTATCCAGCCAATAGATTTTTTTTTTTGATGTTTTATTTATTTCTGAGAGAGACAGCATGAGCAGGGGAGGGTCAGAGAGAGAAGGAGACACAGAATCTGAAACAGACTCCAGGCTCTGAGCTGGCTGTCAGCACAGAGCCCGACGCAGGGCTCGAACCCATGAGATCATGACCTGAGCCAAAGTTGGACGCTTAACCAACTGAGCCACCCAGGCGCCCTAGCCAATAGATTTTTTTGAAGAAAGTAACATAACACTACCAGTAGTGTTAAAATCCTAGATCAATGCAACAATCGAAACCAGCTGGCAATATGTTCACAGGAAAGAGGTACCAGTTCTCCTGTGAGCTTTGCTCAGCAAGTGACTAACTTGGTGTCAGGTTGTGTTGGTGAGTTGAGAAAATGGAGAATGCATCAGTTAGGACTCTTTCTGTTTACCTGTGACAGAAGTGAACCAGCTTAGGCAAAAAGTGTCGCTGGCACTAGTTTCCCCACCTCCGTCCCTCAGCACTGCCCGCCTTTGGGCTGGCTGTCTTCACAGATAGACTCTTTCCATCCAGGCAAGACACCTTCAGCTCTAGCCTGCATCTTTCCACCTCGAAGTCCAGTGAAAAACAAGGTGTTGGCTTCCCTGTGAACTCAAAGAATGACCCCAGAACTGAGTCTCGTTAGCTCCACTTGGCCTGACTATAGGTCGTGTCACGTTCTTGAATCCGTCATGGTTTCAGAGGGGAGGAACTTGAGCCCGAGACGTGTGTTCAGTTCCTGGAACCAGAGTGAGTCCACTTTCCTTACAATACCTGGTCTGAGAGTAAGGAAGAGATGATTTCCCCCAAACGGAATCCGGGTGCCGTGGCCATAAGGAGGGGGGAAGGGTGATGTGGGGCACAAGGCAAGTGTCTGCTACCGAGAGTGAGGAACAAAGACCTGAAAGAGGAAAAGAGCATAGAATGGGAACGTACTAACATTCTAGGACTAATCTGCAAGTTTTCAAAGTATAACACTGACTTCCCTAAGAACACAAATACTTGTTATTATTTATTTGAGGCTCTCACATAGTTTCTCTCACCCTTACTCCCTGGGGACATGGAATGCTAGAGCTCTAGGCCCCATAAAGCTCAAGGCTTCAGCCCCTCCCCAGAAAGGAGCAGTGCGGGTGAGCAGAACTATGTGCTACTGGGAGGTGACCGTGGATGACAGTGACAGACACAGTGCAGCTGCAGCCACCTGTGGCTGAGCCCTTCCCTGATGACTTGTGTCTGTCCTCATAGCCCATGGTGTCCAGCAGAACAGCCAATGCCTGGGAGATTGTGTTCCCGGGAGGAAGGGGGCAGACTGTCTGCAGTCTGCCACATGCCCCAAGCCCCCACCGGTGTGCAGGCCTCGTGAGGGTGGGATGTGTGTCTCTTCTCTGCTGTATCCCTGTACCAGGCTGGACCCACAGATGACATTTCATAAATACAGGTGACCCTTGAACAACACACATTTGATTTTCTTTGATAAATACAGTACAGTACTAGAAATGTATTTTCTTCCCCTTAGGATTTTCTTAACATTTTCTTCACTCTAGCTTATTTTATTGTAAGAATACAGTATATAATATATATACGAAATATATGTTAGTCAACTGTTATCAGTAAAGCTTCTGGCCAACAGTAGGCTATTAGTAGGCTTTTGGAGACTCAAAAGTTAGAAGCAGATTTTTGACTCTGCGATGGGGGAGGGCCAGTGCCCTTCACCCCCATATTGTTCAAGGATCTGTCTGTGTTTGTGGAAGGGGTGAGGGCCCTGGGGACTGAGACTGGGTGAGTGTCTCTCCGGGAACCAGCTGGTTGCAGACCAGGGACTCTCAACGACACAGTCTTCCTCTGGACTCACATTCTTAACTACTCGTGGAGGGCACTCCAGTCAGAACTGGAGCCCTGCTACTGATTGGCATGATGGCCAAAGCCTCCAAGTGTCCCCTGTGCCCTTGCTTCAGATAAGGGAAGTTCTTGCAATTTCAGAAGGGAGAGGGAAGCTGTGATGCCCTAGCTGGATGGCCCCACCCCATGGTGGCCTCTTAAAATCCAGTAAAGCACCTTTTTTTTTTTTCACTCAGCTCTCCCCAGTCCAACTTTCCTGCTCTTTTGCAAATTGAAAGCATTTTTTAACCGCAAAGTATCGTTGCCTAGCTACTCAAGTGACTCACTTCAACATCTCTCCTTCGATTCTGGAAGCCAAGGGCACGCCTTTGGCAGGGACTCGGTTTGGCTGCTCCTAACTGGACAGACGCTTCTGTCATTTTAGTCTTGGCCTAAAAACTGACTCGTTCACAGAGGAGACAGAGCCACTTGTCAGCATAATAACAGTTTTGAAAGAGTCTTATTCTTTGAACAATCTTTCAGGAAGGTGTTCGGACTGGATCTGTGATGAAAACAGACCTGGGCTTCTAAGAGTTAGGCAACCAGTCTAACAGGAAATTTAATTCACTCTTAATTTCCTGCCTGCAGAAGAGTTGGAGTGAATTAAGCACTCAGAGGAATCCCGGGGACATAAGAAGGACCAGTTAACCATGGATTCCCTCCCCTCTTCCCAGTACCAGTAGTCTGCCCTCCTTTGTTCTTGAGGGATGCGCTGTTTATTTACAACAGGATACAACTCCCACTGTGTTCTTAGCCTTTTAAAAAGATAATTAGAAAAGTTTTCTTTCAAGCCAGATTTTTTCAAGTGTGTATGGAAACCAGATAAAAATTATTTATAGATTGCCTGCCATGTAGGCTATTTGCATGCTTGGAGCCATTTCTGGTTTTTTTTGAAAGTAATTTTCAATTGTACAAGTGATGCACACATGAATGATTTCTTCTTGACAAATTACAGGTCAGGCCAAGTCCTCTTTGATTGCTTTCGCCCACCCGGGGTCCTCCGTGACTCTATTGTTTTCAACTGGGTGTATTCATCTTTTAGGAGCTTTTTCATTCCATTCTCACCTCAATTCAGTCAGCATCTGTGATGTGCCTGCCACGTGCCAGACCAGGGATATAAAGACCCCTCACCCTCAGAGAGCTCTAGAACTCAGAGAGCTCTAAGAAGGGAGAGAGACACACGTTCTCAAGTCATAGTAATCTAGCATGATTATCTGACAAATGTTAGGGAAAGCTACAGAAAGGAGGTAACTTTAGCCTTGGTGTTGAAGGATGCTTTGGCCTTTGGGCAAAGATGAGGAGAGAGAGAAGAGCATTCTAGTAAGGGAAGACAGTTCTGGCTAAGACAAGGACATGGGGACATTGGAACTTAGAGTTCTAGGTCAGATCTGGTTGCAATATGTGACTTTTGGGAGAATTGTTTGGAGATAAGAGTTTCATTCATACCATCATTGTCCATATTCGATGGACTGTGTTCTCCTTAGCAAACTTTTCTTCGTGAAGTTTCTGTTTCCAAGGCCAAAAAAAGTCCTTGGGGCAGCATGGCCTGTGGCGGATCTGGTTTGTGTGGTACTAATTGCCTGATACTGTTGCAGCGCAATTTATTTATGCATTTGCATCCTTCTGTAAAGTCACCTCACATGCAAATGCATTGAAGCATGGATTAGGAGGGCAGAGAAGATGGCCAACTGGAGTGCCAGATAGGGCAGCCGCTCCTCAGTGCCTCCAGACTGTTGGCCACAGGTGGGGTAACTGTTTAACTTACTGTCCAAACCAGGACACTTTTTAGAGCACGCTTGTTAATTATTACAGGACAACAGGTGTAAACTTTGACTGTTCTGGGAAATCCTGGAAGTGTGGTCCCCCTGTCATGTGGTATTTTGGGCCCCCAAGTTTGCCTGATCTCTAGATCTTCTAGAGGAACCAGAAGTTTGGATTTTTATGTGAAATCTCCTGATTTTAAATGGTTTCTATTCAAAAAAGAAAACAACACTGTGGGGGGCCAAGCTGGCAGTGCTAGTTTAAAACACAGCTGTTGTGTCCATAACTAAAATTATGGACATTAAGTACTTAGTTCTTGTAAAAGAGGTCCTGTCTTGCTCCAAGTGTTCTACATTTTTTGTCAGTTAGCCACTGCTGCATAACAAACCACTTCAAACTCCATAGCTTAAAAAAACACAAATAGCGTTGCTCACAGGTCTGTGGGACAACTGAGTAGGTCATCTGGTCTTGCTGGACTTGCACCGGCATATGCAGTCAGCTGGGGCTTGGGTAGGGTGCTCTGCTGATCTTGGCTGGACTCTCTCAGTGTTGCCAGCTTGTTGGGTCTAGGCTAGCCTAGGATGGCCTCAGATGGAATAGCTGGGCTTCCTTCGATGTGGTCTTTCATCCAGCCCTAGCTTGTTCACATGCAGAGGTGAGTGGAGAGAGCAGATGTGGACCATGGCTCTTGGGGCCTCTGCTTGGAACTAGCATACCGGCACTTGTACCGCATTCTCTACCAGCCAGAACAATCCATAAGGCCTCCCCAGTTCAAGACATGGGGAAATAGTCTCCAGCCTTCCATGGGAAGAGCTGCAAAGCCAACTTGTAAAGGGCATCGATACAGGGAGGGCAAAATATTGGGAATATTAATTGCAACTCACCTACCATAATGAGTGTTCTCATTTCTTTTTAAAAACTCATCTTCTTTAATGAAAGGTCAGATCAAGATTATTTTCTTTTTCTCCAGATAAACGAATCCACCTGTATATGAAAAGCCTACTTGGTCTTCCAAGTCTTCAAAAAGGCATGCCTCCCGTGCCAGGAGGCCTTGCAGTCATTCAGCAGGAGCTAGAAGTGGTAGGCTCTCAATATGCAAACATTGTGAATCTCAACAAGCAAGTGTATGGACCATTTTATGCAAATATACTTCGGAAGCTGCTCTTCAGTGAGGAAGCCATGGGAAAGGCAGATGCTTCATCTTCTACTAACTAAAGAGGAACTGACATTGGATGCGAGGTTGGAAATCTAGCACTTTGGTAGCCAGTCTGTTTCTACCAGTGGCATTACAGATGCTGCACATTCTCAGCCCTGTTTGTGGTGCAGTGTTAGCCTGAATTTGTGTAACCCAGTGATATTTGCTTTGCAGAAGACATGCACATCATAGAGACCCTATTCATGCATCGTTTTCAAGTTCAAAAGAGATGTTTTTTAATGGAAAGAAAGCAATTTATAATTAATTATATGACCTACATAATACTTGTAAATGTTTTCTTAAGCATTTATATTATGGCTTGTTCATTCAGCCCTTAAGGAGTTATATTTCCTCAGTCGTCACTGTCAAGTCTAATGATTTTAAATTTTGTTACAACTTCTTAAAAGGGTTGAAAGCCATGAGAATAGCCAAGGCGATTGATGTTCTGAATAAATGATGTGAAGTAAGCATAATTGTATTTGAAATGTAGGATTAAATGTTATTAATGTGTAAGAGAAACTTACATATAAGTCCAGAGATGTACCAAATCACATTTTATATTACCAATTGTCAGTATTTGTCTAGAATTTGAATTTACTAAGAATATTTTAAAGCTATGTACACATTTTAGTAAAACCTCTATTGTTCATTTAGTGAAAATAGAAAAAAAAAATCCCTTCTAATATTTTATTCTAGATGTTGGTTTCTGTCTGTAACTTACCCTACTCTCTGAGAGAAACAAGTTTTGCACAAATATCTTAGTGAATGTCCTTACATTTCTCAGGCCATTGGTAAGGTTTATGTAAGATTTTAATATTTTTATGTAAGGCAGGAGTGGTTTGAACTAATTTATCTGGAATAAGAAGGGAAGTTAACAATAAATGAGATCCCCAGGAGATTCCTATTGTCAGTGAAGTTCACGTGTGAAAATGAAATAGTTGAAGTTTGGATTTTTTGAACCGTATAGATAAATTGTTAGCAAATGCCTCCTGTGCTGATTAGATTCTTACCCAGTTATGACCAAGGTGCCCTTCTAAGTGTCATCGTCATTTGACATTCTTGAGCATTAAGTCAAAACTTTGCCAAGCTGGCACTGGTTGTCACTGGGATTTTGGAGAAATCTGCTTGTCTGGGAATTACGTACTTCTTCTAAAATGTTAAGGGAGCCACTACAGTCTGGGCAGACTCCATCTAGAAAGTAGGAGGTAAAAAGGAGTGAGGATTCCTTTCTCCTTACCTCCTTTCCCTCCCTATGACCACCATTATGGTGCTACTTAGTTGTTTGGTAAAGTTCTAGGAAATGATTGTGTGAATAAACTATTTCCAATCTTTACATTTTGGAGGGATCTGCCAAAACTTGAGGAAATTTTGAAAGTCTTTTTTCTCCCCCCTCACAATGACCAGTATATAAATCTGCCATTCTACCTGTCTAAGCAGCTGTGTATGAGTAGAATTTTCCTCAAGAGCACATCACTAGTCTTACCCATTTCCCCCATGTCCCCTTCCTGTATTTCTCTTCTGCCCATGTTTTCCTGTGCTTAGAAACCATAAGGTGCTGGAAAAACTTTTTTTTTTTTCATTTTCTCTTAAGTTGAAGTAGTTTTCAACTGTGTTCACTTTGGAGCATGGGTGGCAGGGGGTTCTGACATGGAAAAGTACTATGTAGTGTGATTTTTTTGTTGCTTTCTGAGGTAAACCGCATACTTCACAGGAAGACCAGGTGGTGTACTTTCTTATTATCAGATTGGAATCCAGCTGGTATTCTTGTATACTTGATTACACGGCAGTTTCCAGCAGGAAAACAATGTGCGGACATTTTTTAAAAATGCATTTAAAATGAAGGGCATTCTGCTGCTTGTTTTTTTTTTTTTTTTCTTTTTTCTTTTTTTAAGTCCCAAGGTAAATCTCAATGTCTCAAGTCTGGATTTAGTCAACTACATTTATTAGGATTGTAAAAGCATATCCCTTAGCATGTTGGGTTTTTGTGGGGTGGGTTTTTTTTTTGTTTTTTTTTTTTTTTTGGTTTTACTTAAATGTTTACTTCTACTTTTGAGGTTTTCTTAAAATGGTCTTGTTTTGTAATGTCAGTTTTATTAAACACCCTATACATATGTTCCTTCTGCTAAAACATGTATTGTGTGCACTAGTTAAATTTTAAAACATTAAAAATTATTTCAAGATAGCCAGTGTCTCTTTGTCTTTTTGTAATTTTTTTTTATTTTTTGAGAGAGAGAGAGAATGAGTGGGGGAGGGGCAGAGAACAAGGGGACAGAGGATCTGAAGTGGGCACTGTGTGGACAGCAGAGAGCCCAATGCAGGGCTCAAACTCACAAACTGTGAGATCATGACCTGAGTCGAAGTCTGAGCCACCCAGGCACGCTTTTTGTTTTCTAAACCACCTTTGGGTAGTTCAGGGCTGGAATACTGCACAGTCTTTATTGTGGTTCTTCTAGAATGATTCTTCTGGTGATTGTCAGAGCCTTACAGAGATCAGGTCATGTTCACTTAGTGAGTCAGCAAATACATACTAGGCATATACTATATGCTCAAAAGTATCCTAGGTGTTGTGGTACCCAGATGACTAGATAGACACTGTCCTCAGGAAGCTTATAATCTAGGAAGCAGGAAAAACTTGTGAACAAAGTATAATAAAGACTAGAAAACAAGTACATACAGTGCTAAAGCAAATACCATCAAATTCTATTTTATGGAGATCATTCTTGAGCTACAACAGGACCCATCAGGAATTGCCAGGAGGCTAAGAAAGGGGTAGGCACAATAGGCCAAGTTCATGGTGAGTATGGTGGTATGGAGAAATGGAAAGCCAACGACCAGCATATGGTAGAAGAGTGGGAGTGAGGAGAGGTGAAACGAGAGAGGTAAAAAGGTTCTTGGATGTTATGCTAAAATTTGTGGGGTTTGTCCTGAAATAGATAAAGAATCAGAATCTTTTGAAATAAGAGAGGTTATATTTTAGAAATTATGTATTTGGAAATTATGTTTTGGAAAGATTACCCTGGCAAAGAACACCCGCTGTTGGTGCTGGAATATTCCTCTGTGTGGAGTGTGTATACATATATGCACTCACACATGAACACATGGGATAAACAACGGAAATGGACCCAGGTCAGCTGAAGCAGAAAGGGAGCTTATAGCATAGGTATTAAATACCTCATGGAATCTTCTTAATCTGGGGAATCAGGCTTGGAAAATGGGTAGGAACCAGGGCAATTTGAGCTGCAGGACTCCGGCCAAGCTGGATGCAGTCCTATGGCTTCAGAAATTGATTTCTCAACTGTCCTTCCTTCTTCACCTATTTGCTCAAGGTTCAAAGTACCTGGAATGAACAAGCTGTTAGAAGAATTTAGGCCAAGTGCCCAGGCTTAGATTTGCAGGAGATGGAATGAATGAGTAGCTGACCCTTAGACTCCCATGGTCCCACCAAGGTCACCCAACTAGAGACTGCAAATGGAAGAGGGTTGTTGATGAGCAGAGAGAGAAAAAAAAATCCACAAAGTATACATTTGTAAGGTCTTTAAAATTTGAATCTGAGAAATGTGTGTGACCACCCACCCAATCCAGCATTGCCTCTGAGAATAATGCTAAAAGATGATTCAAGGAAGGGCAGAGGCATGTGAAGTCAACCATTACTGGTGTGTGTGTGTGTAGATGAACTGCTGAACAAATAGCTTCCAGGTCTCAGTGGCCTCATATACCCACATTTCTCAAATTATAGTTTAAAGCAGGGGATAGGGTGGTGTGCTGGGAGGAGGTGCTACTCCATTCAGTAGTAGAAGAAGCCCAACTTCCTACTGTCCTGTGACTGCTGTCTCCTAAGCTCTTCAAAGTCTCCATTTCCCTCAGCAGATAGGGAAAGAAAAGGATTACCCACTTTCACTCATTGTTCATTGGCCAGAACTCAATCATGTGGCCTCATCTCACTGCAAGGGAGGCAAGATTATGGGTCAAGAAAGAAGAGGCTGATATATGGGTAAGCAATAGCAGTCTCTACCGCTGGTCCCTCTAGCTTTCTTAAATAAGCCCCATGAACCTTCTTTTCGTGAAAATAGGTTTAAAACCATGTGCCTGCTTTGATCTTTTAATAGTAGTTCTCCAGAGAGCCACGTTGAGAGGATTTTGAAGCCAGATCCATGGTGAGCAGTAAAGAGTTCTGTGTCTGGTTGGCAAGTATGCCATGGGTGTAGAGTGTGCGATCTTTGTGCAACATATTTTTATTTCTAACTCAAACCCTTCTCGAGACTAAAGTTCAGCCTGTTCCACCTCTGGGGATGTTAAGTTCCAAAATTTTCTACTCATGGTTTAGTAAAAGTAGCATGGGACTGAGAGTCACAAGCCTGGAGTTTGAATTCACTTCCTTTACTTAACAGCTCTCTGAACTCAAGCCAGTGTTTTAAATCTCCTTGAGCCTCTGTTTCCTACCCTACCTCTCAAAAGATGTTGTGAGAATCAAATGAGATAATGTATTCAAAATCATCTGCAAATTCTAAAGCATAATGTAGTCAGAATACATTAAAATAACTGTAATTTATTAGTCCTAAATCTCTTTCAAGCTTCAGGAGGTTTTAGTATTGTGAGATGTGATGGTCAAGTACATAAGTACATAAGAACAGAAATTGTCATTCCTCATCAGAACCATGGTTCATTAAGCCCAAGATTGTCATTGGCAGAGAAACACAAGGGTATGTAGAAGGCTGCAGTTATTGTCCTTAGTGTCAACTGCAAAGGAAAGTGACAAACCCAACATGTTCTTATTTTATTTAGTCACTTATGACTTTATCCCCCACAATTAATCTGACCTTTTAGAGAGGACGTTTATATCACCGACTTGTGTCTTCTAGTTCTCTATTTCTGGGGTGAAGCTTTATCTTTTTCATTTCTAAGCTTACTATGTTAGCATCTTTCAGATTTCAAGGAAAAGGAACCAAGGGATTTATTGCAAGGCTTTAAAAAGAAAGAAAACACAAGAATCTGTCTCAACAGCTGCGCTCGTAGGCTTGATGGAGAATCTGAACGTAATTCTTTATTTTTTTATTATTTCGAGAGTGTGAGCGAGAGAGAGAGACAGACAGACAGACAGACAATCCCACACCCCTGGGATCATGACCTGAGCTGAAATCAAGAATTTGACGCTCAACTGACTGAGCTACCCAGGTGCCCCTAGTTCTTTTTTTCTTTCAGGATAAAATAATAATAGCCACTGAGCACTTACCATATGGCAAGGAGCACCCCAAGCACTTTATACACATGATCTCCTATAACTGCATGACACCCTGGAGGGAAGCTTTATCTTTATTTCTGTAGATGCAAATGAAGCTCAGATTAGCTACAGAAGTTGTCCAAGGTTACAGAGCTGGTGGTTGTCTTTAAACCCACCAAAGAGTCTAACCCTGGAATGTGTGCTCTTAAACTATTTGCTATATTGGTTTCCTTAAGTCACCCAATCAAAAACATTTCTCACTGTCGTGATGCTACCAAATGCTTCCTTGGTATTTTGCTTCTCTGCTTTTTTCTGTGGCTGCCCTCCCTTTTGGTACCTCTCAATAACATCCCAGGAGAGAAGTGATTGGGTCTAATTGCCATTAGTCAGTACAGACATTCATCTACCCGACTCTCCTGCGTTGGGTCAGATTCTCATGCATGACAAGCCACCTTGGCTCCCCTACATGGCTGGCTTTGGCAGGTTCCTGGCCCAATCAGTTCTCAGAGCATGGTTGGGTCCCATGACACAATGCAAGGCTTTTCAGGGAAGGGCTTTGTGGGCATGTCAGGTAGCAAGAGGTTTCAGACCATCCACCCTTGCTCAAAATGCAAGCTGTTTTTTTCTGATTACAGTAGTTAGAGACTTCAGTCCATGTCCCCCCCCCCCCCCACCTTGCTGTTTATGAAGTGATAGGCTTCACAGAATCCCTCTTTGCCCTTGCCTTTTCAGACTGAAAAGCCCATATTCTTTCTCCAACATTGTTCTGGCCTTTTCTAGTTCTGTTATGAATTTATTCAAGTTTGGAAACCAGGATCACACATGTTTTCTCCCAGTCTGGATGCATCGAGGTTTTGAAGAAGAGAAGATAATCCTTTTTTGTTTATAGTATCTTCATGTTGAAGCCTCTCAGAATAAGGTCTTATTTTTTTAACGTGGCATAAAGGCTAATAATGGCCTAGCCCCAATGGATCTTTCTAGTGTCACCTACAGACACTTCCTTGTAGACAAGCCCTATGGAGGACCACCTCAATTGCCAGAATATGGTTTTTGTGTAAAGTCTTCATGCTATTGCTCATGCTGTTTTTCTCTGCTTGAAATATCTTCTGCCACCCATCCATCCAGTGTGCTATTATGATAGAGCAGTTGAAAGCATCTTAGATAATTATGGATTTAAATTCCAGCTCTGCTTGGCAAATTTCTTAATCCCTATGAGCCTTAGTCTCTTCGCCTGTCAGGTGGAGATAATCATACTTACCTCCCTGCAGTTGATCATTAAATCAGAGAATGCACATGAAGTGGTTATTCCAATGCCTGGCAAAGAGTAAATGCTCAGTAAATGGAAGTTCAGCTTGGACACCTCTGCTTTCCCCTTTCTTTTTCTGTCCTTTAACCAATGCCCCCATTTCCCTACCCACTTGTCCACGGCATCAGTCACCTTCTCATCTGGCTACCGCAACATTTTATACTTAAGTGATAGTGCAGTATTCCAAGGTGTCAGCCATTTTTCCCTTTGTGATTTCCCTTCCCCAAATGCCAGCCTTCTATTCAGACCATGAATTTTTTTTGCACTAATATCTCAGAAAAAGGATGTGACAGCAGAAAACAGAGAAGTCAGTAGACTGTTCCTGGATTTTTGGTTTTTAAATTCAGTTCTTTAGGGAATCAGAAAGAAGTCACAGGTTGACCTGAGGGTAAGTGCTAATATCTGGTGGGGGCGAAAGAAGGGAAGCAGGTGTAATAAGGGAAGGATTGCAAGGATTGTAGCAGCTGTGGCCTAAGCGCCCCAACACCACTCAGTATCAGCTAATTGTTGCCATTGCAGGTCTCTGGGTTCACTGTTACCTGATCCATCCCTTCAAGAGAAAACAGGAGCACCGGGGTGGTTCAGTCTGTTAAGTGTCCGACTTCAGCTCAGGTCATGATCTTACGGTATATGAGTTTGAGCCCCGCGTCAGGCTCTGTGCTGACAGCTCAGAGCCTGGAGCCTGCTTTGGATTCTGTGTCTCCCTCTCTCTCTGCCTCTCCCCCACTCACACTCTGTCTCTCTCTCTCTCTCTCTCAAAAATAAATAAACATTAAGAAGTTTAAAAAAAAGAAACATTTTAAAAAGCAAGCTTTTTAAAAAATGAAATGAAATATCAAATTTATTAACATTTATTCTGTTATTTTCTTTCAAGCGATTTATTCAACAAAAATTTATTCAGGGGCATCACCTGGGAACTTACTGTAAATGCAAATTTGCAAGCCCTGGTCCAAACCTGCCTAATATGAAAATTGAGATTGTTTTAACAAGCCCTCCAGGTGATTCAGATGCATGCTAAAATTGGAAAATCACTATGAGAATGGAAAGCCAAGAGGACTTTGGAGCAGTAAGCCAATACATCTGGGCCAAACTTGAGATCCGTGCCATCTAAAATCACTTCATAGTCCTTTCCAGCCTAGATTCTAAATAGGTTGCTCTCTGGTAATTCACAAGGATGATACAAAAGTTAATGTGTCCCTTTAGGTTAAAAGTGTAAGATCTTCAAGAATGGGGTTAATTTTTAATTAACCTTTTTAATTTTTCTTTCTCTTCTCCTACTTTCAGATTTCAGCGCAATGCTTAGAAAATACAGGCACTGAAATTTACTTGAAGCAGGTAATTTAGATATTAACCTCACGCACGAGTTACACAGTCACAATGAGAAAATGGCATACGTGTATTTACAACTTTTCATAATTTACTGTGGCAAAATACACAGAAATTTAACCATTATAACCATTCTTTTAAAGCTTTATTTATTTTTGAGAGACAGGGTGAGAGTGAGTGAGCTTGTAGAGTAGGAGCAGAGAGAGAGGAAGAGAAAATCCCAAGCAGGCTCCACGCTGCCAGCAAGGCGTCTGACATGGGGCTTGAATTCAGGAACAGGGATTTCATTACCTGAGCCGAAATCAAGAGTCAGAAGCTCAACTGACTGAGCCACCCAGGTGCTCCCCATTATAACCAATTTTAAGCGTGCAGTCCAGTGTCCTTAAGTACATTCATGATGTCGCACAACCATTACCGCTGCTCAATTCCATAATTTTTGCATCTTTCCAAACTGAAACCGTGTACCAATTAAACAATAGTTGACATCTTGCCTTGTTCTCTTCCAATGGGAGTTTTTCCTATCGATCTGTATGACTTTATTCTAAAGTATGGCTACCAATCCTTTGTCTTCTTCCAACTTGTGTTTTTAAAGGGCTTTATGTATGGTAAATTTTTAAAAATCTGTTCAGAAAATTCTGGAATTTTCATGGAATAAAACTGTGGTTATGATTATGTTATCAAATCTATGAATATTTTTCATTAGGATTTCTGTGTTGCTGTTCTTGAAGGCTTTCAGAACCTCAATCTTTTGAATATATTCTTATATTTTCTTCTAAAGTTTTAACATTTATTCATTTAATCCATAAAGATTTACTTAGATTTTTTTTTTCTAAATGGCTAATCAGCTGCTCCACCATCATTTTTTGGATAACTTGTCTTTGCCTACTGATTTGCAATGTCATATTTTCAAACTAAATTTCTCCATATCCTAGTATTTTTTCCCAGATCTTCTCTCTAGTCCTTCGAGAATATAAGTGTTAATTACTGTCCTGTTATGCTCAATTCTCCAGTGAGTTAAATCCTCCTCACTTTAGGTAATTTTGATGGTTGTATAATATTCCAACACATGCACGTCCCATAATTTTTTAACCAACCCCCTACTACTAAGCATTTGTTAAATTTCCTATTTTTCCATATTATACAACGTGTAGTTTTGGATTGGATTAAATAAAATCGCTGCCACGGTGGCTCAGGTTGTGAAAATTACCCATTTACCCTTTTCTTTGAATTGTTTAAACAATTAGAACCAATAAGCTCTATTGGTCTCAATTATGAGATAACTGGCATTGAACCGCTCCGCTGGTCTCCGACAGAGACTTCCAAGCGACACCAGGGGGCGCAGTTTCCCAGCTCCGCCTCAGCCACATCCGGGTTCCACCGCAGGTTCGGGCCGGGAGGAGGCGGAACGTTTCTATCACGACACCAAGTAACCTGCGCGGTGGGGACCGTATAGGCCTCCGCGCACCGCTCTTCACTGGTGCTGCAGTTTGGGGAAGCCAAGGCGGGCGTGGCGGTCCTGCTTGCTTCCTTCGTCGGGAGCAGCGCAGCATGGACGTGCTTGCGGAAGAGTTTGGGAACCTGACCCCGGAGCAGCTGGCTGCACCCATCTCTACTGTAGAGGTGAGGGCCGGGCACGCGGAGAGCGGAAGGGGCCGGGAGCGTCCGCGGGAGGCGTTGCCCCCGGAGGAGGGGGGCGGGCGGCGGCTTCTGCGCATGCTTAGGACGAAGGAGCGGGTCTCTTCCGGAGCGGGCCGCCGCGTGCACGTGCACGGCCGAGCGCTGAGGAGCGGGGGAGCCGCGCGCACTCGCTGCCTGGGGCCGGGGTCCCCGGTCCCTTTCGGCGTCCATGTGTGTCAGTCAGCGGGCTGGGGCCCCTTCATTGTGTGCGTGTCAGGACAGGATTGGCCCTCGCGCCCACCTGGTGGGACCTAGTGCACTCTCGCGGGGTAGAGAAGACACCGAGGTCCAGGGAGCCTTAGGCCACCTTCGTGTGGGCTCCCGCATTTGCTGCTGGTGGTGAAACCAAATCGTCTGGATGCCGGGCTAGTAATCCTTTTAACCCGGAATTCAAGTTTGGACTTCAGGAGTATTTTACACGGCCTGAAAGCTTTCTCAGAACGTTTTGAGTGAAAAAAGAAATTGTGTATTTTGGGGCGTAACCCCGTACCTTTCATGAGATAATCATAAGTTAGGGACAACTGCGCCGCCGTGAGCTGCCTGAAGTTCAGCTGTGGACGTAGTTTTATTTTCTGGAAAGGCAATGTAATCCCTCTGGGCCTCAGTCTTTACTGGCCTGGAGTGGGGGGAGTGGAGGAATCGTCAAGGGAAAGCTTTCAGGTAGAGGGAACAGGATACTTAAATCTCGGTAGGTGGGATGGTTGGACAGACCGCCTGATGTTTCCGAGAAACTACTAGAGTGAAGGAAAGTGGAGGAAGAGAGATGAAAAATAGGTCGGTGAGGGTCTTGATTATGAAACGTTTTGACCTTTCACACACCTCTGAAGGAGCTGTGAGATGCTATTGAAGGGAGTAAGCTGGACAGTGACATGGTCAGGGAAATCTATTGGGTTGCAATTATTTCTTATATATTTGACAGGTTAATGAAGTTAATTTTGATTATATCAGATTCAATACATGAATGCCTGCAATAAATACACTGATGATCATCAGGCAATACTGGATTTTTCACGGGGCACCTGGGTGGCCTGGTTGGTTAAGTGTTTGACCTCACCCAGGCCGTGATCTCAGACTTGTGGATTCAAGCCCCATGTCCAGCTCTGTGCTGACAGTACAGAGCCTGTAGCGTGCTTCAGATTCTGTATTTCTCTCTGTCTCTCCCCTGCTGTCTGTCTGTCTGTCTGTCTCTCTCTCTCACAAAAATATTGAAACATTTTTTTTAAAAAAAGTTAATATTAAGAGCCAGCATTTACTGACCACTTGCTCTGTGGCAGGCTCATAGGTAACATGGGTTGCGTTATTAATTTTCTGAAATAAGCACTATTTTCACCCCATTTTGCTAATGAAAGACTTTTGAAGCCCAGAGAGGCTATGTAATGAATCCAGTGCCAGAAAGCTCTTAAGTAGCTGATCTGGATTTTGGACTCTGCCAGTCTGATTTTAGTCTTCATCCTTAAAATGAAGAGACTGCTTCTCCAAAGACAGGAAGGAATAAGCTTAAAGAATTTGTAAATTTTACCTGACTTCGCAGAGCTTTGAAGGGACCAGAATCAAAGTTCCAGGCTGCTTCTGATTCAGGAGTAATTCCTGATCATTCCTTTTCCTGATCCACTTTGTCTAATCCACCATCACATCTTTAGGCTCCTGCCTAGTAAATCCATTCAAGTCTGAAGCTTCATTACTGCTCTTCTCCAAGCAGGAACCACTGCCCTGTCCTCTCTTACTTCCTAGACTGCTGACTGGTCTCACTCCAACCTGATCTCTGCTCTGTAGCCAGAGTCAGTTTAAATGATCATGTCGCTCCTTTGGTTAAAATTCTTCAGTCTCTGCCCTGTGCTCTTAGGGCAAAATCTAACATCTTGACCATCTGTTTGCTTCTCCGGCCACTTTTCCCACCACCTCCCCTGTCCTGCCCTGAGATCTTTCTACTCTACTCTGGATTTGTCTCTCATTCCTCATTGTAGATTTACATACAATAAAGTGCAGATACCAAGTGTTCAGTTACATTTGTTTTGACAGTTATGTATACTCAAATAACTACCACTCAGTATAAGATCTAGAACATTTCTGTCGCCCTTCAAAGTTCCCTTGTGAACGCTTTTCAGTTTATTCCCCCAAGCACCTTTATTTAGGTGCTTTATTTAGGACAGAGAAAAGGTGGGGAGAATGGAGAATGAATGAATCCCAAACAGGCTTCATGCCCAGCACAGAGCCCAACACGGCTTGATCCCCCAAGACCCTAGGATCATGACCTGGGCCGAAATCAAGAATAGTATGCCCACTGACTGAATTACCCAGGTACCTTTTGATTTCTGTCCTCATAGATTAGCTTTGCCTGACTCCCTTCCCTTTTTTTTTTTTTTAGTAGACTTAATTTTTTTTTCTTTAGAGTAGTTTCAGGACCATGGCAAAATTGAAAGGAAGTTACAGATCTATATATTCCACAGATCCCCTGCTCCCACATCTCCTCTTTCTTGAGAAATGTTTTTTTACCTTCTCCAGGTAGTTTGCTTCCCTCCCTGAGCACTCCTTGCCACCTTTTTTTTTTTGCTGGACCGGCCTTCTGCTCAGGAGGAGTCACGAGAATAAAAGTATGAAGAGTGCTTGGATCATCAAGAGATTAAAGTATATTCTGCTTAAGAAATCTGTGTGTGTATACATACATTTGTATGCACGTGCGCACACATATATGATTTCCGTAAAAGTGGTTAACATTTTAAAATTGTTCTTTTCATTTTGGTTTATTTTCTTTTACTTTCTGTGGTAAAGTAAGTCATTTTTGGCATATTAAAATAACTTCTTGTAAAAATACTGTGATTGCTGGCACAGGGTTTTGATATTTTTGTTTTGGTTCACAGGAAAAATGGAGGCTGCTTCCAGCATTTTTAAAGGTAATTGTTTAACTTTTAATAATAGTGGTTTGTTTTCAGATGAAAAGAGTCAAATTCCTCTTTTTTAAAAGATTAAATGTTTATCAGCAACTAATAATTTTTGACTTTGCACAACGATGTAATTTGTTATATTCTAGAAATACAGGGAATTAGACTATGTCTAAGGTGCTGGTTGGGAGAGTGGTAATATAATTTTAGAGATAGTATGTAGTATGTGCAGTAGCAAAGTGGTGTTGGCAAAAGTGGTGATGTTCCAGGTGGTCAGAGAAGGTCTCCCAAAGGAGGTGAGACATAAACCACATCTCAGGACAGGATTTAAGCAAGCTGAAAGGTATAATACCGAGAACATGCCTTGATAAAAGTGCTGAAGGAGACCTTCCATATCTGTAGGGACCAATGACCAGTCTGTTTGACTGGAATGGATGTGTGGATAGTCACAGGGACTACTGAGTATAAGGTTAGTCTAGGATTTAATTCAGTTTTCAAGGGCTTATGCTAAGAAATAAGTGGTACCACAGTGATAGATCACTTGACACCCACTAGGATGGCAGTGATTAAAAAGAAAGGTAACATGTTGATGAGCATGTGGGGAACTTGGAAGTCTCCTGGTGGGAATGTAAAATGTTGCAACTGCTTTGGACAACAGCCTGGCAGGTCCTCAAATGGCTAAACAGAATTACCATGAGATCTAGCAATTTTCCGTATTTACTCAAGAGAAATGATAACACATGTTCACACAAAAACCTATACACAAATGTTCATAGTAGCCAAAAAGTGGACACAACCCAAACGACCCTCAACTGATGGATGGGTAAATAATATGGTTTACCCATGCAATGGACTGTTACTTTATTTGGCCATGAGAAATCAAGTGCTGATATACTACAGCGTGGATGGGTGCTGAAAGCATGCTAAATGAAAGAATGGAGGCTTGAAAAATGAGTAGAGTCTTCTCTGACTTAGTTCTGTGTTACAGGCAGAAGGGAGAATGCTAAGGGAGTTACAGGGGAAGCTGTCAGGCCCAGAGTTCTGACCAGATTTGAAAGCCATGCTAAGGACTTTGGCTTCTCTTTAACAGCAACAGGAAGCTATTTGAGAGGTTTTAAGAAGAGTGACCAGGAATGAAATAAAGTGGTAATAGGGTCAAGGGAAGGCTTTTTTTTTTTTTTTTAGTTATAACTTTTTTTTTTTTTTTTTTTTAAGAAACTATATCTAAGCAGAGGAGAAAGGGCGGTATTTATGATTCAAAAAAGAGAACACAACTGGTGGCACAAAGTCCAAGAAGAGATTGAGGGTTCAATAGAGAATAAGACTGGTTATTTCATTCATTCATTCATTCAAAGCTGGGATTCTCCTTTGCTTGGAACACCTTGAAATCTATTCATCTAGGAATAAAGGTACGAGGATTTTAGTACATAACTAAAGACGGGAACACCAAGCTTATGAGGCTGCCAGTGCTGTTGGCCAACATAATCAAGACTCTATCAAGACTCTGTTCTTGGGGTGGGGTGACAACAGTGAAGGGGGACAAACATACTTAGTTTTGTACAAGTACCAAATTGGGGGTGTTTGCCTTGATAGCATTTTTCTGTGAAGATAAAAATTACCTTTTGTGTTTTAGTTGACGAGTCTGTAAGGTGGCTTTGATTTTTTTAATAGTGGTGGTGTAACATCACGAGTGAGGGAGGCAGGAACCCGCGGTGTGCTGGGCAGACTGTTGAGAACATTGTCCGTGAGTTCAGGGTGCCTGTGTTAGAAGGAACACTGACCAACCGGAGCACATGCCCGGGAGCAGGCCATCTGCTGTGATGGGTCCAGAAGGTGGGCATGTAAGACATAGTTGAATAGTTCCTGTTTGCCTGGACATCACATCATGAAGAGGAGATAGAGTAAATCAACAGACTGTTGAGAGCAGTAAATAAACAGACTTTCTCTCCAGAAGGACAGTTAAATCCAAGGACTGGAAACTGGAATTTTTCCCCCAAGGACTGCTTCTAAAAAAAAAATTTTTTTTTGACATTTATTTATTTTTGAGAGAGTGAGACAGAGCATGAGTGGGGGAGGGGCAGAGAGAGAGGGAGACACAGAATCCAAAGCAGGCTCCAGGCTCTGAGCTGTCAGCACAGAGCCTGATGTGGGGCTCGAACCCACAAACTGTGAGGTCACGACCTGAGCTGAAGTTAGACACTTAACCAGCTGAGCCCCCCAGGCGCCCCAGGACTGCTTCTAAATGGGATGGTTTCTTTGTAAGCCAGTGAAATCCCAAAAAGGAAGTGTAATTAAAGCAAAGGCTCTGTAATTATGTGTTAGGAATGTTCTAGCACTGCTGAACTCATTGTGCTTGGAGATTAATATTTTTAAAAAATAATATATATGGTCTTTTTAAATTCTAACATTTTAGAGTCTGTTAACGTTTCAGTGTTTTCGATAGCAGGACACGTCGTATCTCTGCAAATTCAAAGTAGGCAGAGAAAATCTTGCCTTATTTGTTAGCTTATGGGGAGTCATTAGGTATGTTCAATACTCCTATCCTGAATTCCACGTGTTGGGTTGATTCCCAAGGAGGAAAATTTAAGAGTGTATTAGTTGGATAGAGGAGAAATGGAATGAGGACACATATGAGTTAAGTTCTACTAAGTGAAATTTACGTTTTTTTCCCCCTCTCTTCGGTTTTGAGAAAAATCTGAAGATCATCTGTGGTTAGTCAGTGACATAGGATGTTGTTTTGTCAGTAACCTGCTTTTTATTTTTTGTGCATTTAGGTGAAAGGCCTTGTGAAACAGCATATAGATTCATTCAACTATTTCATCAACGTGGAGGTAAGCAGCAGGGCCTAGAAGCAGAGAGAGGGGTGCCTGGCTGACTCAGTTGGTGGAGCATGCGACTCTTGATCTCAGGGTCATGAGTTGGAGCCCCACATTGGATGTGGAGCCTACTTAAAAAAGAAAAAAAAGTAGAGAGGAGAATTGATGGAAGCTGGAGATGTTCCTAATGGTGTTCTTTTCACTACAGATAAAGAAGATAATGAAAGCCAATGAAAAGGTTACAAGTGATGCTGACCCCATGTGGTACTTGAAGTAAGGAATCAACTATTCTTGATTTGCTACTTTGATTACGTCTAACATTTTTTAAAGTAAATGTGGTTGTTAACTCTATGAAAATAACTCTCCTTATCTGCTTAGTAAGAAGGTAATTATCAAGCGCTTGATTTTTAATCAGTAAGCTAATTATAACAAGTAGAGTAATGGTTGAAAAGTACTGAAACTATTAGGTTTAAACATCTTATAGAACAATTTTGAACTTCAAGAAAAGTTACTGAAGATGGGGCGCCTGGGTGGCTCAGTTGGTTAAGTGTCCGACTTCGGCTTACATCATGATCTCACGGTTCATGGGTTCGAGCCCCACGTCAGGCTCTGTGCTGACAGCTAGCTCAGAGCCTGGAGCCTATCTTCACATTCTGTGTTTCCCTCTCTCTGACCCTCCCCGGCTCACACTGTCTCTCGCTCTCGCACGTGCTCGCTCTCTCTCTCTCTCTCTCAGAAAAAAATAAAAAACATTAAAAATTACTGAAGATTACTTCTCAGTGACAGAGTTCCAGGTTCTCCTTCGTGCAGCCTCTGCTAATGTTAACATCGTACAGAAACATACCATAATGAGCAGACCCAAGAGGTTGGCACTGATGATAATACCATCAACTAATCCGCATGTCTTATTTCAAGTTTTCCCACTCAGGTCTTTTTTCAGGCCCTGGATGCCGTCCAGAGCCCTACGTGACCATTAGTTCTCAGGTCTCCTTAGTCCCTCCCAGCCTGTGACCGTTCCTCACGCTTCCTTGGTCTTTTATCACCTTGTCACTTTTGAAGAATTCTGATCCATCGTTTTGTAGGAAGCCCTTCAATCTGAGTTTGTATGGTGTTTGCTCATGATTTGATTGGGTTGTGCATTTTTGGCACAGAAGTAACATTTTGTGCCATTCTCACGGCGTATCAGGGTACAGGTGTCGGTGTATTTTACTATTGGTGGTTTTAACTTTGTTCCCTTGATTGAGGTGGTATATGTGGGTTGGTCCACTGCAAAGTTACAATTTTTCCTTTTGTAATGAGTACCTTAGGGGGAGACCCTTTGATTGATACTTGCAAATACCTACTAACTGTCGCCTGCAAGGACGGCTCTCATAACAGTTCTGTGTGTTTGCCTGTTGCTGAGGCTTTCTTGCCGTCATTCCTTAATCCAGTAATACTGGAATTCTGTTGTAAGGAAGAGCTTTTTCTTCCCTTTATTTATCTCTCTAACTTTATCATATGAATATGAACTCCTTTATATTTAAATTTATGGATCATAATCCAGCAGTATCATTTTATTACTTAACTCGTCCCAGCTTTGGCCATGAGAGAGGCTTCGGGTTGACTGCCATGACCTTCTGGCACACTGCCGCTCTGTTTCAAGCACTCCTTTACTTTCTGGCACCATGAGATGTGGTTGATCTGGTATTTTCCCTGTCCTAACCTGGAATCCACTATTTTTCCAAGGAGCCTTAGTCCCTTTTTTTTTTTTTTTTTTTGGACAATCATATTTAAAAACCAGGGTAGGGATACTAAAGCCTTGGTAGGCAGAGTAAGGAAATATATGTATATATACTAACCTATACATCAACACATCAGTTTTTCTATAGCCTACTCATTTACATGTATTTTAAAAACCCAGTGTACGGACACCTCCTATTTCAGTCCACCTCTACAGGTCTCATTCTAACTAACCTCTTTCCTTATTTGTAACTTCTGTGCCTCAACCTGGCTCTCATTGTCCACTCTGTTTTTACTTTATTCAGTCCTAGAATATATATAGTTTGAAAATAGCTCATTCATACCTCTGTGAGAATAAAGTTAGAGTACGATATCTGTATATTGCTTTTTTGTCTTTATCTTTACAACATCCAAGCAACATACTGTTTCTAAAGCAGCTTAGATTTGTTGTTTCCTTTCCCACCTTCTTAGGTCAGTTTCTTATCCATTGGTAACGCCAGAAGGTTTGTATGCCATTTTGGGTCCCCTTCTGCATCCTGGTAGATTTTAATTATGCATGTAACTTTTTGAGTATGTGAAACATGGTGTTAAGTGTGAGAGCTATAGAAAAAAGTATTTTCAGGAAATTGTCACTTCCCTTCCAGTTCTTTTCCACCCTATTGCCAGACTCCCAGTAGGTAACCAGTCTCCTTAGTTTCTGTTTTCTTCCTATGTTTCTTTTGCCATAATGAGCTTATAACAGATGGTTCCTGACTAGCAGTGCTTCGGCATAACAATTTTTCAACTTTATGATGGTGTGAAAGTTGTATGCATTCAGTAGAAGTTGTACTTTGAATTTTCTACTTAATCTTTTCAACTTATGTTGGGTTTATTGGGCTGTTAGCCTGATTGTAAGTCAAGGAAAGGCTGTATCTTTTTTTTCCTCTTATAACTTCTTCTTTCTTACATGATTAGTAACTCTTTTTCATTAAATAATCATCTTTAGGAAGCTGTCTTTCCAGTATTTTTTAAAAGTAATTTCTTTAAAAGTATTTTGATAGTATTTACTCCTTTGTAGAACTATACATACTACCATTTCAAGATCTCTAATTATAATTTTTAATTTATCATTCTTAGCAAGGTAAGTATTTGTCAAAGTGTAATCCTTGCATTTGGGAGGAAAATAGCTTGTTTACATGTTCGTTGAAAAAGTATAATTGGTAATGGAATAATTTCCTTTTCAGATATCTTAATATCTATGTCGGGCTTCCTGATGTTGAAGAAAGCTTCAATGTAACTAGGCCAGTATCCCCCCATGAGGTAATTATCTACCTTACTACGATTGAACTTGTTTGCCTTAACTCAGGGTTTGTGCCCTTAATATATGCTCTTGAAATGACTTTAAAAAAGGGAAAAAAATTTCTTATGAGATAAAGGTAACCAAAATAGCACTTGTATTATGCTATATTAGGAGACAATTCTGCACTATTTAATTTGTCATTTACTCCAAGTTAACCTGTGCTGTTATTTAAGTGTGCCTCCGGTTCATGTCCTGTTCTGAGCTTTTGAGCAGCTGCCCTCATTCTCTGCCCCAGCCAGCCACTTGTGCCTGGTACTGTGGGCTGTCCATCTGCACAGGTGACTGAGCATATGTTTTGAGGGTCAGCAGGTATTGTGTTAGGCAGAGGAGACCAAGGACCGGGGCTCACAGACCATTAGAAGAAATGGGTTGGAAGGAAATTTATATATCTGGATTTTAGCAGAGCTACAGGGCTCTGGAACAGGTCTATTGGCTTTTAACACATTCTAGATTCTTCTTGAAATTCTTCTACTTAGTGTCTATAATTGGGAATTGGTTCAGGAAAGAAAATTATTTTTGTAGATTTATCTAGTTTGTGTTGATGTAGAAGCAATTAGGGAAGGTAGCAGGGGAATCTTTATTAAACAGGTAAGTTGTTAGAAAGTTAGGGTTGTTGTCTGATCATCGTTAAATAGGAAGTACAGTCAAGTAACCAGACATTTCACACAGGTAAATTTTGGTGTTACTTAATCACTGAGTTTCAAGTGTCAGTTGAACATGTATTTTGTGCCTCAGCATTGAGAGATCTACAAAAGAAATGAGACCCTCTCCTTCCTCAGGGAGCTCATATGCTCGTGGAGAGAGTAAACTAACAAAATACGTCAAACAAACACCAGGGCTTGCACACTTGCCAGCCTAGAAGGATAGGGAAGGTACAGTAAGTGAAGTGTTGAAGTTTGGAATGTTGGAAAATGTGTGCACCAGTTTGGTTTTCCCTGTTTCCCCATTCCTTCTCCATTTGCTGGAGTTTTCCATTTTTTTAAGAAGTAGTTAGCCAATTAGCAAATTCCAAGTCTCTTCTGAATTAGATCACTGAGTGTGAGAAGAGAGAAGACAAAGAAGTTTGAAGTAGTTCAAGAAGCCAGAGGCCGCAGTTGTCATAATTATTCTTCCTGATGTTGGAGAAACAATACGAGCATCATTGCAGTTAGACAGGGCACAAGCTTCTTGGAGGGATTTTGATCCTTGGAGAAATGGGGAGAGTCAGAGAGCAGGTGGGTGGGCAGTCAGGGGACCCACAGCAGGAGTGGTGGGGGGTCACTGCTGCAGACCCCCAGCGCCGCCCACTCCTGTGATAACAGAGGCTGAGGGGGCAGAGGGAGCTCACGGGAGTAGTTTGGGGCCTGTGGAGAGGGTCCTCGTGTTTACCACATCTGTCGAACTTCATTTCCACTTCAAGGAGAGGACTTTGTTAAAACACACAAATGTTTACCTATCATGATGTTACATTAGATTTTTTAATAAAAATGGGATTCTGTCTGTAAGGTAGCCCATACCAGGTACTATTCTAAAAATATGTACTTATACTCTTGGGACTTAAGATGCTTCTCATTCCCATTGCACATAGGAGGAGCCAAGATGCAGAACTGCAGTGACAGGGCCAGTGCTGGGGCAGAGGCAGCGGGGTGTACACTCTGCCTCCAGGCCACACTGCCTTCGGCGTGGCCTGAAGGAGGCAGCGGAATCTAATTAATATAAAATAAGCAATTTTTTATTCATCAGTAGTAGGAGTATCTAATATTTCAGATTGCAGGCACTGGGAAAGAAAGGCAGGAAAAGTTTAAACCTAACTGCCTTTGGTTCAGTTGAAGCCAGAGAGAGGATTCAGTACCATGAATTTCTATGGTTGATGTTAAGAGAGGTCTTCTTTTCAAGAGTATAATCCACCTGAGGACCATCAGTAAAACAGGAAAGTTGTTGAAGATTTTGGTGGGGTTTGCTGTGTCTGATCATGACTCAGGTAAGGGCATCATTTAGCGAGTCATCACCTCATTCAGCTAAGGCACACACCAGTAATTTCTAAAGTTCCCCAAATGATTCAGAAATTGTAATATGATGCGATGAATTATTTGTGTTCTATAAGATACCACTTGTTAAGGAGTTTTCATGATTCAGTTTATTTGGTGAATAAAAGGAAGTACAGTTTATATCTTTTAGTTTCTGGATGTGTATACTTTAGATATTATATCGTTTGTTAAGCACACTGATTACTTTCCATGGACCCAGTTTTCAAAGAAGGGTGTCATTGTTTCAAAGATGAGGGACAGACCGGTGATGGCGTCAGATAGAAGAAAGTCAGCACCAGATTTATTGTTCCATTTCTAGGCTGGTAAGGCAGCGATGCTGTGGGGATGTCTGGATCAGTGGCCAGCATCATTCCTCCTGGAGAAGGCAGGCTCCTCACTCCCAGTGCTCTCAAGGCAGCACATGGAACAGCTCAGTTCAGCATAGGCCATACTTCTACTAGAGGTAGAGCTCTTGGATGCTTCAGGACCGCTTCTTTTCCAGGAACGGGGAACATTGAGTGTCTGATTCTTTTTCAGTGCCGGCTGCGGGACATGACATACTCTGCCCCCATCACAGTGGATATTGAATATACCCGAGGCAGCCAGAGGATCATCCGTAATGCCTTACCCATTGGCAGGTAAGAAATGACGTCTGAGTTAGAGCCACACTGCCCTCATTCTAGCCCTATGGGGTGACCTTAAGCAGGTGCTACAGTTCCATTTTCCCCATTTCCTCATGTGAAAAATGTGGGAAGTGGTGCCTACTTCATGAGAGTCTTTTCTGGGGATCTAGTGAGTCAGCCCAGACAGAGTGCTTGAGCAGTGTCCAGTGCAATGCTGTGGTTATTGTTTTTAACTGTGAGATCTTTTCTGTAAAGCTAAGGAAAATACTTCCATTTCCTCCTGAAATCCAGACTGTTGGGGAACCGTTAGATAAGATAGCATTTCAGTGAACTCCCCTGGGCTGGTCTTTGTGGTGGATTCATGTGTATTTTAAGGTTGGGTTTTCTTGGAATTTTAGCAGTTCCTGGTATAGTAGTATTTAAGGGAGAAGTTACTGATTTGCCTAAAACAGGCTGGAAATGATAGATTACATCTGCTAGCATTGTTGCAGTCTGCTTTTCCTAACTAGGGAATATACAGACTCACCTGTAGAAATGGACAAAACCCACAATATTGGGAATTTGATAATGGTGTTGGACTTTAAACCTAGTGCAAATAATTCCTGCCCAAGTGTTTTATTCACCCTTCAGAAGTGCTAAGGGCTTGATAAATGTCCGCGGGTTCAGAGAATATGCACTAGCTGCTGGTCACTTGTCATACACTCCGCTGGGTAGTCTGGTAAATAGAAGATACGTAGGTACAACTCCTGTTGGCTGTCTTCATTCCCAGCTGCCCTGGGAGGTAGGCTTGAATAACTGCGGTACCATTTGGTAAGTGCTGTTACAGGTTCAGAGTGATGGAAACATACAGGTTTAACAAATCCTTCCCCTATAGTGTCCTAATGGAAGGATGCTCTTTGTATTGCTTCTGTCCTCATTCTTCAGTCAGGGAAATAAGTTGGGATATTAGAATATCCATCTTTGTTTTAACAGGACTGTGGATCAGTTTTAAGACCTTCTCCCTTTCTCATACATGGACCATAGTGTGTCCAGTTAAATCTTGGATCATTAATAAATTATTACCCAGATTGAATACTGTGAAGGGAAGACCAGAGAGACAGGAGCAAAGCATAACTAGTACAATTTAGGATTTAAATCACAGTTAAGAGGAGGCAGGGAAGGGCATGCATATAACTAGTATTTGGTGAACACCTGCCATGTGCAGACTCGGGGTAGATGATAGCATTTGTTATATTCCTTAAAGTGACCTTTGTGAATTAGAGTGCTCGTATGTTCCATGCACTATCTACATTACAGACATTACCTTGTGTAAGTGTTGTGTGCGCTCTGTTTGAGCTAAAAAGATTTCCATTTAATCCAAGTACTGTTCCTAACTTGGTAACAAATTAAATAGCAGATGAGAACATTTGCTGCAAAGTCAAAGCCCCCCCTCAACTCCCCCAGTCTCCTTCCCAACCTTTGACCATTTCTCTTATTCTGGTGGCCACCCCAGCCAGGTCTTTAAATGGTATGTTTATACCTTTATTTCTTGGTACATCAGCGTTAGATACGATTTATTAAAGAGTCTGAATTTCTCTGTTTTTGCCTGAAAATATCCTTACATGGACCTCCTTCTGAATGAGGACTTCACAGAACGCACAAATTAGCTTGATGGGGACTTGGGGGCACTCTGCACGTGCCCCTCCGCTCTCCTCTAATTACAGGTGTGCGGCCATTTGTCCAGTCACCTCCCCTTGTTGGCAAGCGGCCTTTCTTCTCTCTGGCTTTTAAATCTTTGATGATTGTATCTTGACTGCCGTGTGTTTTGATGTGACGTTCCTTTTATGTATTCTGAGTAGATAGGATTGTGTGGGTTTATGGCGTTCATACGTTTTTGAAAGTCCGTAGCCGCTACACTCTCTTTGAATAGGACATCGTGCCCATTGTGTGTGTTTTCCATCCAGAATCTGATTAGATGTCTGTGAGACCTTTTCACTCTGTCCTTCCCTGTCTGTTATACTCGCTCATACATTCCTTCTCTTTGTCTTTCTGAAACATGTTCTCAATAATTTCTTCAGCTCGCTCTCTTTTTTTTTTTTTTTTTTTAATTCAATACTTCTGTCTGCAGCAGTGGCAGATCTATTATTTGGCCTATTCATAGATTTTTAAATTGATATTTTTCACATAGAAGTCTTGTGTAGTTCTTTCTTAAGATTGCCTGGTAAGTCCTGATAGTCTTGTTTCTTGCATTATGATTCATTGTGGTATTTCTACGTAACAAATGAGGGTTCCCCCATGTTGACCATGAATGAAGACCTGCTGCCGTTCTGAAGACCACCAAAATCTGTGTGCCAAGTTCAAGGAAAACCAGCATTGGAGTTTTTGTTACCTGAATGAGAAGAGCACTGTACCTGAGGAAATACTTCATTTCACTTGGCTCTTAATGTAACTACCCCTCCTGTGCCTTTTCTAAAAAGTCATAGACAAATGCAGACCCCTTGGTGACATTTTGCCACTGACCATCTTTATGTGATATTATCTTTTATTTTCCACAGAATGCCCATAATGCTGCGCAGTTCAAACTGTGTTCTAACAGGGAAGACGCCTGCAGAGTTTGCCAAACTGAACGAATGTCCTTTAGATCCAGGTATGTGTGGTTCCTGGATTGCTCGCCCCTGCCCCCAGTCCTTTGTTGGACTTTCTTTTGCTTTAACATTTTTTTCTCAAAAACAATACCTACCTCTCTGCTTTATAATAACCTTGGACAAAACTCTGTTCACAAAACGTCTGGAAATTTGGCTTCAACTTTATTCTTTAAGTCGACATTTTTAAAAGGTATACTGCTTCCTCTTTTATTTCAGGTTTAAAACTTTAACACTCCAAGAGGTGATTTATTGTTATGGTTTATCAGACTTTGTCTCTACTCCCTGGTTTCTTTTGGTATGCCTAGAAATTAAAGAATAATCTTATGAACTTACTTATTTAGCTAGTTGGAAAAAAGTTCACTTCAGGCTATTTTAAATGCAGTAAAGGGGCAAAAACCAAAAGTCTTTTGTTAAAAATTAAAATATATATATATATGTTTATACTTATTTCTAGGCAGTTTATTTTGTAAAGTTTCAAGCTTAATACGTAACAGAAAAAATACTTAATTCCTTAATTCATGTTTCACATTGAATGTTTCACATTGTAGTTGTTTTACTCTATTCCTTTAAAGTTACACTGGTGTAGAATCACGGAAGATTTTGGAAAGAGGTTAACAAAGAACATGACTTTCCTAGACTGTAACAGAGTGTTGCATAAGTTAAATATATTGCTTTTTTTGTTTATATTCTGAAATTAAAATGAAGTCCACTTTATCTTATTCTGAATTACATGCATTAAAAGCTATGATAATGTTTTATGGGTTTTGTTGAGTATAGGAATTTTAGGAAACATAATCCTGGTCTACTGTTGTCACTGATATGTTAGAAAAGTTAGGGCAGTTTTGAATTTATATTGAAGATTGTTGGTTATTTCTGTGCTTAAGAAATTTGAAGACTGATTCATTTAACATGGTGTTTATTCATTTACTTCTTGTGTCTGTCAGGTGCTGATGGTATGTACGCCAGTAAGATCTGTTCCCTGGCCTCAAGTTTATTTTCTTGTTGCACATTTTTATAAAATCATTTGCTGATACGGTTATCAATTCATAAAACAGTTATCAGCAAGCCCCTTCTAACTAAGTGTTGGTCAGCGCCATGGAGCAGGAGATCACGGTCGTTACAAATCACACTGTCAAATGAATAGGTGGTGAAACTTTCCTTGTTTGCTTTTGGCAGGTGGCTACTTCATTGTTAAAGGAGTAGAAAAAGTGATTCTTATCCAAGAGCAGCTATCAAAGAATAGGATCATTGTGGAGGCTGACAGGAAAGGGGCAGTTGGTGCTTCAGTTACCAGGTACGGAACAGAGATGGTATTAACGGAATTATCAGTATTTCTTAACATCACATGATTGTCTTTCAGGACAGAGGTAGCCAGTTATGTCTGATAACAGACAGCAAAGTACTTATCTAACTGTTCAATTTATTGTGTGAGGCTGTAAGCACGGTGTATTGATTTAAATTTAGTGATGAAAAGTGTGTGAGACCTTGGTCGGAAAGCAACTAGTTATTTTATTCAAGTTGAGTTTTGTTTCAGTAAAGGAATTTTGAAAAAAGTAATATAAAGCCACTCTTCAGTTTTTCGTGTTGTTTTTAGTCTTTGATCATTTTACGTGTGTATTCCTATATTGAATATAATCAGATTATTTTATATTTAATATTTTATGGATTCTGTCATGGACTTAACATCTTACTGTTAGTTTTCTTAACTGGCCTCTTTCACAGCGTACTCCTTTTTCTACAACAGCATCTCTTGTATTCCTATAATTTCTTTTTGCCGATTTATTATCATAGGTATCTTGAAATTTGTAAATTAATGAATTCTGGGAATAAAAAAAATCGTAGCATAGTTGTGGTGTCCATATACAATAGAGTTTGTCTTCTGATGACCTGTCATGAACTGCTTCACTCAGACTTTAAAAATTTCACTTTCTGATGGAGGGACAGCCAACAATAATGGCCATTTATTGAGTAGTTAGTAGGAGCCAAGCAGAGGTACCAGTGCTCTACCTTTTTTGTCCCCTCAGCCCTCCAAGTTAAGTGGCATTCTCTCCATTTTACTGCTGAGTAATAGGCCTTGGGCTTGGGGTCCAACTGATCAGAAGAGGTAGCCAGCATTTTAACCCAGATCTAATAATTCTGCAATCCATGTCTTCCTATTTTACACAACTTTTTGGAGCCGGGGAATTGGTATTTGAATCCCAAAGGTGTTCAGTAGCTATGAGGGACTTGGGTGGGTAGTTACACATCTTCTCTAAGCCTTTGTTTCCTCATATGTGATTTGGAGACACACGTTAAAGCTAAGTGTTAGAATGGAGGACAGTGTAAGTGCCGTGAGGATGTAGCATAACATGCAGGGTATGTAGCAGGCGGATCAGTAGGAGTTACTCTTGTGGCTAATTAAGCTTGGAACTGTTTTTGGTTTTTTTTTTTTTTTTGATGTTTATTTTTGAGAGAGAGAGAGAGAGAGAGAGAGAGCAAGCTGGGAGGGGCAGAGGGACAGGGAGACATAGAAGCTGAAGCAGCTCCAGGCTCTGAGCTGTCAGCACAGAGCCCAGTGCGGGGCTCAACCCTGCAAACTGCAAGATCACAGTCTTAGCCAAAGTCGGACACTTAACCAGCTGAGCCACCCAGGTGCCCCTGGTTTTGGTTTTTAAAATTTTTTTAAGTTAATTAATTAATTTTAAGAAAGCAGTCACTCCCTTTCTCTCACTTAAAATCATACAAGGTAAGAGAAAGGGACGGAAAACCCAACTTACTGGCTACCTTATTTTTTATTTTATTTATTTCATTTTTTTAATGTTTTTTACTTATTTCTGAGAGAGAGAGAGAGACAGAGACAGCGTGAACAGGGGAGGGTCAGAGAGAGAGGGAGACACAGAGTCTGAAGCAGGCTCCAGGCTCTGAGCTGTCAGCACAGAGCCCGATGTGGGTCTCAAACCCACGAACCGTGAGATGATGACCTGAGTTGAAGTCAGACGCCCAACTGACTGAGGCACCCAGGCGCCCCATTTATTTTTTAAGTTTATTTATTTTGAGAGAGAGAGCGTGCATGCATGTGAGTGAGTGAAGGACAAAAAAGGAAGGAGAGGGGAAGGGTGAGAGAATCCCAAGCAGGCCCTTTACTGTCAGCACAGAACCCAGCACGGAGCTCAAACCCAGGAACCATGAGGTCATGACCTGAGCCAAAACCAAGAGTCAGATGCTTAACCGACTGAGCCACCCAGGTGCCCCAGAAATGTTTTTGAATCCATTTAGAATTTTGTAGCTAATAGAGATACCAATAAAAGCAGATTTCTTAGTTTCTTTTGGCTTCAACGTATAGTAAGAGTGTAGACATATTTTATTGAATTGTTAATTTAAACACTCCTAGTTATAGGGCCTCATTTTGAGCTTTATCTTTGGAGATGTATAAAATGCTCATGAATATACTCCACACCGAATCAAAGCAGTTCAGGTGGAATCGAAGTGAAGTAGATCAGAATGAATTGGTGAGTGTCACTCATTGACCCACAAAACTTCCACCGTAATCTCAAAGCTAAAGGGACATTGTAGTGATTTTAAATATTCGTGGAAGTGACAAGTTGTACATCTTTAAAAGGCATCTGTTAGGAAGGACCTTATAGATCGTTATTGATTGGTGAACGTTATTGATGAATGATCATTGCTGTTGCATGTGACTAGCCTGAAACCAGGCCAGGACGTAGTTCAACCAACTTTTGTTTCCTTGTAGCTCCACCCATGAGAAAAAGAGCAGAACCAATATGGCTGTGAAACAAGGTCGATTTTATTTGCGACACAATACTTTGTCAGAGGATATTCCCATTGTAATCATATTTAAGGTAAGGCTGCAGGTACCTACTGGAAATTGTAAGGAGTCTTTCTCTGGTTTGTTTTCATAATGTGATTAGAAATTTGGAGGGTAAGGAGTTTTAGGAATAGAAAGATTTGTGGCATAGATAAGTTATAGGTATGTAATGTATTTTAAATTGAAAGCTACTAAGATCGGGATTCGGATATTAAAAATTGTTATTTTTTACTAGCTACAAAATAAAAAAGTCTAAGGTACAAAACGTTATATAGTGAAAAATAAACCTTCCACCCACCTGTACCTAACCACCTAGTTGCTCTACCCAGGGACACCACTGTTCCTGGTTTCTTGTGCATCTTTCTGAAGATAGTCTATGCCTGTATCAGCACATGAGTACACAGGAGGGTTTTGTTCTGGTTTTTTTACATTCATTGTGCATCCTTTTTCACTTAGCTTGTTTTCTTTTTTGTAACTTCTATCTTGGAGATTGTGTGACATGAGTAGTTGAAACAGACCTACCACCTTCTTTTTGATGAACTATCCCACTACGGCTGCACAGTAGTTTACTTACTCATCCCTTTGTCAGTGGATACACACATCTCTTGCTCTTACAGAACTGCTGTAACAGGGGCAGGGCTATCTGTAGGCTGAATTCCTCGCAGTGGACTTTTCTTTGGGGTTTTTTTTTGTTTTGTTTGTTTTTTAGTGTTTATTTTTGAAAGAGAGTATGTGCATGTGGGAAGGGCAGAGAGAGGGAAAGGGGGACAGAGGAGCGGGCTCCACTTCTCACAGCAGAGAGCCTGATGGTGGGGCTGGAACCCACAAACTGTGACATCACAACCTGAGCCGAAGTCGGGTGCTTAACCAGTTGAACCATCCAGGCAACCCCCAAGTTTGTTTTTTTGTGGACTTGGGGAGTCTGGTGTGTTTCTACATAAATACGAATCTTTAAAATTGATTTTTTTCAGCTTGTTTATGAACTGGTGACTTAAAACCCAAAAGATATTTTCACTCAGAAATTATGTTTAAATGGTACATACTTGTTAGATGACCGCACAGCGGCCCATTTAACCTGCTCTGGGACCTAAATGTTCCCCACATTTTATGAACGCTTGTAGCATTAGTCATTAAGCAAAATGCAATAACACCGTTATGCGATATACTTGACCCTCAGCATTTGTGAATTTTGCACTTGCCAGTTCTCCTACTTGCTAAAATTTAGTTGCGACCCTGAAATCATCATTAGTGGTTTTACAGTTATTCACGGATATGCACAGGCTCAGAGCAGTGACAAATTTGGAGTCCCCAAGCTCTACGTTCCCAGCTGAGGTCGAAGAAGGTGACAGTCTGCCTTCTTGTTTCTGCTCTCAAGCTGTAAGCAGGTGCCCTTACAGTGGTCTGTTTGGTGCCATGTTTTTTCACACTTTTGTGGTTTTTTGGGGGGGATTTTGCTGTTTAAAATGGCCCCCAGGCCTGGGACTGACGTGCTGTCTAGCTTTTCAAAGCGCAGGAAGGCTGTGATGTGCCTTATGGAGAAAATACATGTGTCAGATAAGCTTCGTTCAGGCATGAGTTAAGTGCTCTTGGCCATGAATTCAGTGCTGATGAGTCAACAACGTACATTAAGTAAGGCGTCCTTAACCAGAAAGCCACGTCAAACTAGGTTCTGTACTGAGGGTTGGAAGAAAATGTAACCAGAGGCCTGCAGGACACAAGTGCATTTCCCGTTGGAGCAGCGCTTCAGTATCCTTTCATTCAGGGTTTGCGGCGACTCCGGAGAGCACAGCAGCCCAGGAGACTCGTGCCCGGCTGTGCATGGGCCAGAAGTGAATCCTGACTAGGGGCCACAAGGGGAGAAAATAGGAAGAGAGCCTCTGAGATGGCGGTAACTAAGCTGGATAAAAAGGAAAAGCATTTGAGTAAAAGCCTCAGTGGAGTAAGAGAGAAGGACTTGAACTTGTTCTGTTGGACTTGTGACCCACGATGGCACAGGAGGCGGGGGAGCACGGGCCTTTTCCTGTCAAGCTCATGTTGGGCGCTGGAGGGGTTCCTGGGCCACTCCTGGATATTGAGTACATGTAGATCAGCCAGGTTCTACATTCAGGAAATAACTCAAGAAATAACTGCATTCTGGATTCAATTACATGCAGAAGGGTGCAGGGGATTTTTTTTTTTTTTAATGTTTTGTGCAACTTAATGTGTTTGTAAGTTCTCTGAGATGCTGCCATTTATTTTCCTTTCAGGATGGTGGTGATTGACAGTGATGGTGGTGATCACAATAGCAGTGTCAGGATATTGGTGGGGAGGGCAGAGAGAAGTCTTAAATGTGCTTTTTATTATTTTTCTTCAAGGTTTATATTTCTAAAGCACGGAAGTAATTTTGGCTTTTCTTGTAAGGATCCCCTAGTACCTGTAGCAGTGTCTTATGTCTGTAGTGGTGGTTAGTGGGTAACTGTAGAATTACGTCTCCAGTAGAGGGCAGTGTGTTCCCATGCATCCAAAGGACTTTTATGGAATTTTTAGAGGCTTAAAGATGCATAGGACTGCTTTCCTTAGACCAAAAATTATACATTGATTCTAATGCACATAGTCTATCATTCACATGGAAAATACATCACTTGACACGTGGACACATTAAAATCAGAAAAACTTTTTTGGCTGGGTAACAAAATTTCAATAAGACTGTTTCTTTCAATTTCGTTTAATATTATGTTGCAAATGTGTACATGTATTTAGAACCAACTTAAACCATTTTTAGAATTGGGCTATAAATTAACAATATGCATCTTTATGTAACATGTAGTTGAGATTATAAAACAGTCTCTGAATTGTACAAATTTAGAAAGCCACTGAGAAGTAGACTTCCATTTTCAGATATATTTTTTTCCAGGCCCTTTTTCCTTTGCTTTCGTAATATACACATGGATTTTATTTTAGTTTTTTTCCTTCACTTACTAGTGAATTGGGTATAGCTTTTCGTATCTGTAAGTACAGATCTACATCATCATTTCTGGCAGATGTTGTACAGAAGTCTCACGTGGGTGGGATAATCTATTTAACCAGTTTTCTATATGATGACATTCAAGTGCCATTTTTTTCCACCAAGTGTTCACTCTTCTACACAGCCGTGGGTGCTCTTCCACATACATGTTTGTGCATGTTGCTGAGTACTTTGTGGGACTTAATTCCTGGGAGTGGAATTATATTTGTTTGTTTTTAAAAGCTCGGTGCATGTTGCCAAACTTTCCTCCTGAAACATAACCATTTATTCTAATCAGCCGTATGTAAGGTTTGAAACAACCATTTAAAAGTTTTCAGTTTAAATAAACTACATTAGTCGCAGATAGTCACGTTTTATGGTCTCCTGCTAGAGGGATGTTTTAAACAGCCTGGTGGAACCTTGTTTATAACTTCTAAGGCTTTTCCATCTGGGGAGCAGCTCGGACTGTGGAAGAGCTTAGCACCAGACGGGCTGCATTCCAGCTTCTCCGCTTATTAGCTGTGTGACCTCAGACAGACTTCCCTGTCTCCTGGAGTCTTGGATAACTCCCCTATAAAGTGAAGATTTCACCTGAGAGGGCTGTTGTGAAGAGCTGAGGAGATCGCATATATTTTGAAAAATGGATGGCCTAGAAGGAAGATACTGCTTCTCTTGCCTTCGCTCCCCTTACACAGGAGCAAAGTAAACTGGGCGACCAGGAAAGTCACATCATTTCTCTTTTTGTGTTGTGTGGCCCTAACACAGACCTTGACAGTCATTAGGACTTGATGGTTGTTGATTGTAACCAACAATTGGCTAAAAGTGACAGAAGCGGCAGGGTTCCCAGGTCCCACGCTGGGGCTGAATATGACGCTAAAGCTTTCAAGGCCTAGATCAGCCTTATTTATGGACCTGAATCACTACAAAGGTTCTCCTGCCCATGAATCTTTCCCGCTTTACATTTTGTATTCCCAAGTATTCAGCAGTTGCACTGCGATGGCCTCTGTAGTCTGAAAGTTTTTACAGAAAAGAAGATCAGATTTCAAGGGAGCTGGGCATTGTTTCTTGGAAACCAACTTGCATTAAAATTGTTGATCTCTGAAGAGGAAAAAACTGCAGAGTTAAAGAGAGCCATCAGTTCTTTTATTATCTGCTAAGACCACTTTGAGTAATAATAGATTGATTTCTGTCTAAAGAAAGATTAGAGATTTCTGAATGTTAGGTATTTGAAGAACTTAATCCCTTTTCCCTCTTTCACCTGATCTATTTCAGCATATCACAGTCAGCGGTCAGGCTTTTCTCTTCTGCTCATTAGTGTGTTCTCTCTCTCTCTTTAAAAGTCACACTTGTAGCCACACTTCGTGGCTATCCAAGAGATTTCACGCTGCTTTTTAAAGAGCATAACCCCTTATTTTTGTTGCATCTTATTGCTCATGGCCAGACTGGGTGACCTTCTGCTGAAACGTCACCCAGTCTGTAGTGACTCTGTAGAGATACTACTCAGAAGTAGTATCTCTGCTACTTCTTCATAAGGTTATTATGTAGCATTTATTTCTGACTTATTAGGTGAAACGATTTCAGATATCTGGAGTACAAAGAGTTCTGTATAAGCTAGTTTTCAGATGTCTAAATTAGGTCTCTAAAGCAAAATGGTTGGGTATTTTGCTATTGTTTCCGTAGCGGTATGCCGTTTATTTGTAGCTGTCACATCCCAAGGGTAAACAGTCACAAAATCAGTTTGGTCTTTGGAGCTAGAGTGCTTTTGATGATAGCTTGAGTTAATCACCTTGTGGTTCAGAGACCCAGTGTAGGAAGAGTTTAGTCCTTGTAGAGCAGAGCTTTGCCACTGATGATTCTTTCTGCACATATGGTGTCATTTACCATGTGCTTGGCATATCTTCACTTCATGGCTTAGAAATATTTGGAGGGCCTAAGCGATCTGTTTAGATCCATGTTAGAACACTTGATAATTTTATGCAGTTTTCAAATCACTGCTTTAGATTCAGCCTTGGGACAACTCGAAGCAGAAATCCGTATGTCAAATGAGGAAGGACTTTTTCATTATTATTAAACACCAAAATAGGCAATGAAATCTATGGTCTTTCCCCTTTGGAGATTGCTGAACTAAAGATTAAGTATTAAAATGATCCAGGTAGCCTCAGTTGAGAAGGCTTAGATGTTGACATGCCTAAAGAATGGGGGCAGATCCAGAAAGCTACTGCCAGTTCCGTTCAAAGATTTCTGTTTCTGTCCCAGTGAGACATTTGGATGTGCTCGGTTTGGCAACTGCCCGTATATGTAGCTCTCTTAGTGTTTGCACTTTTTTCTGAGAGGGAAGTATATTGGTTACACAGTTTTATTAGCAAAGATTTTAGAGAAGGGTGATTGAATTCTACTGCAGACTAGTTGCCCTAGTATTATTTTTCTTTTATTTTTATTCCATTGAAACCCATGTAACAGTCTTTAAAACAAAAAATGTTTTTATCTTAGGGAGCAAGCGCGTGCGCGAGAGAGAGAGCGAGCGAGCGAGTGCGAGCATGTGAGTGCAGGGGAGGAGGGGAGAGACCATCCCAAGCAAGCTCCACGCTGTCAGCGTGGAGCCTGATGCAAGGCTCAGTCTCCTAAACTGTGAGATCATGACCTGAGCTGAAACCAAGAGTCAGACGCTCAATCTACTGAGCCACCCAGACGCCCCAGAACCCATAGAGTATTCTTATGAGATTGACAAGTAAAAGTTAATTTATATTAGCTTTTCAGAGAGAAATATTCTCTTCTGATATCTCTGGCTGGCTTTCTGCAGACCAAGAAAAAAACGTAGACAGTTGTATGTGCTTGCCATCCCCGTCAGAGTAGATACACTCAGTGCTTGTTCAAAGGATAATCTAGGGTGGTTGTGTTTTCACTTGTTTTAAAAATTAGAAGTGATCGTTTTTAGGATTTCTCACCTTTAATCCATGTAGTGCTAAGTGTTTTAACGAATTTATGTAATTTTTAAACAGTGGAGTTTATGCCTAGCATCCATATGAACAAATGCACCATATTAAATTAGAGATAAAAAGACATGAAAATTAAAGTATAAAAAAGAGATTTGTGTCCTGAGAGTATCTTTATTGTTCACTGAACAAAAACATTTTTGGACAAAACAAGTTATACATTTAAAAAGGGTTTTTTGTTTTGTTTTGTTTTAAGTGTCAATAGTGAATCTAATTCCAAAAGTTGGTCTGTTAGTTTTTGTGCTGTGTAGCAAATTCAGCACAATTTCTGTTGGTCAGACTCGGGGGTCGCTTGGCCGGGTGGCTCCAGCTCAGGGTTTTTCATGAATCAAGATGTCAGCCAGGGCTGAAGTCATCTGAAGGCTGGACTGGGGCGGAGGGTCTCCCTTCATGGTGCCTCCTCCACGAGGCAGCTGCCTCCTCCCCACCTGCCCTTTCCATAGATGGCTCAGGTGTCCTCCTGACGACGCCACTGGCTTCCCCAGAGGAGCACTCTAAGAGAAGGAGCAAGCCAGAGGCCGCAGTGTTGTTTGTAACCAGGGCTCCAGAGCTGTCCTCTCTGGCTTCCACCTTTTTTTCTGAAGAAGCTAGTCATTAAGTTTAGCCTTCACCCGAAGAGGAGAATTAGTCTTTACCTTTCGTAGAGAGTGTCAAAGAAATCGGCGAACCTTTTCCACACTGCTACAGTTTGCCTAAAAGGGGAGACAGAGCATATGTTTAGCTCCCCCCACAAAAGCTTCAGAAATTGCAGTAAGTTACACCTGCTCCTAAAGTACCCAGATCGAATGTCTAGATTAGAGAGTAGTCAGAGTCAGATGGAGGACTGTACAATTTTGAGTCCTCTTACAGAAATGAAGACCTGATGTGGACAGAGTGACAGGACAGTTAGCGGTTCTCAGGTCTGTCTGTGACCGTGCTTTAGGACGGACACCTCAGATCTCTTGACCTAGAGAGGTGCCCTGTCTGTTGTACTCTGGCTCATGTTCTCGATGTTCCTGACTGCAACTTGAGATTCAGTTTTCCTTTTCTCCCTTGTGTGTAGAGCTGGAAACCAGAGCCTCAAAACCTAACTGGACAGTTGTTCCTGGTTCTGTTTTCTCTGCTTAACTCAAGGAAGAATTTTAATGCAAACATAACGTTCCCCCTGACTTCTAAGAAGCAGAATCTTTCTCTGCCAGGGGAGGTTTAGTGAGATTATGCTCTATTTCTTGATCTGGCAAAATTCCAGGCAAGTGTGTAAAGGAGTGAGCCTTACAGCCATATGGAATCTACAAAGACCTGTGTTGCCGGCTGCCACCTTGAAGCACTTAGGAGAAGTGGGTTTCTTAAACCTCCTGAGTGTGTTTTTAGGTTTTTTTTTTAAACCACTTTTTAAAACCTGCATAAAGTATGGCTTGATATCTCCAGAATAGTGAGGTAAAACATCCTTTACGAAAAATTCTTTGAGCCTAAATGTGAACGATTTGAGAGTTCTCAGAAAAATTAGTCTTATGACAAAACTAATTGGGGTTCTGTTTGTTTTCATCAATGTGTATTTTCTGATTACTGCCTTTTGGCTGTTTTTGGGGTTTTTTGTTTTGTTTTGTTTTTTGTCTTAGTTTTCAGTTTGCTTTTGTAATTGTGACCAGTGTCTCTAGTATACCTTCCTACCTCCTTTATTCACGATGAAACTCCTAGGATATTTAAACATTTTAGAAGACGACACCCATGCAAAAAAAAGTGCTTGAGAATGTTTGTTTTCATCTTCCGAATCGAAATTTCTGTTTCAGGTTCTTCTGCAGCTTGCGCGATGGCTGCCAATGCCAGATGGCACCGTTTCTGAGAAAAGAGCTAGCTTTTGCTTAGAAGTAATACCCACAAACAATGCCGAATTAGCATAAGCAAATGTCAGTGAGTTAACACAAAGCCAACACTCTTTCTATCTTTTCTTTCCTTCCTAGGCCATGGGTGTTGAGAGTGACCAGGAAATTGTGCAGATGATTGGGACAGAGGAGCACGTGATGGCTGCATTTGGGCCCAGTCTGGAAGAGTGCCAGAAAGCTCAGATTTTCACACAGATGCAGGTGTGTCTTTTCATGTTGTCCTTTGCTATGAAAGGGAATTGGAGATTTAATGCTGCCCATGGATAAAGCATCGGATGCAGTGACTTCTTAGGGTATAGGTGTGGGAGGGTGCTGGGAAGGACCAGTAGAGAAGCTTCTTCGACTCATGCTTTAAGAATTGGAGGAAGGAGTTTGCCTTGACAGATTATCGGCCTGTGGTGTCTAACTTGGAAGGGGGATATATGGCTAAGGGGCTTTTGTTCTGATATAATAGCAAGTGCACTTTTTTCACTTATTTGCCCAAGTGATACGTTTTTGAATTATAACTCGAGTGCAGAAGACTTTTTTTTCCCTCTCCGCTCTCCTCAGTTTCACTTTTATTCCCTACTTCTACTTGCTTTTAGTGTCCAGTTGTGGTCTCAGTCCCTTTTTCTGAATTACAGTATCATCAGCAAGAAAATCCAAGATCAGAAACCCTTTACCAGTACAGAGGTTTCATCGACCTGGGAAGGAACTCCTAGTTGGAACCTAGGGATTTTAGGACAACAGTCAAAGATGAAGACAGGGAGATACATATGCTAAACATGTAAAATGAATTGTATTTCCTGCCCTTGTGACAGGGAGCTCTGATAGCCACACTGAGCATGTTTAGTCCTACATTTGTAAAGTACTTTGCTAAGTGTAAAGTGGTGGTCTTCCTCATGGCCATCCTGCGGGTAGGGATTCCCTGCTATAGAAGCACTGTAGACAGTCCTTATTTATCCATATGTGCATTGTCTATTCTGTGGGTTACTTTCAACAAGTGTGTGTGTGTATATCCAGAGCACACATCAGTAGGGATTATTATCACTGCCTTCCTCTTTTTATGCAGTTAAGTAATAGTCAACTCTAGTTATTGGGCACACGACATCAGGAGAAGTTGTTTGGATCTAGAAGGTTCTATCTTTGGTCCTTATTGAAAACGAAATATTTTGTGATTCTGAATCTTTGTTTCCAACTGGAATTGTGTTGCCCAAGGGTTCCAAGAACATGAAGAGGAAATGTTAAGAAACACCCAGGAGTTGGCTCAGTGTGAGGAGACACACTCATTCCTTTAAAGCTATGTAGGGCTTAGAAAAAGCAGTTTACCTTAATGATACCTCAGTGGATTCAGTGAGGTCTGTGAATATTCATTTTATAACACATAGCATCATTGTTGCTCAGAGAACCCTGTAACATCGCATGGTAAAGCTTGTGTGAGAAGGCTAAATAGTGGGTGAGAAAACCATTTATTTTTCTTAAATAGGTGCTTACAGAAAGTGTTAGCTGAGAGAAGTTTAGTTAAACATAAGGGGACTATACAAACAGGAGGTGTAAGGTTGACATGGCTTGTACTCTTTGTGCTGGATTAGACCATTGATTAATTATTTGCAACCAATAAGAAGCTATAGAGACACGTATAATCCAGAATGGTTGGTAAGTTGAACATGAGTTTGGGCACTGTGGCTATTTAATGTTATTCTAAGTGAACGTGGAGCAGATACACAGTATATTCTTCTATAATAGAATTTTCAACAACATGGCACTCAGTGGATTGCTAAACACCCCCATTGTGTTTGCGTTTAATGCCTCCCATCTCAGTCTCTCCTCCATTCCTTCTGCCCACAAAGCGTTTTGCTGGACCTTGGTAGTGGACATTTCCTATCATCCTTGTCAGGGGCTGTGGTATAGAGAGAAGAAATTATTAGCCTTTTGGAGCATAGGATGCACTTGGGGATTTCATCTTGGCCCGTGCATGACCAGATTGGGCTCTTACCCCAGCCCTCACACTGCAAACCCTTGGCAACATTATTAGTTGTTTTAGGGGAAAGCTGACTTTTGCTACATCAGAAGGGATACTAGGCTCCCCTGTGTTCCTCTGTTTTTTCCTCAAAAAGTGAAGGATTTTTTGCCTCTTTCCCAAGGGAACTGGAAGACCAAAATTTAATGAGGACAGCTCAGTTTAGGGAAGACTGAACTGCCTGTCTCTTGGCGGTTCCCACTGACTGTGGGCTTGCTTTCATTAGTTATTCGGTCCCCACTTACTGCTAGGTCCCTGCAACAAGGCTTGCCACAGTCTTAGTTTATCATCTCCTCGAACGGATGTTTAACTGAGAAGATCCTGGGTCTGATGTCCTGATCTTACCACAGAGGTTCCATTCAGTTCCTGGCCCTGAACTAGTCATTAGGAATCAAAGAAAAAGATGACACAATGTCTAGTCGGAGAGACCTACCCATAAATAGACAATTAAAATATGGTGTGGTCTGAACTGGTAGGAAAGCACTTAGTTCTTTATCCATAAGGAATTCAAATAGTACAGAAAACAGAATGGGGTTAGGAAGGCTGCAGAGAGGAAATGATACCTGAACTAGGTTTTGAAGCACAGAAAAGCAATTTCCCAGGCATGTAACTGGGGACAGGAATTTCAAGATAAAGAATCAGGAATCCTAGCTCTTCCTTGTCACTGAAAGACAATTTAAAAAAACAAAAATGCATTTATTTGTTGCTACAAAATAATAAGAACCACATGGTCTTCTTCTTAAAGAACTTTTTATTACAGAACTTCAACAGATACCAAGTATACAGATTAGTATTATGAATCCTCATGTGCCCATCACGCAGCTTCAATAATTACAAACACTTTGCCATTCTTGTTTCATCTGAATATCTGCCTACTCCTCACCTGTTATTTGTTTAGTTTTTAATACTTCATTTTTATAAAGAATTTATGTATGCTAAAATGTACAAGTCTTAATTGCACAATTTTGCATACTTTAAGATGTAGAATATTTTTCCATTACCCCAGGAAGTTCCTTCATGACCCGTCTTAGCTACTTTTCACCTCCTCCTCTGATCTTCTTCCCCACTGTCTGATCTTTCACCACAGATTAATTTTGCCTGTTCTAGAACTTTATATGTGAAATTATGCTGTATATGCTTTTCTGTGTCCGGTTTCTTTTGCTAAGCGTACTGTCTGATATTTATCCAAGTTCCTTTTTGTATCATTTATCCACGCAGTTCCTTTTTATTACCAAATAGTATTCCATTGTGAATATACCACAGTTCATTTTTTCCTGTTGATGGACACCTGGTTGTTTCACTCAGTGTTATGAATAAAGCTGCTGTAAACATTCCTGTGCAAGCCTTTGCCTGGACAGTTCAGCATTTCTCTTGGATAAGTACCTACAAATAGGATTGTTGGATCAAAGAGTCATTGTGAACGTAACTTACTCTAAAGTTGGAACTGCCACACCTTTTCCCAAAGCAGTTGTACCATCTTGCAGTCCCACCCCAGTGTGTGAGAGTTCTGATGACTGCACGCCCTCACCAACATTTGGTCTTGTCTGCCTTTTTAATTTTAACCATTCTGCTAGATGTTGAGTGATATCTGTACCTTTGTGGTTTTAATATGTGTTTCCCTGATGACTAATGATGTTGAACACTTTTTCATGGACCTCCTGACTGACTTTCTTGGTGAAGTATCTGTCCAAATCTTTTGCTTGTTTTCCTTGTGGAGTTGTCTTTAGTGTTGAACTTCAGAGTCCCTTTAAAAAAAAAAATCCTGGACATAAATCCCTTATGTATCATAAGGTTTTTTTTGGTTTGTCTTATGGTTATTGATTTCTGTCCCGTGTGAAGAAATTTTGCCTACTCCAAGGGCAAGAATATATTCTCCTGTGGTTTTTTTTTTTTTTTTTTTCTGGAAACCTTATGGTTCAAGTTTTTATGTTTCTGTCTAAAATCCACTTAAACTAATAATTTTTTTTATTTGGTGTGAGGTAGAGGTCAAACTTAATTTTTTACTTTGTAGATACTTACTTGTTTCAATACCATTTGTGGAAGAGATTTTCCCTTGCTGATTGAATTGCTTTGGCACTTCTGTCAAAAATCATCTGACCATAAAAGCATGGGTTTATTTCTGGATGTGTTTTCTTCCGTTGATCCATTTGTCCTTATGCCAGTGTCACATTGCCTTTAGTGCCATCGCTTTCTAATCAAAAGCAGGTAATGTAAATCTTCCAACTTTTCTTTTTCAAGAGCGCTTTAGCTATTCTAGGTCTTTTGCATTTCCATGTAAGTTTTAGAATCAATAGATTTTTGGTTTTTAAAAAACCTGCCACAGGTGTAATTGCCAGAAACAATCATGATGTACCTATTGGTCAGTTTGGAGAGAATTTTAATAGTAAGGCATCTTAGCACTATTAAGCCTTCTCAGTCCATGAAAATTACATAATCCTCCATTTACTTAGTTTTTATTTTCTCCCAGCAGTACCCTGTAGCTCTCTCGATAGAGGTCTTAATATGGTGTACTTCCTTTCTGAGGGAAAAGAAGTACAGCTCCGGAATGTTAACTGTGGACAGTGGTTCTCTCTGGACGCAGTATTGAGGGCTGCTTCATACGTACAATGTGCATGTGTATACACGTGTAATCTGTTCATTTATATGTTCTAAATTTCCTACAGTGATCGTGTATCAATTTTGTAGTAAGAAAACAAACTATAAAATAAGGGAACCAGTGTATTGGGCAGCACATAATGCTCTTTGTCATTGATCTGTGACAAATGTTGATTTTTGACCAAGCCTCATGCAGCATCGTTTGTAACCAGGATCCTTGTCTTTTTGCTTATAGTGTCATGTATGGGCTGGTGTTTAATAAATTACCCTCCAGTGGTGTCATTCAAACATCATTATATTCTGTTTTTTATAGGCATTAAAGTATATAGGGAACAAAGTAAGGAGGCAAAGGATGTGGGGAGGTGGACCAAAGAAGACCAAAATAGAAGAGGCAAGAGAGCTCCTGGCTTCTACCATCCTGACGCACGTCCCAGTGAGTAGCCTAAACACATGTGAGCTGTGCTCATAGTGGGCTCTCTGTGTTTAAGAATTGTGAATACAAGTTTACATTAATCTGGTCTGTAAGAAAAGAGAGACTCTATAAAGGACTGGACTGCCCCATGGAAATCCTCTCCCATTTTCAGTGGTTTATGTGTACTTTGAGAATGTTAGCTGTATCCCATCATTATCATCACGTTTACTCTCTCGTGGTTCTTCTTTCAACCTAAAATTAAAGTTTTTTGTATTTATACCTATATTAGTGCTGCTACTAGATTTCAAGGTTTTGAAGGGCAGAGATAGTGTTAGATGTTTTTATTTATATGTATAAATAAAGTATATTATGTTTTATGTTATATATATTTCATATATATGAAAATTTAAAAAACATATATATATATGTTTTCACATATTTTTGAGAGCAGAGAAACAGAATGTGAATGGGGAAGGGGCAGAGAAAGGGGGAGATAAAGAATCCAAAGCCGGCTCCAGGCTCTGAGCTGTCAGCACAGAGCCTGACATGGGGCTCCAACTCACTACCCATGAGATCATAACCTGAGCTGAAGTTGGACGCTTGACCGGCTGAGCCACCCAGGCACCCCGATGGTATTAGATGTTTTTAAATGAGAAGAGCTTATTGGGCCTTGCTCATTTACTCTTTTTATTGTAAAATACATAACAAAATTTACCATTTTTAAGTGTACAGTTCTGTAGCATTAAGTGCACTCTCACTGTTGTGCTACTGTTATCACCATAGATACTTTTTAAAATACTGGATGGATTATTTTCAGACCTTTAATTTAATTTTATTTTATCTTATGTTAGTTTATCTTATTTTTTATATATTTTGAATATTTTCTATTCCTTAAGATTTTCTCAGTAACATTTTTTTTCTCTTGTAAGAATACAGTATTAACAATCAGAATATGTGTTGGCTGCTTATGTTATCAGTAAGGCTTCTGATAAACAGTAGGCTATTAATAGTTAAGTTTTGGGGGAGGTAAAAGTTGTACATGGATTTTCAACTGTGCAAAGAGTCGCTGCCCCTCATGGCCTTTTAAAGGCCAACTGTATTTACTTTTTTATTAATCTACCATTAAACAGAGTTTGGCCATGAGGGATGTGAGCAAGAGTGATCATTCCTCTCCGTTTAATATAATGTTACTCTTTCTAAGTGATAGAATTATTTATTAGACATTCTTGCTAACCAAATACTGTAGTCTGGTTTATAATGAGTATATGTATTATTCACGAATGATGTAATCTAGGGTTGCATACTCTCCCTTCAGGAGAGTCAGGGATCATAAAGGAAAGTCAGGATCTATGGAAGTGGAGAGTGACCACCGAAACACATTCAGATTGGGTTTTCTTATTTTAAAACACCTTGTTGGCTAAGTAACATACAGATCTCTGGTTCTGCTGTTTGTAAGTGGACTAATTCAAAGAATTAAAAAAATTCTTAATATCAAAGCTGGGTCTCAGTAGAATTTTAAACTCTGGATGACCATTTAAGAGTCAAGACAGCCACAGTGAGTGTCTCTGGCTCCCCAGTGCTTTTCCAGGCAGCCTCTCTGTCTCCAGCAGAGATGGTCTCTTGGACTGCCTCAGAGCCTCAGGGCCCAGAGAAAGGAAGTGATAACTATGAGTCCATGGGCCAGCCCAGGGAAGGTGGTGGGCTCCACCTCTTTAGGGAGTGGCATGAAATGTATGGGGAAGGAAGGAGGGAGTTGATAATGGCTAATGTGCATCCTCTCAGAAATTTTCTCTGACTCCTGATTTACAGGTTAAAGAATTCAATTTCCGAGCGAAATGCATCTACACTGCAGTGATGGTGCGAAGAGTGATTCTGGCCCAAGGAGATAACAAAGTGGACGACAGAGACTATTATGGTAACAAGCGACTGGAGTTGGCAGGACAGGTGATTTAATTACTTTATGTCTGCAGGCCTGAGCTTCAGGTGTTGGTATGGGGTTCAAGGTTTTTCAAAGCATGAATGCTTACTCAGAATCCCGGTATTAAATAAACGTGGAGCCTCTCTGGCCGAGGTGGGGTATAAGGGCTTATTTCACTACCTGCTCACCCTTCCCCCATGTCTCCTTTGTGGGATTCATGAAAGTTTGCTCTGGCACAAAGTGTAGGCTCTAGCAGGGTCCCTGATGATCTGGCCCCATTGCATCTTTCCATCCCTGTCTCATGCCAGGGCAGGCCACTTACGTCTTCCCAGGCACTCTGATGCTCTTTCATCCTTCCATGCCTTTGAGTTATGCCTTCTGCCTAAGTTGCTCCTTCCCCATCTCCTTTTACCCTCCCTCTAGTGAGGAGCTGCTACCCATTCTTCATTCTTGGAGTCTCCCTCTTTGAAATCTCTGTGAACCCCAGGAGAAGTTAATTGCTCTGTCTTCCAAATGCCAATAACACTTTTGTTCAGATCTTTATGTATATGCTAAAATATACATAATTCTTTCCCCCCTAGACATAGTATGCTCATTGAGGACAAGAATGCGTTATATTCATCTCTCTAATCCCCCTGTAAAGTACTAGGCACCAGAGATGCATTGGTGAGTGACACTCAGGTGACACCTGCTCTCAAGAGTGCATTTTGGTAGGGGAGACAGTGAATAAGTAAACAGCAAAGAAATGAGATAATATTAAACAGTCATGTGTTTAAAGAAAACTCCAAACAGGCTAATGTTAGCGAGTTGGGGTGTTGGTGGAGGAAAGCATGTTACTTTAGTCAGCATGATCAGGAAAGATCTCTTTGAAAAAAGTGATGTATATTTTAAGCTGAGTCCTCAGACCTGCCTCTGAGACTGGAATGAGAGGAAGCCAGTCTCATGCAACCTCGAGAACTGCATTCCAGCAATAGCTCCTTGCAAATGTGCACATCCCTGCTTAGCTGCAGCACCAGGGGTTTGGAGGAGGGTCAGGGCAGCTGGGGTGGTGCGTGAGCTAGGGCATGGGAAGGTGCAGAGGACTCTGGAGAACTAGCCTGTGGGCCGTGGAAGGGGGTTTGGATTTAGTTTTCCATGCAGTGGAAAACCACTGGAGAATTATAATCAGGGAAGTGACATGATCTGATTTTTATTTTAGAAAGAGCTGATTTGGAGACGAACAGGCCAGGAATGAACCAGTTAGGAGGCTGTGACTGAATTCCATCTGACAGATGATGGTGGCTAGGATAACATATACTACAACTAAAACTTAAAACTAGGATTAAAAAATGACAGCAGTTTTAAGTTTTGGAAGAAGGTTAGTGTCTGGACTACTGAGGAAGTTCTATGTGGTTCATGGCTGTGCTAGCAGGTGGGTTTTCCACTACCTTCAAACCGACCTCTGTTCAGAGTATCATGGGTCTCCCCACCACCATCATGAGTCCCAGTTTTTACAGTTTTTTAATTGGAAAAAAATCATGCTGTTAAATGTGTCCATTAAAAATTGTTGATTGTTTAGAAGCATAAGGAATGGAGTCAGGAGAGGAGAGACTATCCTGTTGCTTAAAAAATTAGAATTAAAAAGAGGGTTCCTGTGTGCAAGAAAACATTGCTTTATAAACAATGTAAAGACATAAAAGGCATTGTGTTGGCAAAAATGTGTAAAAACAATAGCTGCTAATTTCACACCCCGTGGGATGAGGGAGTATAAATGTGCTTCAGCTTTAGATAACAGAGCTGGATCCACTGGCCAAGTGGGTTCACAGAGCTTTCCCTCAGTCTCTCTGCCACCAGAGGGCTGGCAGGCCAGCCGCCAGTAGAGGTGTTAGCAAAACCTACCGATTTCAGGCTTAATCTTTTCACCTACCTTTTCTTTTTCGGTAATGTGTTCATTATTTGCTGAGCATTACTCTATTCTTTGTCTGCAAATTTTTTGTTTCTAATGCAGCTCGCTTTGTATGGGTGAGATATGGAACGGCACCAAAAATCCGGCACCCTGGAAAGCCAGGGATTTCCACCCTGTGACAAAAGAATGCCGTCTTGACTTCAGAGATTGCCTAATCCCAGCTGTTCTGATAATGTAATTAAGGCTGCCTAATGTCTTTAATTTTGCAACCAGTTTGTGTGAAAAGGAGAATTTGGCACTCTGAAGGCTTAACACTAAATAGCAATCTCAAGGCACCTAATTAGAATTCTCTGACATTAAGCTAATTGGTGAAACTGTATTTCAGCAGCTTAACTTCTTTATTAATTTTTTTTTAGCATTTTCATTGAAAATCAATTGATGAGCTGTCAGCATTTTTTCCTTAAATATAATTTGCTCCTTAGTGTTCGTGTCGCAATTTGGCTGGAAAGCCTAATACTAGCCGTGAAAGGTGTTGAATATTATCACCGTTTCATCTCTTTTAATCATTTTACTCTTGACCTAAATAATGTGGTTTATTGTGTGACTTGGCCTTGTAGTTTCCTACTGCCCTGTGAATTGGAGAACGTGATTTCTCTTAAACCGAAAATCTAGAGGTGGAGAGATTTAATGAGGCAGTAGTTCTGTGGAGTGTGTTCTTACGTTATACTTGTTTGGGACGAGAGGCGTTTCCTTGCGTTTGAATTGGGGGGCTACGGCAAATTCAGCTGGGATCTAAGAAACTTTGTCATAATTTGAGACACAAAAGTCTAAGTGTAAAGGACTAATTAAAATAGAGCTGAGCCTTTGTGGTTTAGGTTAAGGGCATTTGCTTCTGTTCAGGAGGCTTATTCAAGTTCCTTTTGCCAGTTTCCACAGGAAGTTTCTGCAATGGGCCTCTTCATCCCGTTCACCCCTCTGCACCTGCTTCCATTCCCATATTCTTTCCATGAGTGAAGCTGCTGGGTCTGAGTGGAAGAAAGGATTAAGCTCTCAGAGGAGGAAGTTTTCTTTTTAGAACACTTCTGACCTGGTACATTCAAGTCCAAGGGCCTGGCTTTTCTCTCTACAAAGTTGATTTTAGTAAAAAAGTGAAAGGACATATCGTAACTTAAAGGAGAAAAGTATAAAATCACATTCCACTTTGGAAATTCCTCAGTAGTAAGTAGCTCGAGGAGAAAACTCATTTGCTTTGAATATCTTCTTCAAAAGCTTCTTCTAGAACCTACCTATGGATTATAAACATTCAAGAATATAGTCAGTATGGAACTTAGATAATCTTTAGCTTACATGGTTTCGCTGAGTTTAGAGTTCTCCTTTCAGTAAATAATGCCCCCATGATGTTACTTTAATGTTTTTTTTTTTTAGGTCACTTAGATTACAAAGACATCAAGCTTTTTTCTTTCTCTGTAAAGGGAAAAAAATGCCTACCAAAGGGGGGGGGCGGGGACTAGCGCAATTAATTGTACAGAGGAACTTAAGTGTTTGTAATATCTATTATATTTGATTATTGAAGAAGTGTATCTGCTGTTTATTTGTAGTGAGCCACCTGTTTAGTTTCGGGAACTTTTTATAGATGGCATTCTGGTTATCTGTTGCTGTGTTGCATCCTCTCCCAAAACGGTGGCTTAAATTAACAACCATTTCATTACACCTCACAATTCTATGGGTGAGGAATTCAGGCAGGATTTAGCTGTTTGACTCTTCTGTTTTGCATGGCGTTGATGGAGGTCAGTTGGTGGTATTCTGCTAAAGGGTGTGGGAAGGGCTGGAAGACGGTCTTGGCTAACACCTGACCTTTCCAGTGTTGTGGCATCTGAGTGGCTCAGGGCTCAAAACAAATGTTTCCTGTGAACAGAACAGAACCGGTGCAGCCTTAATGACCGTAGTCTTCAGCTCGGTCTGAAGACTTTATTTATGCTTTATTGGAAAAAGCAGTTTCAACCTCCACCCAGATTTGGGGCAGGGGGAGGACTTGGGCCACACTTCTCAATGTGTAGTTCTAGGGTCACCCAGAGATTGAGGCTCAGTTGACATACATGATCGGGGGTTTCCTCCCTGTGGTTCTGTGATTTTTCCCCTTTCCAGCTATTGTGGTAGCTCAGATCTTTTTCCTCTGGGTTTTCAATCCAGCAAGACTGGGTCTCTGAGTTTTGACTTCTCAGTGTAACTTGTACCCTTTTTACCAATGTGGACTCCCCTTAGTTGAAAAGCTTTAAAAATGGGAAATGCACCCAGTGCCATTCACTTTTGAGACATGTTGGCTTTCCTCCAGTTTCTGCCTGTTTTTAGACAGCCTCCAATGACCTCAGATAGTTTTAATATTTTGTCCAGATTTTATAACTGTTATCAGCAGGTGAGTCTTATCTGATAGGAGCTTCTCTACCAATTCTGGAAACAGAGCCATCCATGTCTGTTCTTATGACTTCCTATTACATCCCATTGACCTGGTTTCTGTGGTTATACTATTTCAGATAGTTACCATGGCTTAATATCATATATTTTTTATTATGTAATTTTTAACATGAAAATAAAAATTAAAATGTTACATAAATATAAGTTTTGAAGGGTCCAAATAAAATCAACACCCTCAGAGCCACTCTCTGACTTAAGTAATTCTTAATAATCAACCATTATTCAGTAAATAATGTCTATATAATGCCCCCATGACGTTACTTTAATGTTTTTTTTAGGTCACTTAGATTACAAAGACATCAAGCTTTTTTCTTTCTCTGTAAAGGAAAAAAAATGCCATTGTACAGTTTGCTGTTATATCCTATCTGGAAGAATATGACTAGTTGTATCTATATTTGGTGCCATGAGCATTGATCACTGAAAATTTGATCCCATGGTGTCACGAGAATTGATCATTGGGATCTTTCTCTCATGTGAGAGAAAGTCCAAGGAAATATCCAGTATTTGGGACCCTGATTCATTTGTGAAGTACACAATCAACTTTTCTCCTGATGGTTTTATTGAACAGCTGATGATGATCTATTTAATTATCCATTGTTTAATTAGGGCATGCAAACTAGTGATACTCTTTCTGCTTTTTTTAGCTAGAATTTTTCAATAAAAAATACTTTTCATTATCATCTCTTTGGATACCCTGAGACATAATTTATATGGAAAATGCAGAATAAATGCTTGCTAGATTTTTTTTTTTTAGCTAGTTTACAGAATATTGATTTAGCTTTCTAGTTATCTCCCCAGATAAAGGGTTTTTGGGTTTTTTTCTATCATCATAAACTTAGAAATTTTAACCTAAATGTTAGAATTACTGTCTCCATTAAAAAATAAAAGTCTGCTAGTTTTTTTTTTTATTGAGGTTGCATTTGAATTTGTAGATTTGGGGGAGAATCAACATCTATACAGAGTCTTCTAATCCACGAACATAGTATATCTCTGCTATTGAGATTCTCTTTAATGACTCAACTTTTTGTATACTGACTTTGTATCTTCCAAACTTGGTAAACTCACTGGTTGTAGTAGGGTTGGTTTTTTTTTTTTTTTTTTAAGACTCTGGGATTTTTTTTTTTTATGTGGATATAAGTAGTATCTATAAGTAATAACAGTTTTCCTTTCCAACACTTACATTTTTTTTTCTTGCCCTACTGCACTGAATGGTACTGCCAATACAGTGTTAAATAGGAGTGATAAGAATGGGCATTCTTTCCTATTCCCCAATTTTATAAAGCAAAGCTCTCAGTTTCCTGTCCTTCCCAGTGGTATCTGGCCCCTGCCCTGTATGAGTACAGAATCCTTGACCTAGGCATGTTTCCTACTCTTCTCCCAGGGAAAGATGGTTTGGCTTCTCTTCCTCTTTCCTCTGGCCTTGTACCTTTTCCTGGAATTGGTGACCAGAGGGTTTACAGGCCTTCCTCCAGCGGTAGACTGCTGTTGCTTGTCACCAGATGCAAGGCTTATGGTGGGACCAGGGTTGCTTTCCTCTCCACTGTTAGGGACGGATGGCTTTTGCTTCTGTCCCTTTGCATGGAACTATTGGCCGGAGAGTTTCCTGACTCTTCACCAGTGACTTAAAGATTTTGCTTCATGTGAGAGAAAGTCCAGGGAAATTGGATTTTATTGCTTGTTCCAATGAAGGAGTCTTTCTCTGGTCTTTTGCTTTACTTCAGTCTTCCATGAGCACTCCACGGCAAAGAACTTGTGAGTACAGATCCTCTTGTGTCTGAGGCTCTGAAAGAGTCTAAGCTTCCATGGTAGCCCACATTTGGCTTGTTGGAAGTCCTTAAAATTTTGACTGATTTCTTCTATGGCAGACATCTCTGTCATGTGTCCCATCTGTCTTTGGAGAGACTGTCACCCTTTGTATTCAGCTCATCTGGATACCTTGCAGCCTTACCTCTCTGTTGGACCCCGGAAATGTATGATTCTGTAGTTGATTTATCTCTTTTTGTTATTAGAGTGGAAAGGATGTTGTCTTGTGGCTTTCTACATCCTACTGGATGTGGAATTTGCAAATCTTTCTTAAGCTCTCCACTCCCTCCTAATCCTAGCTTTCCTTCCACCTCTGCTATTCATCTGTTTCATGAAATCATTCATTAATCCTGTTTTCCAATAATCTTAGGTAAGGGATTAAACACTTTGATTTTTTTTTTCTCTAGCATTGGCTGAACCATCGTGTTTCAGACTTTACTTTGGTCTCTGCTGCCTTTACATCCTTCCTTCTCTGCTTATGTAGATTTATGCCCAGACCACTGGTCTGAGGATTGGTGTGAGTCTGTGGTCCAGTTTCACTGGTCTGGAGAGGGGAATGAGTAAGGATGGGTGGTGTGACTTTTATCAAGCAAACTGTATTTACTTTTTTGTATTTTTCTCCTGAGATTATTTGCTCTGTCATTTTTTGATGTTAAAATGTCCTTTTGAAAATGAGATGATATCAGAGTAAATGGGTATTATTTTATAACCTTTTTATTGAGAAATATTACAGAAACATGCATAAAACATAAATTTCAGTGTAATAAGTTGTTGTAAAACACTTTTGTAAATAGCACTCAGATTGAAAAATTTTCAACACTTTAGAAATTCCCCACCCCCAACATATCCATACTTGATTGAAATCACCCCCCTCCAAGGTAAGACCCTTAGCCTGATTTTTATGGTATTCACATCCTTGCTTTTCTGTAGTTTTGCCATCGAATTCTAGTTCAGTTTTGCTGGTTTTGAACTTTATGTAAATGGGATCATACTATATATATGTTATTTTGCGTGTGTCTTCTTTCACTCAGTATTATACTTTTAGGATCCAGCCATGACTTTGTGGTTATTTTTTTTATTCATTTTCATTGCTTTATAGTGTTCCATTATTTTGAGTATGCTTCAGTTTGTCTACATATTATTTGTATGGCTTTCAGTTTTTAGCTCATACAAATAATGCTGTGAATATCTCTTGTTCTGGTACACATTTCTATAGGCCAGTGATTCTCAAGATGCCCTTCCCCCACCAGCAGCTCTGGCATCTCCTGGGAACTTGTTAGAAATGCAAATTCTTGGACCTATTGAATTAGAAACTGTAGGGGTGGGGCCAGCAATTTGTGTTTTAACAATCCTTGAGCATGATTACCATGCATGCAGAAGTTCAAGAAGCACTGCTGTGGGAGTGTACCTAGGGAGGAACTGCGGGGTTTAGGGAAGACTAGATTAGTGGCAAACTGTCCTCCAAGTAGTTGTAGCAATTTACATTTTTACCAGGGATAAAGGAGAGGTCCAAAAGGCACCACATTTTTTTGGTGTTGTGAGACTGTTTAATGGTAATTATTCTCTCCCCACCTCCCTTTTGGGTTTTAATTATCTTTATCTGTAAAATTAAAACTTAGGTCACTGGTCAGTGAAATCTAAAAGTCTGGAAGTGACTGGTCTAAATGAAATATATCTGAGTGCAGAAATCCCATGATCATTTTTACTCTTCCTCCCAGTGCCTAGCATAGTGATAAAGCGCATGGAAAAGTACATATTTATCAAGTTGAAATTTAAAATATTTTTTCATTGGTTAACAGTTTCTCCATCTTTTTTTTAAAAAATGGTTTAATAATGTCCTAAAGTTTATCAGACAGACTAGTAAGGCATTTTGAAAGTTCACCATATACTTTTTTTTTTTTTTTTAGCTTTTATCACTTCTTTTTGAAGATTTATTCAAAAAATTTAATTCTGAAATGAAGAAGATTGCAGACCAGGTGATTCCTAAGCAAAGAGCTGCCCAGTTCGATGTTGTGAAACACATGCGTCAGGACCAGATCACCAATGGCATGGTGAATGCCATTTCCACAGTAAGTCTCCATTCGTTTGTTGAGGCTTTTGTAACTTATTTATACCTCTGTTCCGTGGAATGGAAATTAAAAGTACTTTGGGGAAGCTAGGTGAAAAAATAACGTTTATATTTAGAAGATGTTTATAAATCACACATTTTCTACCTTGAAAGACAGTCCGCAGTTTAAGTGTTATCACTAGGAATCTTGTTACTGTATAACTTTATTGTCAAATTATAGTCACTCTTCTATAAGGCAGTAAGAAACCAGACATTCTTACGTAGAGGAAAAATCTTTTAGTTTAACTGGGAATAGCCCTTCTTTTAAAGAATACTTCTTCCCCTTGTTTTCTCTAATAAAACTGACATATTGCAAGTAGGCTTATTAATGGCAGCATTTTGTCCAAAGCAATAGAAAATGCTTGATTTCATTGTAGGTTTATGTTCCTCATAGGGCTATCAGCTGTTCCTCATGTGAGTGATGAATTCAGGCCTCGGCAGCTGCTGTGTATTCAGGGCCCCGGCTGTTCATAAAGGGTTATCAGATAGGTCTTTTGCTCCCTTTCTTAAAGCCTAACGACTATAGGTCTATCTGATGAAGTCTAGTTGTGTTTTGTATGCCAGACATAAAATTAGTTTTATAGATGGGAGTTTGCCCCGACAAAAGGATAGTGTGCTAGAACACGTTGATTCCCTTAACAATGAAAGAATTAGTGGCAGACTTGCTGCTGTTCTTGTCTTTAGAAACTAGCTAGTGGGTCTGCGTGAACAGCCTTTGCAGTGACAGCTATATCTAACTTGACGCGAGCTGAGCCTTTGTGCCTGTTTAGGCACGTTAAACTCTTGTGGCCCAAGCTTGTGTGAAAGTAGATTCCCTGGACATTTGAAGAGAAGCCTCCAAAGAGCACTTGAACGCACGTCAGTCAGAATTACTTTTCCTCGCTTTCTGACCCATGATTTTCAGGTCATGATAGCTTTATGGAGTAGTTCTTCAGCCCCTTAGTGACACTGCTTTACCTCCCGGAGAAGCCGGCTTATTTGAAAAAGGCTTGTTGTAGGTGTACCCCAATCTGTAGGCGGCCAGAAAAACTTCTGTGTTCTCTTCTAAAATCCTGTGTTACCGTTAATGGAATATTTTCAGCAAATGCGTTTTCTCAGAGGAGCAGTTTTAGGCTCCTTGTCTGTTCCTCTCGTCTCCCTTCTTGTATTACTCCTGCAGAAGTCCAGAACACATCCTCTGTGGGACACCTTGGCTTCACTCCCCATCATCTACTTCCCGTTTGTCAGCAGCTGCTGCCTTATGTTAGCTCTGTGCGGAATCTTTATTTACCTTCCTCACACCTACTCTCTGGACATCAGTCCGTTTGCTAGGTTCACCCTCATTCAGAGCAGAAAAGGAGTTAACTGATGAAGCATTGTAGAAAGTTCACTTGTGGAAGAAATGTGTTTGCTCTGTTTCTTTGCTTTGTAAAATGCACAGTTTCTTCCTAGAATTTAGCTCTTTTATCAAGAACTCAGGTTTCTGCAGTGATCTTTACTGTAATAACAATTAAACATTAGCTTGTGAGGGAATTCCCCCAGAGTCACATATTTTAATTCAAACAGATCATCTTATCTCCTTCTGAAACTCTAGCAGGTTTTCTCCCATAAGGGTTTTTAGCTTGGGATCCATGAGTCCCCCCTGTAAGTGAAATGTTTTAAAATTTTGTGTTCATGGTCCTACATGAACATGTTTTTCCCAGGAGAACAGACACCGCTTTCATCAGATTCTCAAAAGAAAAATGAAGACCCACCATTCAGCAGATGTAGTCCTTTCTTTTGAATCAGAAAGATTATTGAATCAGTATTTTTTTTTTTACATTTTCTACTTTACTTTTCTACGCATACTGTTTTCTACTGCTATTTCATGTTAGCATGAATTGAAAATTTATTGCTAACCTTCATCTTTAAATTATCTTTCAGAATATTTAGTGTATATATTTATTTGATACAACTATAAGGTGATATATTTAATATATCCCTTCTTGTAATGCAGTATATTCAATGCAAAGGAGATAAACTAACTTTAACGTTGAAGACTTAAAAAAATAATAATGTTCAAGATGTGTTTCCCATGAATCTATTTTAAGATTGACATGACAGCCACAGAGGAAACGTAATATTTTTTCATATGAATATATATGAAGTTTTCAGCCTTGATTAAGAAGCCTACAGTTTATTCATTATCCCTGATAACTGCTATTGGAGTCATTTTTCTGATCCTTTTCTGTTGGTATATTTTCCTCTAATTAAGACAAATTTTGGAAGACATCCAAATAATGGCACATTCCAACATGAAATTATCTCTGCACTTCCAGCTACTTTTACCTTAAAATATGTGTAGAAATTGCTAGTGTTCTGTTAATTAGCTTATTGCTTCCCGTGGAAGTCTCTGCTGGAACTGGCTTGCTCAGGATATAATTAGTTCTTCAGACAATAACTCCTATGACATGGTAAGGCTGATCCATCACAGCATTCTGGCCTGGTTGCTAGACATAGGTGATATTCATTAAATCCCTAGAGAAATCCTAGGGAGTGACCAGGCCAGATTTTCATTTTAATTATGATACTTTGATTCCTGAATATGCACCGTGGCTCTGATTTCACAAATAGTTCTTGTGATGAACTTCTCAGAGTGGCTGAAAAGTCTCAGGCAGCATACAAACGGATCAGGGGTGGTCTTTTTATTTTATTTTTTTCCTCTACAGGGAAATTGGTCTCTAAAGAGATTTAAAATGGACCGCCAGGGTGTGACTCAAGTGCTGTCTCGCTTGTCATATATATCTGCGCTGGGCATGATGACAAGAATCTCTTCTCAATTTGAAAAAACAAGGAAAGTGAGTGGTCCTCGATCCCTCCAGCCATCTCAGTGGGGAATGCTCTGTCCTTCAGACACTCCTGAAGGAGAGGTAAGGGACCCAACGAGTCTCTGCTGTGTCAGAGGGTAGTATCTGTTGGTGGTGTTCTGACTCTGCCCCTGTTCCCCCATATCCTTTTGTTGAGCTCAGTCACTCTTTGTCAGAGAAAACATTGACGCAGCCTGTCAGGATGACCTCAGTGTCGTTCTGAAAACAGTACCTATGGAGGCATTTGATTTAGTACCTCACCTAAATAGATACATGGTCCCAATTTCCTTGCTTGTCTTAGCTTACTCCAAGAGCCAAACCATGCAATGAAGAAGGGATAAGAAGGTGAGGGGACATTGGGAGACCCATCACCTTTATTCACGAGAATCTCTTTTTAAACAGCTCCTTATTTTCCTCAGGTGTGCTTGGTGGGCATCAGGCTTGCGGGGCCAGCTGACGGGGAGCACAGAACCAAGCAGATTAAATAGGTGTGCCCCCACAGCCTCCCCATTTCTGTGTCATGGCCCTTTCTCCCTCAGACTGACTGTTGTTGGTTTCCCCCGATTCTGTTTGCTGTGAACTGTGAACTTCCAGAGGAAGGAACCTCATTAGGTTCACATTCTGTCACGAGCTGCTAGCATAGAGTCTCTTCCACGGTAGAGGCCCCTTAGATATATGCTGAATGAATAAACACGTTATTTATGACATGTAAAAGGTGTAAGTTCCAAAGTGTAGGGATTTGTTATGACTCGGAAGAGGTGAAAATAGAAGACCATGCGGAGTTACGATTTTTTTTAGAAAATTATCATTTGTTTCCTAATTTATCTTAAACCGTATAGAAATGCACACTAAAACTATGCAGCTTGTCATATTTGCATAACTTCTTGAGCTTTGGAGCACTGAATTTTCCAGTGATGGCTTCAGCTAACGTTAGTGAAGGACCTGTTTTGTGCATCACTACAGCAGATGGTTTTGAAGAATCGAAAACACCATCTTTACACATCCCATGTCGCAAGTGTGTTTTGTTTTGTTTTTCTATTTGCTGTGTTATGTCCTTGTTCATATTTTATCTTAGATTTTTTGGGGGTTTGTGTAAAAATTCAAAAATATTTTATTTCTTTTTTGAAGAATCTTCAGATGTACACAAAAGTTGCAAAATTGGTACAAAGAATTTGCATAACCCCTCACCTAGATTGCTCAGTTATCAACCTCATGAAGTTAACATTGATAACAGTATTGTAATCTATAGGTTATAGAATAGATTACAGATTACAGAATCTGTACCTTATTCAAGTATTACCACTCATCCCACCAGTGTCTTTTTGCTGACCAGGGATCACACCCTGCTTTCAGTTGCCACATCTCCTTAATCTCTAATCTGGAAGAGTTCTTGCATCTTGTCTTTGCCTTTTATGACCAAGCAGCTTTATAGAGTGCTGGGCATTTACTTTGTTGACTCTCTCATTTCAGGCCAAAAGCTTTATATTTTCATGTACCCACATCTATCAGTGTTTCCCTTTACTGTTTTGTTTTTAAGTTTGTTTATTTTGAGACAGAGAGAAAGACCCTGTGGGAGGGGCAGAGAGAGAGGGAGAGAGAGAGAGAATCCCAAGCAGGCTCCATCCATACTGTCAGCACAGAGCCTGATGTGGGGCTTAACCTCATGAACTATGAGATAATGACCTGCACTGAAACCAAGAGTTGGATGCTTCGCCCACTAAGTCACGCAGGCGCCCTATCCTTTACTGTTTTTACACAGCATCCTCTTAATGACTGTGATGATCCGTTGTCTGGGAATAACAACTTCTGTAATCAGTTTTTTTTTGAGGAAGCATTAATGATGCCATCATTACTTGTCATTTTAAGTGGTACTGTGCTGAGCGCTTCCTCTCTATATACGTTTTTAATGCATCCCCTACTGCGTTATGTTGCCACCAGCAAAGCGGTGAGCTATTTTCAGACACAAACAGTACTTTGTGTTACTAATGGTCATGCTTAGAAATGACTGTCCTTTGTTTTTTAGGCATGTGGTTTGGTTAAAAACTTGGCCCTCATGACACACATCACAACTGACATGGAAGATGGACCCATTGTTAAATTAGCCAGTAACCTGGGAGTAGAAGATGTGAATTTACTATGTGGGGAAGAGCTCTCTTATCCAAATGTGTTTCTGGTGTTTCTCAATGGTGAGTGTATCATGGAGACCTGTTGATCCTGCTCAGTCTCTGGGTGGGGAGTAGGAAAGAAGCCATTATTACCCAGGTATTGAAAGGACAAATGTACTTCAGTTCTGGGCCCGGGGGGCCTTAATTTAAAGGTAGAAAGATGGTAACAGAAACAGTTTACCCCCCCGGCCAGGTCATCAGGTTCTGAGAGAATCCCACGGCAAGAGCTAAGGGTAACATTGCCGAGACTGCCTACGTCCGGCCCTTTCACACCTGCCGCTTAGCCAAAGTGGAAAAGGCTCAACATGGCATCTTTAAGTTCTAGTTAAATATACGAGACCTTCTGCAGAAACAGATCGGCCCTGACAGCAGGTTGACTTCTGTTCAGCCACTCAGTGATGGATTGTGAGCAGCCTGTCAGGAGAGGTTCCTTTCTTTTCTGCTCGTGCTCCACTTGCTTCTTTCATCCCCTTCTGAGTCCTCCAGAGCCTCAGCAGCAAGCATGCCTCATCCTTGTGATTTGGTGGTCTGGGTACCTGTCCCATCACACGCCCTGCAGGCTCATCCTGGCCACCTAGCTCCCATGCTTTTCTCCCCTTTCCTTCTGTTCTGGGGCCTTAGTCCTTCACTGTCTGGGTAGGTGAGAAGCAAAACAGGGCTGTTCAGTACATCCCAGCAGCCGATGCTGAGAGAGCTCTTCCTCTGCAGTGTCGCCCGGGACCTGTGTGCATCCTCACGCTGACCCAGGGTGCAGCGTCCATCCTCCTCATTTCACAGATGATGAATACGGGAAGAGCGGTTACTAGGTGCTGGGCAGAGCTCCAAGTGCTTTATGTGGGATCAAGTTCACATCGCATAATCCTCACATCAACCCTTTGGAAGTGATAGAGCCAGTGTTTGAACCCAGGGGGTCTAGACCCGAGTTCATGCCCTCAGCATGGTGCTGACCAGGGAGGAAAATGAGGCTAACTTTTGCTACTTCATCTGGCAGGGAGCGTAGCTGCCCTGAACTGCTCTGCTGTGCTGCTTTCCTGCAGCCTGTGGACCGGCTGCCCGAGTCAGTAACAGAATTTTCAAATGATTACTCGGTGCTGCTAATCATCTGTATCATGTAGATACTTTAAATCCATATAGATCTTTTTGTGGTGCCTGTTGTAAATATTTTTCTTTCTGCTCAGGTAACATCCTAGGTGTCATTCGGGACCATAAGAAGCTAGTGAACACATTTCGACTGATGCGAAGAGCAGGATATGTCAATGAATTTGTTTCCATCTCGACAAATCTCACAGATCGATGTGTCTATATTTCCTCTGATGGGGGAAGGCTGTGCAGGTATAAGTTGCTAAAAAGAGTTTTTTAAGTTTACTTCTGAAAGAAATACACTTGTTTGTATTTATGAATCTACTTTAACCTGTTTCATTGTTGAGATGAGCTTAATTCAGTTAGCAGACCCCTGATGAATATGCATCTGGGTACTGAGAATTCAAAGATTAATGGGCATCAGTCTCTGCCCTCAGAGAGCTCAGTGTGTGGGCAAAGGCAGAAATAAATACTAATAACAACCAAGCATGCTAATAATATGCTAGCTCGCCGTTACTTAGTATCTTAGTAGATGTACTATGTGTAAGGGTTTAAAACTGCATTCAGCCCTGTAGGTTGGATTATTGTTTTCATTTAACCAATGAGGAACTGAGTTTTAAGGAAGACTAGGTAACTTACCCAAAGCTAGATGGTGGCAGAGTCGGTTTTTTACTTGAAAGTCCTCACAATTCATTTGACTCCAATAATCCTGATTTTTACCCAGTATATTCTGTTGCAATGAACTGAACTTCAAAGCAGAGTGGGGTTGTGTTCCTTGGATGTAGGAGGAAAGGAGAAAGGCTGAGGAATGGCAAGAATGGCATGAGGAAGTAACATTAGGCTCAGTAGAAAGTAGGTGTCTTACTCAGCACATCTTAAGGGCCTGTTCTGCATGGGTACTGGCCAGGAGGTGGGGGTACAGAGACGACTGTGACAGGGTTTCTGGTCTTTGGGGGATATTCAGGGACATCAGCTGAGGATGTTACCTTGTTCGTAAGCCTCTGTGTGTTTTACTGTAGTTCTTTGTGGACCTCAGGTAGGGTTAGGGCACAGGTTAGTGAGCCAGCAGTGGTTGGAGGGGTGGGAAGAGCTTGGGCTTGGAGGTATGTCACAGCTGAGACTGGGCTGCCGTTGTCTGTCTAGCATCCACGTTCTTACAGTTACCTTCCTCATTTTCCTTTGGAGACTGCTCCTCCCTCTTCTCGGGACATTCTGTCAGGTGCCGTCTCCTGCTCAGCCAGAGGCCAGGCACATGACCCAGGTAGACCAGTCACACTCTTTCCTCAGAGGATTTGAATCCCAAAGAGAATACAGCTCAAGGAAGAAGAGGTTGGAATTGATTCATCTGACAGCAAGCAGTACATGCAAGAGACTGCGTTTACTCCTCCTGTTCTGGATCCTTGGGGTCTGTTGTAAGGCTGGGCATTTCACCTTTATTTATTTTTTCTAATTTTAGAGTATGAGGGACAGAGAGAAGGGCAGAGAGGGAGAAAGGGGGAGAGAGAAAGAATATCTTAAGCAAGCACCACGCTCAGTGTGGAGCTTGACATGGGGCTTGATCCCATGACCCTGGGATCTCAACCTGAGCCAAATCCAGAGTTGGACGCTCAACCAACTGAGCCACCCAGGCAACACTTATCTAGGGATTCTTAATCCTTCTAGTAAATTCCTTTCAATATTTTTGTTTGTTTTAGTAAGTTCCATTTTTGCTTAAATGAGCCAGAATTGGTTTCTGTTCTTTGAACCAAAGAACCCTAGGCGATGACATACCTGAGTTTGAATACTGACTTCCCACTCACTGATTTGTGTGGCTGTGACTTTATTACTTTCCTTGGCTGACAAAATGTAAATAATAATAATGCCTCCCTAGGGTTATCCCGAGAACTGACTGATGGAAGGTATGGTAAGTGCCTGGTAGGTGCCAGGCTCACGTTAGGTGTTTATTTGTCACTATTAACATATTCGTCGAGTGGGGAAAACTACAACATTTTCTTGGGTCACTCTGAGGAGTTTTCTCTTTCCTTACGTGCAGTATATTAGGAAATAGTCTAAAAGAAACTTTTATAGAGTCTACTCACTATTTGTCGAGTGAGTAGAAAGTGAGGGAGCCAAGTGTGAGCCTTGCTCCCCGCGCCCGCGCCCGCCCTCACTCGGGAGTCTCTCCGCCTGAGCCCTGGGCAGCCCTCGAATGAGGCGCCAGTGTCTCCACTTCCCTCCCCAGAAGCCAGGATTTTGAGGTGATGTTGATTTCCATGAAAAGCTCACTCAGTTCATTTTTCAGCGACTTGTGTTCCCCTTTTGTAATTGTGCAGCTCTTCTTCTTAACTGTTTAAAAGCGCTCATTAGCCCTGCAGTAGTTATTTGGACTTTCGGGTAGAGCGCACAAGTGTCTGGTGGTGGCTCGCTCCCCTCTGTAAGAGCTGCTTATCCAAACAGCGACAGCCCTTGACGTTTCGGTGCTGCATGCCATCCTTTGTGTCAGTGTCTCCTCGTGGTGGCGAAGCCCTTGGAGGCAAATCACCACTGACAGTTACAGGTTAATCTACCAGAACGTGGAAACCAAGAGCTCTCTCCACCTTACACCCTTTCTCTCATTAAAAAGCTTTGTTCTCTCCAAACGTGTAGCCCCTCTTTCAGTTCACGTGTAGCTTTAGGTAACCTCCCGACATAGTCCAGTGATGTCTGTCCAGGATGAAGCCACTCCAAACAGCTGATGTTCATCAGGCCTTCACTACAGAATGCCATTTTTGTCCTCAGTGACAGTTCTCTGCCTGCCAACTTGTTGGGTAGTAGATCACATATGTCTCTATGAAATCTTAGGAAATGCCTTTGGTCTGATGCATCTACACAGTTTTTAAGAATAAGACATTAAAGATTTTGTTTCATTTTTAAATCTTACTGAGTATCACTTTTGTGTTGCCGTTTCATTTAAAGTCAAGTATTTCCTAAGATACTTGGGGAAAATACTGTGTATGTATGTGTGTGCACATGCACATATACACACATGGGCTGGAGTGTGTGGGTCTGTGTATCTATATGTGGGAGAGAGAAAATAGGCCTGTGTGTACTCACACATGCAGAGACTACCCGGTGTCCTCAGGCAGTCCAGACATCAGTTTGACTATGTCTCCAGCTTCCTTCATTTTACTGTAGTAAACTTACTTGCTGACTTAATTCTTCTTTTGAACTACTATGAATTTGCTGTTTGTTTTTTTTCCATTCCAGGCCGTACATAATTGTTAAGAAAGAGAAGCCTGCAGTCACGAATAAGCATATGGAAGAGCTGGCTCAGGGGTATAGGTAAGTGGCCAAAAGCTAAACTTAAATCTCCTTGATACTTATTTATATGATTTAATCAGCAATGGTGTTTGAGCTTTTAAGAAAAGTTAATGTTTTCATTTTTAGTCTCTTAATTCCTCTCTACTAAATGTATCAGCCTTTTTTTTTTTTTTTTTAATCTTTACTTCTTTTTAAGAGGATGAGGGGTGGGGATCAGAGCATGAGCACAGGAGGGGCAGAGAGAGAGACACACACACAGAATCGGAATCAGGCTCCAGACTCTGAGCTATCAGCACAGAGCCCAACGTGGGGCTCAACCTTATGGACTGAGAGATCATGACCTCAGCCAAAGTCTGACACACTCACCCGATAAAGCCATCCAGGTGTTGCACGTATCAGCCTTTTAAAAACCTATTCTTCTCTATGTGACCTTACTTAGACTTTGTGAAACATTAGCAGTTTATATCATGAAGACCACAGAGTGTTGGTGTAAATTAGCACACTCTGAAGTAACAGAGGGATGTGTTGATTTATACACAGTGGGTCTCTCAACACAGAAGCTTTTCAAAGTCATAGGAGATATTTTCAGAAGTGGGGGCCAGATGGACCAGTGTCATAGATGTTTTACTGTTTTTATTCTGTGGTGTGATCATGTCATCCAAGAATAACAGGTCCCGAGCATCCCAATCTAGTGACACTTCCTGGGAGGGAAAGGTGCTTTGGACGTAAGTGAAAGCGAGTATCCTCCATTATCACATGGACAGCACACTGCATGAAATACTGCTTAGTAATGTGCATGTCCCCAATATTTTCCCAGGAATTTTGAAGATTTCTTACACGAGAGTCTGGTTGAATATTTAGATGTGAATGAAGAAAATGACTGTAACATCGCACTCTATGAACATACAATTAATAAGTAAGTGGGATCCATAACAGCTGTAATTAAAACCTGTTCTGATTATAGAAAGCGCTTTCTTTTCATTTCATCTTTTCTGTGTGTTCCGCCTTAGCAGGCATTGTTAGAAGCATACTGTCCTATAGTAAAGCACTGCCCACCCTCTATCCCACCGGAGGACTATCCCACAACTGCTCACGGTCTTTAGATTTCATTATCTTTTCTATTCATTTTACACTTAGTGTTTATTTTTTGAAAGGAATTGTTCTCTGATTTTGATATTTGATTACTGTCAAATTTGAACGAAGGGATGATCAGGCTGTGTTAAAGGTGGATTCTCCCTTCTAGAGAGGGCATCTGAATTCTTGTCAGCGAGGGGTTCCGTACGTTATATGTTTTAAGGGTGTCTCTAAACTTATGTGCTGTGTAAACAAAACATGGTACTGTGTTCACAGTGTCTCAAGAATAGTGATATTTTTAGAAGCATCTGTTCTATTTGGAGTACATTAGAGGACATTTATAGAACTTCCTGTCTGATGCCCGTGACTGATAGTACTGCTTACCTGAAACTGGAATTTTCTCAGTTATATTGTTAAATCGTTAGGAGTTTAATACTGCCACCTGATAACTATGTCTTCGGTCAAGAAAGTACTTTTCTGTTTTCTGCCACTAGATGAAATGTACCACTCCATTTTTGTCTTATTGTAATTTAGTAAATAATGCTTTCAGTCAGAATCTTTATTCCTTAAAGGCATGACTGTCTCAAAGTACTATTTTTATACTCATTTGGAGACTGAGTGGATATAAAGGAGAACTGTTGTGTAGTAACCCTGGAGATAGCAACCCGTTTTGTTGTTACTCAGCCTTGACTGCTCTCCTCAGTGCCCACATCCAGTGCCTTAGCTCATCCTGTCGACCTCTGACGTATACCCGGGGTCTGACCTCTTTTCCCCACCTCCACCTATCACGCCAGTCCAGGCCGCTGCCTGGTCGCCTGTCTGGGGACTTGCAAAAGGCGCCTGACTCTTTTGCACTAGCTCCCACACAGTCTATTATTAATAGATGAGAGTGGTCTTTTCCCGACTCTTCTTAGGCCCCCAGTGGCTTTCCCTCTCCCCTGGAAGTCCTTGCAGAGGCTTCAAGTGCCTGCCCCACCTGGTGCCTGCAGTATCCTTTCCCCGCACTCCTCCCTCACTCTGTTTGACCACACCGGCCTCTTCACCCCGTAGGCGTGCTTCTGCCTCAGTACCTTGGCACTGGCTGTTCCCTCACCTGGAACACTCACGTCCTGCATGGCTCACTCTTTCACCTCCTCCAGGTCTTCACTTGGGTGTCACCTTCTCCACGCTTTTTCCTGCTGACGCCATTTACAGTAGACACCTCTCCTCTGTGCACACCCCTCTTCACTGCTTTGTTCTTCTGGTGCTTACTACCTTATAAATAAAATCTATAAAATGTGTATTGATTTATCTGTATTATTTATCTTTCCACTAGAAGCTTCACAAAGGCAGGGATTTTTCTCTGTTCGCTGTTATAAAGGAATGCAGCCATTAGTATCAGTACCACCCAATCACCAAGCTGACCCATACATCAAATTCATTTTATTCTAAAAATAGGAAAAAATTGGTATTCTGTAATTCATACTTACGATCTTTTTTTAAATGTAGACATGCATAAAGTAAAAAGAATGAATCGCCTTCCTCCCCATCCCGCTGAACTCCCAGCCTCCAGATGTAATCCGTGCTGATGGTTTAATGTACTTAGATTTTTTCCTAAGTGAACACGAGCATAACTACACAGTCTCTCACAGTGCATGAGGCCAAGGCAACATACTATAAATTTAAACCTGATTTTAAACTTAACATCATTATCAGCTTCATCATTGTGGGCATTTTTTACATCAGCATATGTTTATATAGATATATTTAATTTCTTTATATTACATTGTCTGACTACACATAAACAGTTTATTTAACCTGTTGATGAACATTTAGGCCGTTTTCTGATTTTTCTGCTGTAGCAAACAACAGGTTACTGAATCTTAATTTGAGCTAAATTTAAGGCTCTTATGCACATTGAATGGAATGTCTACTTCCTGTCCAGGACAGGAGATTATGGTGGTTATAATCTTGAATAACAGTGTTTTTGTTCTATAGAAATCAAAATCAGAGCATTTGGACTTTGAATAATTATTGGAATCTACATGATCTTAGGTATATTGTCATGGAAAAAAGAAGAAAATTAGGTCTTTACCTTCTTCATTTTCTATATAGCTTCAATCTGTATAGTTTTTATTTATGTGAAGAAATTGGCCCATATTGTCAAATTGGCTAGTATTTAAACAAAACCGTATATTTAAAGCAGACTCTCACTCTAAGCCATAAAATGTCATTATAAGCAATTTTTCTTTTAAATAAAACAAAACAAAACGTAGAGCCCTTTCCCTCTCTGTCGACAAAGGCCTAACGTATCTGAGAGGATTGGGGTTCTGCTAGGTCATAAGGTCAAAACTGCATCCTTCAAACCAAGAGCCTCGTGCAAAGCATTCTCTCCAACCAAACTAGGGACCTAATTCATATGTATATTAGGAGGGAAAAGCAATGAATGACTGGGTAAGTGGGAGATCTTTTGCCATGTGCATTGCAACTAATTTTCCACAGTGGGTTGGCTTATCTTGGAAATCTTCACAGGTACTATAAACCATTGACTTTTTTTTCATAGTTTATTTTTTGAGAGAGGGAGAGAGCAGGGGAGGGGCACAGAGAGAGAGAATCCCAAGCAGGTGCTACACTGTCAGTGCAGAGCTCGACGTGGGGCTCGAACTCATGAACTGAGAGATCATGACCTGAGCTGAAATCAAGAGTCAGATGCTTAACCAACTGAGCCACCCAGGTGCCCCAACCATTGAAATGATTAAAACTGTGTCTTAGAAATGCTTGAGGAAGGAACAAAGGACCAGCAGAGACCATAGACTTGGCTGTGATGTCTGTTACTTTCAGCAAGACCCAGAAACAGTCTGGCTGCCCTTTCTCTAAAATACCCGAGCTTCTGTATCATTTAGCCAAAACTGGAATTTTTGCAAAAATATGTTAGAAAAGTAACCAACATTCTAACCCTACTAGATAAAGTCTTCCTTTGTGTCCAGTACCTACAGCTCAGCTGTCCAATAAAAATGTCATGCAAGCCCATATATCTATGTTTTCCAGTAAGCACTCTGAAAAAGAAACAGGTGAAGTTAATTATAATAACTTAATTTGACCCAGTATATTTAAAATATTGTCATATCAACATGTAATCAGTATAAAAATATTGAGATTTTATATATTTTTTTCCTGTTAAGTCTTCAAAATCTGGTGTGCACTTAATGCACATCTCAGTTCGAAGGCTAATTGTTCATTGGAAATACCTGACCTGGTTTCATAATATTTGCATTTGAAAAAGTAGATTCACTAGTGGAAGTTGTTAACAGACCTAACTCAGAGGTTTTGAATAACTGAACTGAGTTGTTTAAATTTGAGTTTTTACAATGTAAAGTGATTGAAATGAACTAAAACCAAAAATTCTGTTCCTTAATTATACTAATCTAACTGAACCAGCACTGAACAGCCATACTTACCTGGTGGCTGTGGTGCTGGTCCCCTTAGGTCTTAAAGTAATTATTCTTCAGTGGGATATATTTCTCTTGAAAATGGCATACAGCTGTGTCATTGATACAAGTTGGAAAAGTGCAGAAAAGCAACCCACTCAGCCATGTGGACATTTTTGGTATTGCATTTTGATATGCCCAATATAGTAATTTGTTTTTAAGGGCTATTGTCAATAATATGTAATAATGTTTTACTTTTTACAGGGATATTCTGTACTACCTCCCTTCTCTTGTATTTCTATAAGTAATAAGTTTCTGTTACTCAAGAAAAGAATTCATTTTATTATTTTATTTTTATCATTTTTACTAGCAGCAAATATTGAGGTTTTATATAAACTACATATATTTGTATATAAAATTTTATACATATTTATATAAACTTCTAAATTTTATTATCTAGGTTCTTCAGGGACTTTTTTTTATTTTGAGAGAGAGGGAACAAGCAGGGGAGCAGGGTGGGGGGGGGGAGAGAGAGAGAGAGAGAGAGAGAATCTCAAGCAGGCCCAGTGTTTAGTGCAGAGCCCAATGCAGGGCTCAATCCCACGATCCCAGGATCATGACCTGAGCTGAAATCAAGAGTCAGATGCTGAACTGACTGAGCCACCCAGGCACCCCCATTGGGCCCTTGATAATAATATTTTTATACCCTTTAAGAGCTCTTTATTCTAGCCCTTGGTGTCTTAGATGTCTAATTTTTCATTAACAGAGATACCACCCACTTGGAGATTGAGCCCTTCACTCTTCTTGGCGTTTGTGCTGGCCTCATCCCATATCCTCATCATAACCAGTCCCCAAGAAACACATACCAGTGTGCCATGGGGAAACAAGCCATGGGTAAGATTTCCTTCTTGAATTTGGTTGTAAATACTTGGGTAAAAGACTTAAATCTTAATCCTTACTTCACTATTATGAAATGTTTGGCTAAGTCAGACATCGCTGATTCCTGAGGGTTATCTGTGAACTCTTCGGGGCTTACAGGTGTCCTGCCATGTCTGAAGCATAAACAGAAAAAAAAAGCCTCCCTGAACTTGTTACTTTGACCAAACAAGGAGGTATATGATAAATGTCACAGACTGACAAGGCGGTAAACATGAAGAGAAAAGCTGTATAAAGTGTAAGTTGTGAACCAGGAGAAATGGAAGAAAGAGCTGAAAAACACAAGGTTGAGGGAAGAGAGCCGAAGATGCACAGTGTATATTAGAATGTGCTAGTGAGGGTCAGAGTGACCATCGTGGAACCCATTACATCCTTACCCTTGCTCCTGTAGCTTCTGAAACATCAGTTCGTGTCATGCCGATTTCTGAATTCGTTTTCTTCTATTTTTTTTTCCCCTCTCTCCTCCATGCATCTATTAATTTATCTGCTATCCATCCATAACACTTGTTGAGCATCACGTGTAGACCAGACGGTGAGTCTGGAACCCGAACACGGAGAGGTGAGACAGAGCCCTGGCCTCAAGGAGTGCACAGTCTAGTAGGAGAGCCCAACAAGAGCAACTAACTTAAGACACGTGATAAGTGCTGGGGTGGACCAACAGCTGGAATCTTAGGGAATGAGAGCTGAAAAGTCACCTGAGGTTGGAGAGTAGGTTGTTTCCAAAGAATAGAACTGAACCGAGTCTTAAAAGACCCTGAGTATTTTTCACAGACATGGAAATAGAAGCAAGCACTGCAGGGGGGATCTTGGTGCCTTGGTATGGGTGTTTGGCCTAACGGGTGTGGTGGCATCATGGAGACGTGCCATGTGTTAAGGACTTTGGGTTTTATATTGAAGGTGATATGGTGACACTACCAGGACAAAACAAGAAAAAGTTTTGTTTATAAACTTTTTCTGAAATATTTCTTAAAATTTATTTTAAAATGTTTTTTAACTCCTAATAAGTTTAATAAGTTCTATTTTCATATGTGTCTGTGACATCAGTATGTTGTGTCATTTCTGGTTTAAAGTATGATACAAGGAGCTTCGTGAAAAAAAATAACAAAAAACAGAAAGGTTTTGGCATTGCCTTTGGGTAACCACCAGAGAGCATTTAGCTTCTCCGTTACCAGCACGCTGCAACTGACTGTAGCTTGACAATTAAGGAATCCTACATCTCATCCCAGATAGAGAGTGGATATTTCTTTTCAAGTTTTTATATTACGTTTTGGTTGGCAAAACATGTTGTCCTGCAACCATTTACCTGAATGATGTAATGCCTGGACAGTTCAGAATAATTCCCAGTGGGAAAATCTAAGCCGCGGCTCATCAATTTCGCCTTTCCCATTCATCCTCAGCAGCCACGTAGGCTGATTTCCCGCTTGTGCTTGTGACTTGCTAACAAGTTGAAATATACAGTACTGAACCTTGTGTGTCATGAAAGGGCTATCACTTCTATTGGGTTTACCAAACCATTTTGTTTCATGATGTGAATCCTGGCTGAAACAATACACCTTTTGTGTAGAACCTTCAGCAGAATTAACGGAAGACTAATCACTTCATCGCTAATGCCACTCTTTGCTTGTGTTTGAAGATTGAAACAGAAAGGGCTACGAATCTATCTCCACTTGGTGAATCTTTTTTTTTTTTTTTAAATAAAGAGACTTGAAGGAAAGAAATAATATTTTTATTTTTGTAACTCCTCTCCCTACAAAAAAAAAAAAAAAGCCTTTATTTTGTGGCCATGAGTATATGCAACGTTTGGTTAGTTACCACACACAGTTAAGCAGGATCAGTGTGTACAGAAAGCCAATTCAGTGTCTGTAGAGTTCTTTTGTAGTTTTCTGTGTGAAGGTTTTTTTTCTCGTTTTGTTTTGAGTGTCATTTGCAATTCATTGTCTGTGTTTTCTGAGGTTGGTGTATTCAGCTGCTCTGACCCTGGGTCCTGCACATTTAGCTCCTTGGATACAATCCTCTGACGTTACTGCTGACGCTAGGAAGACAAAAGCCACTGAATATCTTAAGTAATAAAAAAAAAAAAACCTTTGTTACTGTTTGTTATTATAAAACACCTGACTGGGAAGAAAAGCATCAAGATAAAAGTACATTCAAAGTTGGCACATTACAGGACCACGTTTCTCTTTGGACGCTGAAATAGCTGCAGAAGTACCGAGCAAGGTCTAGATGAAAACTCACAAAAGCAACAAGGCCAGCAGAGGGAGAAGACCCACAGCAGAGACCCAGGTCTGTAAAGCAGACCTAGGCTAGCACTTTGAGTCGGACTTCTCAGAGTCATTTTAATTCCATGCAGTCTCAGCTGCTGGTAACTAAAAGTCGTGCTATCCCATTTTAAGTAGGAGCCATTGCTGAAGACTGTATACACCTCAGAGGTTCTGTGTGAATGTTCTAAAGTAATGTCTTAGTGCTGTTTGTTTGTTAGTCCATCTGGAAAGTGGAAGACGGTAGCCGAGAATTAACACAGTACATATCCTAGCCAACCTGGAAGATTTGCTGTCTACTTTTCACTACCAGCTGCCTGTCCCCAGTGAACAGAGTGAGAAAATGAGAGAAAGTCATTTTTCTGTCACTACCAAGGAGAGCAAGACGAGCACAAAGCACAAGACTGAAAGCCCTACCTTGTACGTAAGAGAGAGCTTGCTTTAGTCAACGTGAAACCCCAGCAGAGGTGTTTCTTAAACCTAAGCCTCTTTAAGTTGTTAATAAAGTATGGGTCTCCACACACCATCTTATTGTGCTACTAAGAAAGACTTAACCTTCCGTGGATATGGCTCTGTTGTGACAAGGCTCAGAGCAAGAAACCAGGTAGATGTGTGTGGAAATGACGAGGTCTCCGGGTCACTCAGCACCCCAAGTGAAGGCTGTGGGTTGGAGCTGCATCATACCTATGCCCTGGCACCAGACGCCAGTCCACAGGAGCCACGATCTTATATCCTGCCCATTTCATTAGTTGGCAGTCTGCTAGTGTAACACTTTCTCCTGGTTAAGGATCTTTTAGTCACTATCAGCTCAGTTAATGAATATGCATCTCACACCTCCCCTAGTCTCTTCCCAGCCCTCCTGTACCTCCACATTGCTGGGACTTTTTTTTTTTTTTTTTTTTTTTTTAAACCCAGGAGGTAATGCAGCTCCTGTTTTTGTTTTTGTTTTCAATAGATGCTGTTCCAAAGCAGATAGCTCCTTCTCTTGTATTCCCCATTTTATAGTAGAGTGGGACATCTTAGAAGTAGCCTAGAAGATTTTGGGATCATAGAAATACATAATATACAAAGATCCTCGTAAAATTTTGTTTCATTCTGCATCATCATCTACATTTCATTCAACTTTGCTTTAGTTTTTTTTTTTTTTTTTAACAATATTTATTCTTTATCCATTTGGTGGGTACAGAATGAAAAGGTGTCTTGACCAAATTATCCCTGACAGTTATATTTTAGAATTTCGCTGTTGGTTCAAAAACATTTTTTTTAAACCCTTGTCAGTAGTTCAGATGTAAGATTGTATGACATTTCCCGAGACTAGAAAGCTAATAATGAATACTTAATGGAGATAAAATTAAACCATCGTTCAGTTTGTAGGGTTAGCATTGGAGGCAGAAAGGGTGATAGTGCAGGGTCAAGGGAGGTATGTTTGTGTTACTACCAATATTAATAGTGTTGTTAATGAATGTTGCCACTTACTGACCACTCAGATGATTTATACGCAGTTCTTTTAATCATAATAATCATGTCAGATATAATACATACCTTTTTTCTGACAAGGAAACAGAATCCCACTTTGGTTGAGTAACTTATAAAAGGTTACAATACATCTTCTGTGTAATGCTATGCTATCTATAAAACTTACTAAAATTCTTCTTAGTTGAAACTATTTTATTTCCTCACTTTTTCTTCTTCACTGTGGACCGTGATCAAGATGGTTGCCCTGCTAGACTGTAGGATAGAAGCACCTTCAGGACAAGACCATGTCCGTGTTATTTATTACTGTATCCTTGGTGCCTAGCATAGTGCCAGTCAATAGGTATAGTAAGTACTTAACAAATGTTTAAACAACAAATGAATGAATCTCTGAGCACATTAAAGTTTTTAAGAAATCAGGTGCAGGTTTTTGAGAAGAATCTTTGAAAAGAAGAATTAAGTTGGAAAGCTTATACAACCTGATTTTGAAATTTACTCTAAAACCACAGCAATGACGATAGTATGATATTGACATATGGGTGGACATAATAGATCAATGGAACAGAGTCAAGAATCCAGAAATAGACCCACACTTTTGTGGGCATTCAGTTTTCAGTGAGTGTGTTAGGACAATTCCAGGGAAAGGAAAGTCTTCTCAACAAAATAAAATTTCTGTATGTGTATCTGTATAGAAATAAGTGAACATCAACTCCTACCTCATACCTACAAAAAATTAACACAAATGGATCGTGGCCCAAAATGTAGGAGCTAAACCCATAAAATATATAGAAAGAAACATAGGCAAAAGTATTCTTGACTTTGTTTTTTAATTTCGTTTAATTTATGTTTATTTTTGAAGGTGAGAGGGACAGAGTGTGAGCTGGGGAGGGGCAGAGAGAGAGGGAGACACAGAATCCGAACCAGGCTTCAGGCTCTGAGCTGTCAGCACAGAGCCCAATGTGGGGGCTCAAATGCACGAGCCATGAGTTCATGACCTGAGCCAAAGTCGGACACTTAACCAACTGACCCACCCAAGCACCCCAAAAATCTTCATGACTTTGAATGACCTCTGATTTCTTAGAGCTCAAGAAGTGCAGGCTATGAAAAAGAAAAAACATAATTTGGACTTTCTCAAAAGTAAACTTCTGCTCTCTGAAAGACCTTAATCCACAAAATGGGAGCAAGAATTTGCAATATGTGTATGTATAATATCTGATAAAGGATTTGTATCTGGTACATATAAAGAAGTCTTCAATGATCAGACAACTCTGTTAAAAGATAGCAAAAACAAAAACCAGACACTTCACAAAGGGTAATAGGATTGACCAGTAAGCTCATGAACGTATGTTCATTGTTTTCAGTCATCGGGTAAATGTAAATAAAACTGAAACATCATCACACGCTCATTAGAACAACTAAAATGGAAGAGACAGATTAAGTGCCACTGAGGATGCAGAGCAGCTAAGAAGCACAAAGGGTGCTGGCGTGAACACAAAATGGCATGATATTTGGGACATTCTTAAGCAGTTTTTTAGGTTAACTTTACCAAAGCCCACTGCTCTGTATTTGCCCAAGAGAAGTGAACAAAGTCTTGTGCGTGAACGTTCATAGCAGCTTTACACAAGTGCTCCAAACTGGAAACAACTCCGGTGCCCATCAGCCCGTGAATGGATAAATAAGCTGTTTATAGGTGCAGCGGAATACTTCTCAGCAGTAACGAAGAGTGGACTATGTTCCAGCCGTGTGGGTGGATCTCAGAATCATTCTGCTAAGTGAAAGCAGCAGCCAAAGAGTGGCCATACTGCATGATTCCATTTATATAAAATTTTAGAAAGTGTGAGCTGTAATGATAAACAGAGCAGTGTTTGCCTGGGGTCAGGGACAGGGAGGGATTTTTTGGGAGTGTCGGAAGTGTTCTAGATCCTGATTGCGGTGGTGATTTTACAGAGGCATGAATCTGTCAGAACTCCTCAATGTGTACACTTTAAATGGTAAAACTTGTTTTTAATAACGTTCTCAAATAAAGAGAAACTGAGCAAAGAAGGACAGAAAACATAGTTAAATGCATTAAACTTTATTTTTTTCTGTATACATTTCCTAAGATTCTCCTAAGCTACATTGTATCTTTACCAACCTTTTTTCATCCCACCTTAAAACATGTCCTCACTGTTTTAACCTACACGTACATACCTTGCTGTGCCAACCTGCAACTTAAGAAAATTATGATCAAGAAAATATGATTTTGTAAGAAAGACTACGTCCTGGGTAGTAAGGAAATGAGACTGGAGTTAGAGCAAAATGGGACAGTGGGAGGGAGAACCCAGCTTCTGGTCTCCTTGTGTTAGTTATTATGTGTACGCAATGCCCTTTTTAAGGAAGCTGAAAACAGTCAGAGGCATCCTATTTTGAGCCTGTGCTTCACCCAGACCAATCTTTTAATTTCTGCATGACATTTTCTCAAAAATCTTGCTTATTGACAAAATAGTCCTCAGGATTTTTATAAAAATTATAAAGTATGATGGCATTTTGAAGTTTTATGATACAGAAGTCATAGTTTATTAATCCTGTTTTAACCAATACACCCATCAGTGCTGTTAAAAATGTATATACATGTGTGCTCCTACAAGTTCTTCAAAAAGCCTTGAAGGAAAATTTCTAATGAGATCATAAGCACCAGACATTTGCTAAACCATTTTGCTGTTCATCCATTCAGTGGTCAGGTCAGTTGTAATGCCTGAGAATTACATTCTGGGCCTGGTAGCACAATTTATAGTGGGATCTCCTCTCTTTCACCATTGTTTGGAGGTGCAGCCATTAATGCCTTCCCTGCTGCATAATAATGCTTGTCTCAGGTTTCAGAAGACGGTCTGGCAGCCTGGTGGGGCATTGCCTGAACCCTTGTCTCAAGCTGGGTGGAGGATACAATTGGAGCTGAAATCTCGACATAAATTTTAAACGATCTCATGTAAAAGGACAAACTTATTGTCAGTGAACTTTACCACGATCCAGGCAACAGTGATTTTATTTCTAAAACAGTGATCTATTACCAGGTATCCTGCCCAGTTTATTAGTTGGCACTAAAATAACATAAATTAATTGGCAATTTATAGTGTAAACTCAACAAAAAGTTCATGAGATTCAGCTTAGCTATGGTTTTTCAGCTAATCTTGATAGGTTTTCTAGAGATTGACGTACAAATATTTATCAAAAAAATATAATGCAATTCAGTTTCGTTTACTGACATTTATTGAGCCGCTATAGTGAGCCCTGCAGATTTCATTATTTCTTTCAATAGTAATTGTCAAGGAGCACCATATCATTTTTACTGCCTGAAGAGGTTCTTTTCATCCCTGAATTGAAATCACCATTGATTTCATGACATGAGTACAGATGAAAAGGTGAAAGAAATAAATGATGAGTCCTGATATCTGTTCATCTTAGAGCTTAATTCCATGGAATGGCACATCGGCATATTGGGGCATGTGGGTGTTGAGGGTGTGTCCCTATGGAAGCCTGTGCAAGAGAAAAAGAAACTTAAGGCTACCTTCTTAGCCCCTCAAGGGAGAAGAAGAGATACCTGCGAGAAGTTAAGAGGCTCAGTAACTCACACATATGTTCAGGAGTAGGGCAAATATGAGTCCCCATTTTAAGGTCTCTGAGTGGGAGCAACTATATATTCACAAGGCCATTGGAGCGAAACCCTTTTTTGGTGCAAGCCTGAACCCTAGTTAACTAACCGCTATAGGGAAAAGGGACAAAGAATAACATCCTAATTTCACTTCCAGTTGACAGCAACACCTTCCGAGATCCCAGCAGGTAGAAGGGCTGATTGCTAAGGACAGAAAAGCGTATACCTGATTGGACAAGACCTTGGATTTCTTAGGGGAAGGGACCACTGTGCTTTCCCCATTTTATCTCCAGTGTTGGGCCCAGAGTAGGTGTGTGTTCATTGCTTAGCAAATGAAGAGTTAAGCTAATGGGTAAATCCACTCTTCTCTGCTTTGACTTTCATCCTTTTCATTCCTTTCTTTTCCTCTCTTTTCTCTGTTTCATTTAGAACTTTTCTAATGGTTGATTCTTATGAAATGTATCCTTGCCTGTCAGCACTCAGCAGTGGTTTCTAATTACCTTCCCACCTCAGCAGCTGCAACTCTATCCATAAGATACTAAAACTGAGTATAGGAGTGTGGATTTACCTGTCAAATTAACGAGTGGAGACTGGTTCCTCAAAATGGGGTCCTCAAACAATCCAGAAAGTTGACATTATTTAGGTTAGTATACCTCGAGTGTGATTCTTCTGATTCTTTCTCTTTGTAGGACTTTTTTTTTTTTTTTTTAAGATTTATTTTTGAGGAGGCTGGGGCAGAGAACAGAAGAGCTGAAGCAGGCTCCCCTCTGACAGCACTGAGCCCGACGGAGGCTTGAACCCATGAACCACAAGATCATGACCCAAGTGGAAGTCAGACGCTCGATCAGCTGAGCCACCCAGGCGCCCATGCAAATGTTTCCTCTTTGTAGGACTTTTAACCTTACTGAGAAAAATTGTTTTTAAAAGTCATTAGCCACTATAAGGGTGTTATTGCTTTTGAAATGTTTAACCTGAAGGTTTTCTTCATTTTAATTAGTGAAGTTAATATCTTTTTTTAAATCCTGGTACACATGGCTACTTAATTATTTGACATAATAGAATGTGCACTTTGTTTTCTCTAATGTCAATTAAGGTACCATTGGATACAACCAGCGCAACCGAATCGATACTCTCATGTATCTGCTAGCATATCCACAAAAACCCATGGTTAAAACAAAGACCATTGAGTTGATAGAATTTGAGAAACTGCCAGCTGGACAGAATGCAACAGTTGCAGTGATGAGTTACAGCGGCTATGATATTGAAGACGCCCTTGTTTTAAACAAGGCTTCCTTGGACAGAGGTAAGTGGGTCTACAGAGCTCTGATAGTGTGCAGAATTTGGTATAATAACGGCAATCCGTTAAAAACCACCTCATGTCAAAATGTTAATGCCAGTTTCAAGTGACTTGAATTTTAAAACATATAAACAGGAGGTAGTTAGGTTTCAGTGTTGACTTTTTTAATGAATATTCCATAGAGGTAATTTGTTAAATGTATTTTTGTTGTTATTTTACTTTACTGGTGACTTGAGAGAGTTCCTCAATAGAAAACATGCAAGAATTTGCTTATTCCTTGCAAGAGTTAGAATAAATGAAATGTGGTTTTTAAATATATCTACTTAGTCAACAACAAACTGAGAAGGCAATAGCAATATTTCTGTGTTAAAGGGTATTTTTTGTAATTGTCTCAACCCCACATAATGTTAGACCTTTTTATTACCAAAATGCCAAAAGTTAAAAATACACATGCACAAACCCCCGACTTACCAGTTTCTATGCAATCCTTTTGTCAGTTTTTTGACAGTTTACTTTCGCAAGTCACCACTTCATGGTTTGTTAGCTGTCACCTGACCTGAAGTCTGACTCCTCTCTTCATAATCTCTCTCTTTTTCCTCCCTGGCATGCCCACTCTGCCTTCCCCTTCACTCTCTGTAGTTGCTAGGCAGCCATAATAGTACTCCTAGACATGTGTCTTTGGCATTAATGTTGGCTGCACTTAATTTATGCCTCTTTTTTTTTCCTCCAAATGACAACAGCCATGCTTTAAAACTAGATGTTTTCCTTTCTGATTAACTGGTAACGTTTATGTGGAAATCCGAAGACTTTGTGATATCTGTCAGAAACTCCGCAACACAATTTAATGATCTGAGTTTACTGTCCTCTAGCTCTTAAGCTATCACCTGTAAATAAAATGCCCATTTACACTTAGAGGAAAGCGCCTCTTGATTTCAGTCTGCACAGATTCCCACTGCACTCTACCACGTTGCAGTTAATGGCCAGTGTACAGAATTTTAAGATCATGTAATGTTTCCAAAGCAGCTGGCTCACCGAGCGGAGTTTATGATGGCCATACACAATTTACCAAGAGCCATAATGACTAAGACCTTTCTTGAAGACACACTAACATCTTTATCTCCCGTCCAGATGTCAAAATTTGTTATTTCATCTCATAGTCACCTTTGTATTTTAAAAATTAGAGCACTGAGGCTTTAGTTAGAAATCCATTTTTTCCTGATTTTCTAAACCCACATTCTTAAATTTCTTGTTAAGAGTTCTGTCTTTGGTGGAGAATCGTTAAGTGAAGGATTTTACAACCATGCATTTATTTCATCTGTAACAGCTGACATTTAATCCTGAGATGTCTCCCTATTTAAGTGAACTCTGACATGGCTCAGTATATCCTAGGGCGATTAAGAGAGAGAATCCAATTTAGAATAACTACTTGGCCAGAGGGAGAAAAGAAAAGAAATGCAGTCACAGAAACTTGGGCAAATCTACAGCAGATGAATCTTCTTGTGGGATTCAGTGCTGGAAGCTTTTGCTCCACCTAAAAGTTTCCTTCTGTTCCTTTTGCTTATCTTTTTTTTTCTTATGTTTTATTTATTTTTGAGAGAGAGAGAGAGAGAGCAAATCTACAGCAGATGAATCTTCTTGTGGGATTCAGTGCTGGAAGCTTTTGCTCCACCTAAAAGTTTCCTTCTGTTCCTTTTGCTTATCTTTTTTTTTCTTATGTTTTATTTATTTTTGAGAGAGAGAGAGAGAGAGAGAACGTGAGCAGGAGAGGGACAGAAAGAGTGGGAGACACAGAATCTGAAGACAGCCTCCAGGCTCTGAGCTAGCGATTAGCACATAGCCCGACGCAGGGCTCGAACCCACAAACCGCGAGATCATGACCTGAGCCGGACGCTTAACCGACTGAGCCACCCAGGCGCCCCATTGCTTATCTTTCATAGTGTTTATTTAGATTGTTAGTTGGTCTCAGGACTTTTCCCTCATTCACTAAATAAATGTGATCCAAAAGTGTAATCACAGCAACTCTCATCTTCAGGGCACAGGCAAACAATTTCTCCTGTTAAAAAATTATTTGATTGCAGCTACTTTTCATTTTCTCTCCTCTCTGGGGAAAATTAATCTTTTTGTGTCTTTGTTTGGGACTTCCTCTGAATGCCAAAATTAGAAAAAGGGAAACTTTTCAGAGAAGGTTAACAGAAGTTATGCACCAGAAGGATGTGAGGGAAGAATCTTTGTTGATCAGTAGACATGTGTTTCCATGCTTCCACCCAAATGGCTGGGGGGTGACCTTGGCCCCGTGATTTCCCTGGACCTCATTTTATAGCACTTGTAACACTGTACATAGAGCAGTTAAGCCGGGTGGTCTCTGGGGCCCTCTCTGGTTCCCACAGTCTGTGACTCTGTTCCCTGAAAGAATCACAGTGATGCTCCGATTTCTCTTGCCTTCCTCCAGCATGACCAGGTGTGTTCCGTGCTGAGACAAGGTTGTACAGGTTCCGGTGTCTATGTGGACAGGAAGTGTTGAAGAGCTTCTGAGCCAGTTCTTTGGATTATCGGGTTGTTATTTGGCCCGTCCCAGATGATCCTAATGTAGAACAAGTTGCGAGGGGATGAATGGGTGGGTCATTCAGTAACACAAGTATGTGTTTTCTTATAGTTGTATTGGTGGTACTGATCCCCAGTTTGGTTTCATTTTAGGCTTTGGGCGTTGCCTTGTATATAAAAATGCTAAATGTACATTGAAGCGCTATACCAATCAGACTTTTGATAAAGTGATGGGGCCAATGTTGGACGCTGCTACAAGAAAACCCATCTGGCGACACGAAATTTTAGATGCAGACGGTATTTGTTCTCCAGGTAAGAGCCCTTTTTAAAAACTATTTAAGTGTATACTCTTTGAAATATGAAAGTTATACAGCAGTATTTCTGAACATTTTTAAACAGGGAAGAAAAAAATGACAACAAAACCACTTTCCTAACTTAAAGTGTGGTCATTTTTGATGAGTTTCCCTTCTAGTCTATTTTTCTGTGCATATATTTTTAGATAGTAGTAGTTCTATTCTAGCCATACTTTTCTACCTGAAGTTTTAAAGCACAGAAAAGCCACTTTAAGGAAATGTTTAAAATAAAATGTTTTCAAAGTGTAGATGCCATGTCCCTGCACCTATACCAGTATTTCATCATTTGTGCATTTAACATACAGACTGACTTGAGACTCTTCCCCTAAAAAGTGTGACTCTGTGGTAATTACAAACTTGCAGTGAATGTGTTACTCCTGTGTCCCACAGCCCTGCCCTTGTGAGTCTTACAGGCTAGTGTGGGAGACTGACATTGACCAGAGGATCACACGTAAACATGTCACCTCATAGCCAGCTTAAGGAGTCCTGTAAAGGGCTGTGAGGGCATTCGATAGCAAAAGGATCTGACCTAGGCAGAAGCACAGGGTGGCCTTCCCTCAGGAAGGGCGCTGAGATCTGGAGGGTGAATGGGGAGGGGAGTGTGTCCTGAGCAGCGGTGTCCTGCAGCCATAGATAGTTAAAGGTTCTGAAAGGCCAGCATGGCTCAGCTGGGGAGAGTACAGGGGGAGGGCAATAAACATGAATCTAGAGAGCGGAAGAGCAGGAGGGAGGGGCGGGCCCAGACACAGGCCTTGCAGCCACGCTGTTTTCGTCGTGATCCTAAAAGCAACTTGCAGTCAGGTATGCATTTGAAATGATCATTCTGACTGCAGCGTGATGAGATGAGTAGAAAGGGGCGAAAACAGCTAGAGCTCTGGCCCCAGAGCAGGTGAGCGGGGCCGTGGTGAGCGGAGAGCTGAGCTGTCGGGGGGGACACCGCTGGGAGGGAAGTCCACTGGCTTGTCATGATGGCGCACGGGTGGTGGTGCTGCATCTGCTGTGGTGCCCACAGCCACGCGGCATGTGGCGTCCTCTCCTTCTTGCTGCATATCTTTTTCGGAGAATTTCGCTTGCTGGTAACTGGGGTTATGTGATGGAGAGAGAGTGCTGTGACAGTAGTCGGCCGTGGAGCTTACCAGGAAAAGATGCAAAGAAAGGTGAGACTAGCAGGAAGATCAAAGAAATATTTTGATTTCCTCAGTGTCCCAAGTTGAGTTGCCAGTGGCTGAGTACTGGGTGAAATAACTACTAATAACAATAAGTGGCCCAGACTTGTTCTAACACCTTAAGAGATACATAAAATTGTCATTTGTTGACGTGAAGTTTCTCTGGTTAATTTGGTTCTCTAAACCAGTTTCTTGATTTTTTTTACACACTGATTTTTCAGATGGGCTGGCACAATTACTAACGAGCCCTGTTGAACTCTGGCTCATGCTGTATAGACTTTTTCCTTCCTTGTCTGCATTTCATGGACCAATCTAAGCACATGGTTCCATGCCCCAGTAATGTGTGCATTTCACAGATGTGGTAACAATTGGGCTATAACACCCTTCTCTTTTTCTTAGGTGAGAAGGTAGAAAACAAACAAGTGCTTGTAAATAAGTCCATGCCCACAGTAACTCAGATTCCTCTGGAAGGAAGTAATGTGCCGCAGCAGCCACAGTACAAGGATGTGCCCATCACGTATGTATCAGTTTCGCCTCGGAAATACCTAGAGAGATTCAAAAAAGGAGAGCTGGGGGAAATTAGAAGTTAGCTCTTAGAGGGTTAGAGAATAGAAATTACAGTTGGGGGTAGTAATAGTCATCATGAAGACAGCATGGCGTGGAAGATAAAACCAAGCTGTGGAATCAACTAGGCCTTCCAACCTGGGTTTGAGTTATGGGCCAAGTACACAGGGCTTCCAGGCAGAGGGAACAGTGACGTGAAGGCCCCCTGGGCAGAAAAGCACCTGGATTTGGAGGCCCAATGCAGCCTGCTGGGGCTAGGTTGTCCAGTCCTTGGGAGTTCTTTCTGTAGAGGGTGATAGGATCAGATGTGTGTTAAATAAGTAAATTAAACACACCGGCCACAGTCTGGCATCACCACTGTCCTGGACTATGGCTGGATTTCATACTGGTCGTGTTGTGTGTTACTGTACATGGATGAAGTACTCAAACCTTGGCCTCAGGTTTTTCATCTGTGCAATGAAAGAGTTACACTCATTAATCTCCAGATGTGTCAAAACAGTGAAATGAGAGACTTCATGAGTTGAGCCGTGAGCCACTGATAGCAGCCACACTCTGACATAAAAACAAAACTGGAAGAAGTAACAAGATGCTCGATCTAACCAGGGTGAACGGAGTTACCTGAACTCTGAGGTGGGGGGGGGGGTCAGGGGTGACACGGAGAGCTGGGTTTCTGGCCCTGGACGGCAGTTCCACAAACCTGTTCTGGCCCACAGCTGAGGCCCGCTCCGGGCCAGCCACCATGCCACTTGCACTGGAGACACAGCTGAAGTGAGCCATGACCCTTCCCTGAAAGGAGCCACACGTAGTTAGTGGAGACCTGCACAGAAAAAGAAGTCCAGTGAATATCCTGATCATAGTGGCTTCATTGAGAACTTTCCCCATACCGATTATGTTTGTGGGCACTTTACAGTGTTAGTTCAGTTGTTCTGGCCACCACCCCATGAGCTGGGCGCTCTTGATAGCCTTGTGTAAAAGACACAGGAACTGAGGCACAGAGAGGTGAAGTAACTTACCAAGGTCACACAGCTACAAGTAGCAGTCTGTCTTCAGAGCCCAGCTCCTGCCCTCTGTGCTAAATGCTGCAGTGCTGTGGGTGCCGTGGGTTTGTGGAATGAGTGGGAGTGTGGAGGAGAAAGTGGGCTCTCCACTTAGGGGAGAGGTCAGGGCCCTTGTCCTGAATCTTAAAGAACAAAAAGCTGTTTTAGGATGACAAAGGTGGTTATGCTAGCTGGTTTTCATCCCACCCTGGAGGAAGAGATCTTTTTTCCTCTTCGGAACTCACGCCCCATCCCCCCCACCCCGGGTTCTTCATTTAATCTAGGCTTTTAGGGACCTGACTGTCATTCCCTCTTCAGTCCCTTCCATGTCTTCAGCCAGCTTTCTGTCGAGTCCTTCCCCACAGGCTAGAAAGTGTGCTCCCATATTTCTTATCTTGAAAAGAAAACGAAACCTTGCTCGGGGCTCTGCGATCCCTCCCGGCTGCCAAGCATCCCGTTTCTTTGTCCGCCATGAGAGAGTAGCGTGGGAATGCTGTGTGCGGCGTGGGTTAGGTTGCCTCACGCCTGCCTCACAATGTTCAGTAAAGGTTAGCCATCTCAGACGAGGACTGGAAGAGGGAAGTGGTGACCTTTGAACTTAAAGTTGAAAAAATGAAAGGCACGTTTCAGAGTCCAAAATGGCAATGTCAGAGCATTCTGTGGTTGATCTTAGGTAAAATATGTCCTGTGGGTGACAGGTTCACAAAAGGCAATTTGAAAATTCTGTTTTAGTGACTTCCTCTTAATTTAGCTACAAAGGGGCAACGGATTCATACATTGAAAAAGTGATGATCTCTTCAAATGCTGAAGATGCTTTTCTGATCAAAATGCTGCTGAGGCAGACGAGGCGTCCAGAGATTGGAGACAAGTTCAGCAGCCGCCACGGGCAAAAAGGTAAATTGTGTCGCTCCTCAGTTTGTTTACAAAACTGAAAATAGGATTTGTTAACCACATATATAAGAAATGTTGTGTAACTTTCCCTGTTTTAAAAAAAAAATTGTGTGGGAAAAATTATTACGTTGTTAGCCAAATTTATGCTGGTTTTATTTCTTCAGTTTTCTTGTTTTTACTTTAATAGCATTGAGAAATGTACCATAGGATTGCTTCTCTTTACCATTTATTTCATTTTTTTTTGCAGCTGCTCCACCCAGAATTATAATTGCGCATATATTCTAGACGATGTACCTAATAGGGTATAGGCAGCCGTTCAGAAAATAAATGGCAGCACCTCTTTTTTAAATTTATTACACTGTCTGTTGGGCCATAGCATCGTGGGGTGTCAGCACGAGAATACTCGTCAGAATGATCTGCCCCTGTGTTTAACAGGGAGCAGCCAGTCGGAGGTACCCGGCTGGGGGGCCTTGGAGCTGAATTAGAACCCGGGTCTCCGGCCCTCCCCGTCTGCTGCACGGTGGTCCCTCACCTGGACGCTTTTGTCCACCTGATCCCCTTGGTGGTTATGCTGAGTCTTCATGTGTTTGTGGCTTTGTGGTGTCTTGTTTTTTTAGCTGCAAGAAACGTAGCAGTGTGTCACCACTGATTAACTTGTTTCCAGTAGGGTCTCTCTTACATACGTATATCCATCCATGGTGTTTCAGAGTGGAACGCTGGCCCTGGTGGCTGGGTTTTGGCCGTGTCTGCCACTTACCGAGTTGAAGGACAGCAGCAGCTGCTAACACTTCGGTAGCACTAACTGTGCCGGGCAGGGTCCTCAGCACTTCACACACACACACTCACTCACCGGCTTCTCTCTCACAGTCCTGGGAGGTCGGTGCTGTTCTTGTAGATGAGGAAACAGAGGCACAGTGACATGAGTAGCTTGTCCAGTGTCCCCCATTGGTAGTGGAACTGGTTTTTGAACCCTAGCAGCCTGGCTCCAGAGTCCATGCTCCTGACTGACAGCTCTGCTGTCCTGAGTGTTAAGCAGTTGGCATGGTGCCTGGCACACAGCGAGTGCTCAGGAGGAGAGAGAAGTGACCACTGACGTTGGCTGTTTTGCATTCTGCTCTCCAACTTTGTGTCTCCTCTTTACTCATAAATTCCTAGTGCGATGGCCTCGTGGTTTTAATTGATTGATTTCAAGATAATGGCATTTTACATTCTTGCTGATTTCAACATTTGCCACGCAAGTATGTAAGATTACAGTTTGTTTAGTCAAAGAATATTACAGTTCGTTTAGTCAGCCTTAGTTGTCATTCCTTCGATCAGTGAGACTGTTCCAGCCTGAGATACTATTTTTCATTCAGCTGACAGACACAAGATTATTTTAGCCTGTCGCTATTTTATTTAAAAAAATGATTTTATCCATGTGAATTTGACACTTCTAATTCATATAGTTTCCTAAAATGCTAACTCTTAATACCTTTTGAGCATCTGTAAACATTTCTTGAGATTCTAGTGTTTTCCAGTAATTAGCAGTGAAAATCAAGTTCTCTATATTGAAACTATTTCTCCCTCTCTCTTGGTCTAGACAATTTCTGAGATATACCACTAAGTCATATAAGTCATTCTGGGGTAAACATAATCTTATTAAAGCCTCTGTTTTACTTGACCTATTCCCTGGACTGGGACAAAGCTTGAAAATCATAAAATATTGGCACTGGACACTTTATAAGAATGCACACTATAAGAGAAGGTCTCCATTTTCTGAATCAGTTTACAAACTTCAGATGTCCCAAATCCTCGTGTTTTATTCCACCAGAGTGTTGTGCGAAGAGTGGAAGGCTGGCAAACATCACATTGATTATCCACTGTGTCCTAACTCCACTAAACTTCTCGAGGACACGGATCACGTTCTTAAGTTAGAGCCAGTCTTGTGGAGGGTACCTAATAGGTAGGTGGTAATGGTTAAATATATGAATGAATCCAAGGTAGGAAAATGAAAAGAGACAGATTCCATACTCTTGATGGATTATCTATAGATAATATGTAAGTATGTGTGTGTATAGTATAGACAAAGCAGTACGTTTGAAAATGAGAAACATACTTGATTAGTAAGCTCCTATAAACACAGACCTCTACACATACAGGTAACGACAGTGAGCTTTGTGCTGTGACATTTTTTCAAACTAATAATATGATTGGGATAATGTTCATTGACAGAAGTGGTTTCCAGCCTGCAGAGATGTGAAACCGCAGATTTTGGAAATCGGTTGAATCTTAGCGGGGCCTGACTTGTACATCTCTGTGAAGCAGAAAGAAGCCCTCCCGGGGTTAGGTGACCTTTCACTTAGTGAGGAGTTTATCTTGCTAGTGTTCTTTTCCAGATGGTTTCTAATCCAGGATGAAAACCTTCTGATGAGCCCAGATTCCCTTGATATTCCCTTGTCTTATAGCTTCTTTAGATTTATTGAAAAGATCAGGTGAAAATAGGCAAACAAAAAATAGGTAGTTTAAACCTTCAGAGAGTAGTGGAAGGCATGATATAGAACCTTTAACATCATTTTTGTTTAAGTCTAGTTTTTTAATCAATAATAATTGCACATGGTTTAAAAGGTCAAATAGTACAAAAAAGGGGGGGTTTGAACTGAAAAGCATACCTTCCCTGCCTTTTCTCCAATTCCACTTCCCAGAAGCAATTTCTTCTCATTTTTATTTTCATATTTTGAAATAATATTTTCAAATATTTTTAAAGTTTATTTATTTTGAGAGAGTGGGGGGTGGGGCAGAGAGAGAAGGAGAGAGAAAATCCCAATCAGGCTCCGTGCTATCAGTGCAGAGCCCAGTGCAGGGCTTGAACACATGAACCACAAGATAATGACCTGAGCCAAAGTTGGATGCTTAACCGACTGAGCCACCCAAATAATATTTTTATTATTATTATTTGCTCCTCGAAATAATATTTTTAAACAGCTATTTATATTCATTCATCCATTTTCGATATTACCCATTGATTTTCTGTTATGATAGATAGGAGGAGCCGGCACTTGGCTGCCTCTCTCTCACTCCCCACCTCCGTTCCCTGCACAGATTTATCATGTTAGGCTACTTGCTTAGATTGTATTATTATGACTATATAAATGTTGTTCACCCTCAAACCAAGTAGTTGAGGACATTTTCTTTATCGTATAACTTTATTTTTTCAGAAGTTAATAATCTGGTTTTTTTTTAATTTGCTTAATTCTCTTATTCCTGTTTCCATTCTTCTATACCATTAATAGTCTTTTAACACCATTTTCTACAAGATGAGTAGCCTGTTAGGACCATTTTTCTCCCCGGAAGACCTCCTCTGTAGCGCCCCCATTCTTCCTGCTCCGAACTGTGGTGGTTTTCCTCTGAGATTTCTAGCCAGTGTCTTAAGAGCTGATCACCACAGCAGTTTTGGGCAGAACCCGGCTCAGTTGGGGCTGTAAGCCACCTCGTCTCGTGTGCTTCAGAAATGTTTTCAAGAAAAGGAAGGAAGCATTCTGTGCTAGTTTGCTATAATCCCATACCACAGACTGAGGACTTACATTGACTCACAGTTCTGGAAGCTGAAGTCCGAGGTCAAGGTATTGGCAGGTTTGGTTTCTCCTGAGACCCCTTTCCATGGCTTGCAGGTGGCCACTGTGTCCCTGTACCCTCACAGCACCTTTTCTCTGTACATCTACATCCTCACGTCTCTCCCTCTTCTTACAAGGACACCAGCCATATTGGATGAGGGTCCATCCCATGATCTTATTTTTATTTAACCTTAATTATCTCTGTAAAGACCCTGTCTCTCAGTAGGATCACATGCTGAGGTGTCCTGTGTGATCTGGGGGACATAGTCTGTTACACACTCTAGAGCTGTGCTCAGTGGTAATCATTTATGAAATTCCCATGCGAGCCCCTGTTTCTTGGCTCATCCCGTCATCCCCACCACGGTGGAATAGTCTGTTCATTAAATTACTGAGAAAGGATAGCAAGAAGTAAATTTTGTAAGATCATATATATCTGAACATGCTGTATCCTCATAGTTGATTTATATTCTGGTTGATTATAGAATTCTAGATTGAAAAATCCTTTTCTCTAAGGATCCTGACAACATTGCTGTATTATTGTCTAGTTTCCATGTCACATTATTCTTCCTGATCTGTGTGTATGTGTGTGCGTGTGTGTGCATGTGTGTGTGCACAGGTGTACTGTTTCTCTCTTTTCTTTCCTCACATCCCTTTCCCCTGAAGATTTTACTGTCTTCTTCTGTTCTTGGAATTCTGAAATTTTCATTCCTTGTCCTAGGAAATCAGGTATTTTCTTATTCTGGAAGTTCACGTTCCTTCAATTTTCAGACATTTTCTTATTTTGTTGATAATCTCCCTTCATCATTTTCCTTGTACCTTACTTGTCCATTTCCTTCTCTTCTTGTTTTTCTTCCTAGGATTTGATTGACTTTATTTTCCAGATTTGTTTTAATGTTTATTTATTTTTGAGAGACAGACAGAGCATGAGCAGGGAAGGGGCAGAGAGAGTGACACAGAATCTGAAGCAGGCTCCAGGCTCTGAGCTGACGCCACAGAGCCCAACATGGGGCTCAAATCTGCAAACCGCAAGATCATGACCTGAGCCAAAATCAGATGCCCAACTTACTAGGCCACCCAAGTGCTCCAATTTTCCAGATTTTTTTAACCTATTATATTTTAATTTCTAATTAAAAATATTAACTTATAACCTTTTTGTAGCCACGAGTATATATTTTTTGTATTATATTCATTTTTAGTTTTAGTTGTTTGGCTCTTTTTTTTTTTTCCCTCTTCAGCTGTCTTCTATTCCTAATTGTTTGTACTCCTTGAGAGGTTTTTTTCCTCCTCCTGACTTGTTGGGAGATTTTCTCTAATACCTGATATGCCCATGAACCCTAAAAAGCAGCTAGAAGCTTTATGGCCCAGGAATAGAATTTGTTGACTGGTGGACATCACTGTAGGGGATCAGGCAGT